AGTTGAGAATATATTATTTTGTGAATAAGATATATTCACTCTCAAGAAATAAGAAGATTAGAAAACTTAGAAATGGTAAATGCTGAAAGATTTAGTTGTAGAATATACTTTATAAATCTTATACAATTCACATTCGAAATATAAATTGATAGAAAATGCTTGGTTATGATAAGAATAATACCAAAAAAACAGTTTACAAAGATTTAAGATATTATTGCATACATGCAACTAAAAGTTCTATTTCATAATATTTTAAAATGTGCTAAATTAATTTCCATTTTAGTAATGCTTCTAGATTGTTAAAAAAGAAAAAAACTATAAAATAGAACTCTATCAACAAATATTGGACACAAGAAGTATATTAAAATAGATTTAAATTAAGGGTTAATATAGGTTAGTTTTGACATCCCATAGACGGATAGACTCATCATCACTACCAGAAGCTAATGTATTTCCATCAGGAGAGAAACAGACTGAAAATATACCACTAGTACCATATAATTTGGCTTTTTATTATCCTGTTTTGACATCCCATAGATGGATAGACTCATCTCTACTACCAGAAGCTATTACCATCAGGAGAAATACAGACTCACATAACATATCCACTATGACCATCCAATTTATTCAACTCATGGATCTTAATATTCTTCCATTTACAATTTAATAATAATGTTCCAATCAAATTTATTCCACTTATTTAACATTATTAAATTAGGATCCACTAACATTACACTTAATTAAATTAGCTCCTACTAAAGAAGTATTTTCAATTTTAAAATTTTCAAAGTATTTATTTCTAAGCTCCACCTTCATCCTAATTATCACATGTTATGAATTAGACCCACATAAAATTAAAGTGTTGTCCATACATGAGAGGTGAACTAAAAATTACAAAAAGTCTCCTATTTAATCTCTCATCCTTTATCAAAAGCAAATCTATTGAGTAAATTGAAGAAAAAGAAAAATAGAAACAATGATGGATAGTGTGAAAATAATTTTATTTTCAAAAATGAGATTAATACCCCTCAAATATTAGATTAATTGGATAATAAATCTATAAAAAAACTAAATATAAAAAGAAGAAAATCAAAGATATTAATTATTGTGAACTCATACACCTACATGTAAGTTTATGTTAATGATTACTAAAATTATAATTCATCAATTATCCAAATAATTTTAAATTTTTTTCCAATAACTTTTATAGGTTGATCAATAATTCTTAATTCCTTCTGAATAGAAATTTTAAAATTATGATTTAATGTTACTGTTGCTTAAAAATATTATTGGTTAATTAAGAACTTCAATTGTTTTTACTTAAAATTATTTTTATATTCATCAGATGATTTTTTTTTTCTCATTTTTCTCCTCCTGCATCTTCTGGTTCAGATTAATCCTCATCCTCTGTTTTTCTCTTTCTATTACCTCTGGTGGCATAGGGGGTTTGGTTGCCCCTTATGAACCCCTGCTCCTGTTGAAATATAGGATATGTAAAACCCCTGCAGCAAACATAAACTTTGGTGTTAACACCATCACAACCTAGCAAAAAAACCCTTAAACACAAGTCACGATAACCATGAGTAACACCATTAGAAACCTCATAAAACCTTATAACCCCTTTCGCAACTCCAAAATCTTAGGGGATAGAGTAAAATTGTCCCCACATTTTGTTTATGAATTCTTTGAAGTACGAGAATGATCTTAATACTCCTAACTTTAAATTAATAAAAAAATATTTGTAAAAAATAAAGTAAGATTAATCATTAAAGGCTTAAATTATTAATTTTAAATGACTAAATCAATTTATTCATTTTTAAGATTTAAAACTTAGACAACATCAAACAGATTTTATTGTTCCCAAAGAAATATTCTAATAAAAATAAGAATAAATAAAAAGATAATTAGTTGTTTAGAAAAAGTGTATAAATGAATGAAATTACATAAAAAAAAAATAAGTCAACTATAGATGAATAAATACTAAAAAATGAAGAAAAATCTAAGAAAATATAAAATGAATAACAAAATCTAAATCTATACAACTCTTTTGCCCCAAAAATTTAAATATTTATATTTTATTAAGGTTCAATTTTATTTGGGAGAGTGCAAAGAAACTAAAAATATTGAAAATAAAATTGATAAAAACAAGTTATATGAAAAGTTCTTTGTATTTTCTTGTATAAGAGAAACCAACGAAGATTAAAATAGAATATGTTTAACAATTTATTACCTAAGAAATTCATAAAGAAAAATGATATTAGATATTATCACTTATTTATAGCAAATAAGAATAATCTCATTCATTAAGAGAATTTAATAAATCATTTGAAATAAACTGTGCAAATGAATAATTTCTCTTATTTTCATTTTGCAAAGCTTCTACTAATGTATTTAATGAGAATCTCAAGGATTGAAATATAATTTCATCATCAGATTCATTATCATCATCTTAATTCTAAAATAAATTGATAATAATTTACTCTTGGTCGAAGTAGTTAATTCTCTCCTTTTTGATGTGTTATGATGTTATCATTGTAGCATGGAAATGCATAGACTCTGTTTTATTGCTTTAATCTTATGTAAGATTTTTGTTTAATTTTCGTTGCCTTAAATTATTCTTTGCTTGCTTTGATTTCGGCATAGTTAGAAATTTCTTTCACACTCCTTTTTATTCCTTGCTTAATTTCTACTGTTGAGTAGTTTGAATCCTAATTATTAGGTTTGCTTAACATTATTAACTTTAAATTTGAATAAAATTTTCCCACAATTTTGCTTTTATTTCAAATTTATATTATTGAATAAAATAGTAATAGGTGTTGGAATATGATATTCTCCAATATGATTGATTAAAATTTATAAAAGTTAACAAGATAACCTCACAAACCAATAAAATGCTTGCAAAAAAACATTAAAAAATTTTCTTTTATTTTTGTCCACTTGTGGAAACTCACCAAATTGTTGTTACACTCGTAAACAAATTAAGCCCATAACTTATCAACAAACTAATCATAATTTGGTAATTATTTCATAACATAATCTTTATATACCATTAATATTTTTCTTAAATACTTTCAAAAGTTTAAGTTCTTTGGTTTCTAGTTGAAAATTATTTGAATCAATAAACATTACTATTTTCCTTTTAATATTCTTCATTTTTAGGACTGAACCAAGAAATTTAATTTTTTGAATAGTATTCCCTGATTGTAGAACTAAAAGACCCCTATCAGATGCATTCATAATTAATATCTAATTTCTTAAATCTCAAGGGACAGCGAATGAGGAGAAAAAGTTGTTCATAGATCAACAGATACAGGAAAAATGAGATAGTTAAAATCAATTTCAAGAGTAGAGCAACTTGGGAATATTTATGTAGTCAATTTTTTGAAAAATGAAAATACTATTCTTCATTTCTCAAAACCAGAAGTCCAAGCAGCTATTGGAAGCAATAAATTTGCAATATTTGGAAATCCAAAAACAAAGAAGTTTTCAGAATTAATGCCAGAAATTTTAAATCATATTGGACCAAAATAAATGTCTCTGCTTTAAGAATTAATGAAAGAAACTTACAAGGTTTAATTTTTTTTAAATCATATAAGAAAAATGTAGATAAAATAGCAGAAGCAGATTAAAAAGAAGAAAATGATATTCCTAATTTAGTAGAGGGTTAAAATTTCAAAGAAGCAAGCAAGAAAGAATAAGTAAATTATCATATTTTATGTATTCCAGCCATTAAATTATAAAAGAGGTTTTTTCTTTCAATAAATTCGTTAATTTAGATTGATAATGGAAGTATGTAAAAGTAATATAAACTAATTAAATCCTTTCAATCACAAAAAGTTAATCAAATTTAAGAGATAAATTTAGTGAACCTTTTCATCAATATTGTTGAAATAAAAAAGATATTTGGTAACTGAAATAATCAGAATTAATGCAAAATTTCACAAATAAGGAATTAAATTTAGATTATTTGAATTAGTTTATGGATTGTAAGAGCAATAAATAAATGACTGAAAAACAGAAGCTTAGGATTTCTAATATTTAGTTGAGGAAAGAATAGTTCATTGTTATTTTCAGCTTTGAGGATGAGTAGATGTAAATTTAATTTTAACCGTGATAATAAACACACATTATGTTATCTGGACTAATTATGAAATTATAGGTTTGCAACTAGAGGATAATTATTTAATACAAAACTGTATCTTTGATAATAAGAATTGATTATTAACATTAAAATTGTGGAAATTGAAAAATTTATACATTTAGAATTTATAAATATTATATTTTTTTTTAATTTATTTAACAGATGATTAATTTGCCAATCGATGTTGATGTTTAGATGATCCAAAAGAATAAGCTTTTTTAAAAATTTATGCAATACCAATAGTAGGAAACTTAAGCATAAAATACACAAATTTAATAGAAAATATACAATAAATCCAATCATGATTCGATAGAGGATTAGAAATATTCATAAGAGAAAATGGAAGAGAGTTCTATCTATTAAGATTTTGCAAACTTTGCTAAAGCCACTAATTATAAGCAATCATCACCATATAATTATCATAAATAGTAATTACAATAAATTCCATAATCAAATTAAAATTCTGGAAGCAATAATAATTAAGAAATTAAGGACTTATAATTTAAGAATAAATCACTAATATAGTAGAACTCCATTTTGTAGCAATAATTATTAGATCTTTAATAAATTATTCATAGACAAACAATTGATTTAGATTTACAGAAAAATGAGATCTTAAATTTAAAGAGAGTAGTTTAAGAATAATAAATAGAAATAGAGTAATTAAGAAGACAATTATAAGAAAAAAGAAACAGCAGTTTAGAGAAAACCAGATAATTTACAATTGTCCAAACTCAATTAATATAATCAAACTAAATGGTAGAAAAACTTATTTCTTAATTGATGAATTAAGAATCATAATTAAGTGTAAATTATAATTTAATGATAGTTGTATCGACAAACTTAGATTAATTTTCCAAAAATAGATAATTTATAATTCAATGTGGACTAAAATAAATCAAATTTGATAAATGCATAAAATCTTCTAAATAATCCATCGTCTGTAGCATAGGCTTATCCTGCTTAATATTAATACTCAAATTAACAATAACAATAATAAATTCCTTAAGGTTCAAATCAGTAATAATAATAATCATACCCAATACAATAATAATAGATTTAAATTTCATAACAGTCATTATAAAATCCAAATCCTGTTAGTCAGCCAACAAAATAATAATTACAATCTGATGCTGATACATCATATGAAAGATATTTATTACATAAAAGAGGAAGACATTGATAGTATTTGATGATTTTAGTTTATATTTCATTTATGAATTCAAATTATTTTTATTACTTCGATAATCATAATTTAAAGAAAAAATGAGCTTATAAACTAGATCAATGGAGAGAACATCAGCAGGTGAAAAATAACAAACTTGGCAACAATATAGGATATTTATTGAAGAAATGAATTCATTAATTGGATCAGCATTAGTAGAAGAATTTAGAAATGATAATGAAAATGATTTTAATCCAAATATAATAGTAGGAAATGGGGAAAGTCTACCTAGAGGAGCAACAAAGTTAATTAATGCTGAAGATTCTAGCTAATTAGGATAAGTACTATTGGATTGTGATATTGTTATCTTTCATCAAAATTATTGCAGGGCAGAATATGCTTACAAACTGTTAAAGCATGGGTAATATCAGCAGACTAAAACTTTTATTTTAATAAGTAATCCAATGACTTGGTCGACTACACCATTAAAAGATAGAAAAAATGATGAAACTGCTATGAGACAATCTATGGGAGGGGATACAGAAGATCAACCTTTTTTGAAAAAGCATGAGAAATTTATAGAAAATGATCTGTCTATTAGAAAAATACACTTCTTAGAAAGATTAAAGTATTTAGAGCAATAAATAATCGTTTGTGATAAACCATAATTGCATGCATATGTAATAACTCCAGGATTAGTGTACGGCAATGGAGAAGATATATTATATGATTTATTTAAAACTGCATGGATGACCCCTGATGCAGAGTTACCGATTTATGGAGATGGAAATAATATTATACCTATGATTCATGTTAATGATTTAGCCAACATTGTGAATAAGACTGTGACATTAACACCAAATGAGAGATATATATTTGCCGTTGATTATGAAAACATGACTCAAAAAAAGCTAGTTACAACTATTGCTAAATCTGTTGGCAATGGCTTTACAAAGAATGTGACAACAGCATCTGAAAAAATGTTAACCCTAAATGTTTGGCTTAGGCCAACTTAGGTATTTGAGTCTGATGATCAATATATTGATGCTAAAAAAAATCCAATAATTCTTTGGTAATGCAAAGAAGGATTTGCAAAAAACATTATAAAAATAAGAGAATAATTTAAATTATACAGAGGTTTAGATACTGTTAAATTAATCGTTCATGGAGGAACTGCTTCAGGAAAATCATATCTTTGTAAATAATTAGCCAGCTTTTATAGAATTCCTCACATATAAATCAAGCCCTTAATTTAAGAATTACTCGAACAATAATCAGAATTAGGAGAATTAGTAAGGACTACTTTAACATAAGTTAAAGATTAACTAGTTGCAGAGGCATTAGCAATATTTGAAGCAGAGAAGAAGAAGAAAAAAGTTCCAAAAGGTCAACCAGAACCAGTATTTGATCCATCAGGTATTTAGCCAAGACTTCCTGACTCTGTCTTAATATAAATTTATCGGTGGAGATTGGATTAAAATGATGCCTAAAATTTAGGTTATGTTTTAGATGGTTTTCCTAAAACACTAGAATAATATGAAAAATTATTCTTAAATGAGGAAGGCTAACTACTTGAATCGATTAAACCAAAAGGTGTAATATATTTAGAATATCCTGATGACTAATTAAAAGAAAAAGCAAAATTAGTAATTGATAATCCTAGATATTAAGAGGAATAAGTAGTCAAAAGATTAGCTAATTTTAGAAAGAATAATGAATAATTATTGTAATAATACGAGTAGTATGACATTAAACGAATTTCAGATCAAGAAAGAGCTTTGGAATAATCGAAGGATTATATTACTAGAAACGGACCAATTTTAGTATTACAAGATGTAAAAGAGGAGGAAGTTGTTTAGATGGAAGAATAATAAGAAGATTGTACACCTTCCCATTAGGTTTCTTCTCTTCAGCAAGAGAAAGTTTCTGCTGTTTAATAGTCATAAGTTTAATAATCCTAAGTAGGACCTAAAAAAAAAGGTGATTAACTAAATGTAATAAAATTAATTTAATTTAGAAATCAATAAATGAAAGTAGATTATCGAAGGATAATAAAAAGTTAACAGATGAACAAAAACAAGATCTTATTAGACAATAAGAAAGGGAACTTTTAGATTAGAGAAGTCAACCTTTAAGGCAATATTTAGCGGATAATGTAGTTCCTTTCTTAACAGAAGGGTTAATAAATATATGCGAAAAACATCCTGAAAATCCATTATAGTTTTTAGCTGATTTTTTGGAATAAAAAGGAAATGAATTATAAGCATTAGGACAATGAATTTATATATGAAAAAACAAACATTAATTATATTCATTTTATCAAATTAATGATACTTTGCAAACAATTTTCACTCTTAAAATACAGCTATTCGTAAAAATACTTTACTTTTAAACAATATTATAAAATAAAATTTTTTTCAAAGTGTTTTAAAATAATCATTTTTTTAGCATTTTTTATTAAATTTATTAGAAGCATAAATTGTAATCGATTCAAAGATTATTTTTATATAATTAAAGAATCTCGAACAGAAGAAAGTAAAATCAACAGTTTTTACTTTTTTCAATTTAAATTTTGGATTTGTAATTAAAATTCCTCCTCTTCATACTCATCTTCAGTAAGAATATCAAATTACAATCGATATTGACAAACCTAATAATACAAACTAAGTAAATTCTTATTACAATCAACTAATAAAAACTATTGATTTAAGTAAAAATAATATTTGTAATTGATTTCTTGGAATTATGTAGATTTATATTGAAATTTTATTTTTTTTCATTGATGACTTGGAAAAAATTGATTATCATAGTGGAAGAGCGCAATGTTACACATAAAAGAAGATTTATAATTGACAAACAAAAAGTAAGAAAAGGGTTATTTTCTAAGCTGAAGATTTTATGGGTTTATTGTATGCAAATAAATATCAAAATAGTCAAAATTATGGGATAAAGTATATGAAGGATTTTATGGACCTATATAATCCAGTTTACTACTAGATAAAATTTTTGATATTATGCTTTTAATCTACTCCTAGAAGCAAAATGATTTTGGATTTTCTGTTTATTATAGGATTGGGATGCCTTTAGTTTATTTTTATTTTTGGATTAATTCTAATAACATTTTCTAATCTCATCATGACACACGCTAAGGGATTATTTTAAGTATATCATTGGATTACTTTTGAGCTATTCTGCCTTTATTTGAGCAGGTAAAAATAGGACCATTCTTGGTGTTGCTTTTTTTTACATCTAAAACTTTATTGTCTGAGCAGGAAATTATAAAAAATAAAAGAAAAATAATATGATAGTTAAATTTACATAGAAAAACAATGAATTTATTCAGATTAGCTTTTGGAATACAAAAAAGAAGATATTAAGTTATTAAATAGTTAAGAGATGCAGGGACGGTTTATCAAAACAGTTGAAGGAATTTTTTTATAAATATTTGAATACATCCATAGCAAATGAGAATCAGATAAAGAAATGGATCTAGTATTATTTTTTCAATCATAAATACAATTAAATCTTAAATTCAAAATCAAAAGAATTCAGTTTTAATCTTCATAAAAAAAAAAGTTAATATTTACTTGATGAATAGTCACAAAGTGCAATAAAAAAATGATTAGCAAGACAATAACTAAGAAGATAATTCAAATCCAATTATATGTACATTAAGCGAATAATTAGGATTTATAAAATTCATCATCTTAGAATCTTGATGAATAGATGAATTAAAGATAATCAAGGCTTGAAATGCGAAAAAACTCTTAAGATAAGGTTTTATTATTATATTCATTCATCTAATATAGCACTTATTACTTAAAGCTGTGTCAAAAAAGTTAGTGTTCTGACTATTCTTGATTTTCTTTTACTTTATGGATGCAACAGTTTAATTGGTAGGCATTCGAAATATCATCGGGCACAAAAATCACATTATAATTACTTTGATCTTTTTAAGATTTAAAAAAAAATTAATTTGCCAATTATAATTTAAAAGTTGCTAAAATTAAAACAAAACTATAATTCACTTAAACCTTCTTTAAATATCAATTTGCAAAATATCTTTGTATTCAAAATTTTGGGTTATTAGAATAATTGGAATGGATCATAATGATTTTTAAAGAACCTTTTGCATATCTATGTTTTATAGTTTTACATTTGCTCTATTAGTTAAAGGATTTACATTAACATCTTAGGATAGAGTAAAGGTAATTGAACTTTATGGATTATTTATTTTTAAATATGCAATTATATTTGGATTAAATATTATAAAGTGATGCTTATTTAATAAACAATATATATATATATATAATTTTTTATGAAAGATATTATTATAATCTCATTCTGAGAATTAATTAGATAAATATTTTGATCATTATTAATAAATATGCCAAAGGGATTGAAATTTAGCTAACCTAAAAGTCAACTAGGTGATGAACATTCATTCATAACTGATTTTTCTTTGATTGAATAGGAAAATAACAAAGTTAAAATTGTCACTTTTAAATAAGATGTGCTTGTAATTGAATTCGATAAAAAGGATTGCCCAATTACAGTCAAGAAACTATTGCTCAGACATTTACAATAATAAAGCTATTCTACTCTAACTATTTGATGATTATTTATAGAAATATATTTATAATCTTATTTTTTTTTGATTCCTCAATAATCCATTAATCCTTAATGAGGTGATAACAAAATATAGGATAATAGAAATCTTTATCTTTCATATGTTGAGTTTTAATATAATAATAAATCAACTTTTATTTCTTTATCATTTATCTTTTGATAAATCTAAGATCTTTCTTAATCCTAATACCTAAGTTATTTTGAATTACTAAAATACAAATTTTAGAAATTGATCATCATGTTTATAAATTTGAATATTTTAAAAAGATATCTAAGGTAAATTTATATTACAAAAAAATAAAATATCATAATTTAAATAAAGAATGGATATCCAATAACTTCTAGTCGAAAAATTACTGTATGATTATTGATTTGCTTATATCATAGTGGAGTAACATTCATTTAAAATAAGAATATTATTTAATTTTTGTATTCTTTCACCTAAACTTAATTCTATTCTAAGAAAATATTATATAATTTATTTCTGTTAAATTTCTTTCAAAAAGCTAAATTTTTTGATAATTTATCTGAAATCCTCTCAATACTCAATTTTATTATTAATTAGATATAGAAAAGAGAAGATTTTTTAATTTATATATTATTATGATTGTAATAATATTAAGCTTCTATTTTTCTGAAATTACTAATAGATAATGTTTTTCAGTTATTTTTAACTGTATAATTAAATAAGTTAATCAAAGTAAAAGTAAAGATTGCTTGATTTATTATAAATTTTTTATCATTCAATTACTTCCTTCTTATTTTATATTAAATTAAGAGCATTAATTTAATTTGAATGCTTAATATGTGGAATTAGAAGAAATGTTATATGTGTTATAGTTCTTTTGATATTAGTGAGGAATGCTAAAATAATAATTTTTTTTAATTCTACTAGTTGATTTGATTATCTATATCTATCAAATTTAACAAATTCCTCTTATTCTCTAAATAACAATTATTATCTTTAATCGTCCATAAAGGCTATTTGCAAAAAAATTAACAGTAATTAGAATAGATTTCTTTACAAAGCAAACATTTTAATAATACCTATTAGTTCATATGAATATTGCTCAAAAAACTATATTCTAAGTAAGTCTTTTAATTCTGAATTATTGAAAAACTACTCAATTCTTTTATGACATAATTAAGCAATCCACTACTTTAATTCATCTATAATCTTTTTATTTTGGTTTTAAATAAAATTAGATTAATTTATTGATTACATAACCTATAAAATTTTCATTATTTTTCAAAAATTATTAAGATTACAATTCAGTATATACTAAGTAGGATCTGAAATAAAACATCTTACTAATTTATTAAATGTTTGTTTTATATTTGAAAATTGGAAATAATTAATATTTAATATCCTAATAATAATCATTAATTTGAGAACACAACTAGTAAGATTATGCCATAAAATATTGCGGATGGTAAAAATGTATTAACAAATTTTCCAATACTATTGAACTTATATGAATAAATACCTAACATATTATCCACTTAAAAGTAGCATTAACCAAATATGAAACATTGAATAATTTTTTTTCCCTTCATATTTCATATTATTTAAAGCCTTTGCAACATGACTGTGACAATTATTTGTAAATAAATTATGCTATTGTTTTTCAAACTAATTACCATCTATTAGCTATATTCATCATCTGCTTTTAACACTGCATCGTCCCAACTTTATCTTGGCACTTAAAAATCTTCATTTAATTTAAGATATTTTAATGGTTTTCCAAAAGTAAAATTATCTATGGCAATATAATAAGGCCCTCCAAAGTCATGGATGGTCCCTTCTGATGTACAAATTCCAGTATGTCCTATACAAGGAATAATCCACGTTAAAACTGGTATGCTAGTCCAAACTATACAGAATGGGAACCTAATACTTTGAAACATCTTCATACTTTTAATTTTCAACACTAATTTAATCCATTTATTCTATTTCCATGTTTTCTTTTTCTCCTTCTTACACATATTTCTCTTCCTACATTTGCAAATGATGAATATGAGCTTGTTTCGTACTCTGTACACCCATAATTTTTAATATAAAATATGAAATTTAAATAAATATTTTTTATTTCTATTCATTCTTATAATCTATTCATTCTTTTATTTATTTTTTTAGTAGTTGTAGACTAAGAAGATTTTTTATAATTCAGGTAATAATGTTGATTCATCTTCAAGTTCAATTAATTTTTGCTTTTCTCATCAAAATTTTTTATTTTAGATTCAAGTATTATTTTTCTAAATTTATATTTCATTTTTCAATAATAGTTACTTATTCCTATTTTTTTTACTTCTGCAGTCTTCTGCTTGAATATTCTATATTGATATAAACTTTTAGAAGATTTTATTCTCTTTATTAAGATTTCCTTTTCCCATTAATGTTTGTTTATTGATTTATTATGTTATTTTTATTTGAAGTATCTTAACTGATTTTTTAACCTGTTGTTTTTATCGTTCATTTCTCTTTTTTCATCTCTTAATTGTTGATATGAACTATCTAATAATTTTCAACTTTCAGTGATTATTATGTATAATTTTTACATAGTTTTAATTGTCCTTTGAGTTTCTTATAATATTAGACATCTTAATAAAGCAATATCCATAAAATTCTTTCTCTCCGTTAATTACCTTATAAGCAGACGCTTTACCTAAAATTTCTATTCAAAATTTGATCATAAATTTATCCTAAATTAATTAGAATTAGTTTTGTAAATCATTAAGTTTATAAAATAGATAATTATATAGATAGAGTTCAAGGTTTATGTAAATCTTTATTACAACCATAAAGACAATCTCTACATCTATTACAACAAGTGAAATATTTGTCTTAACCGCATAATCTAAAAGAAAAGTATTTTCAATTTCCAGGATGATAAGTACAACTTGCCTTATTTTAATCTTCTTTTTAAGCGAATCCACATCTTATGCATTTCCACATTATTGGAGACAATTCTATTTCCAATGTAATTTTTTTTAATTTCTTCCAAATACTTGTCAAGATTATCTATATTATTTTCAATCAACTTAATTTTTTGAGAATATCATGTTTAATATTTTTAACATATTCTTTGTCGTCTAGATTTGATTTAAGTACTTTTAATTGTTTTTCTTATTGTATATTTGATTTTTGTTAGCAATCTAAATTGATTTGTAATCCTAAATTTGAACTTTGATTTCATCCTGTTCTGAAGTCACCTTTGCTAAAGTTACATTGCAAGAGCTAATAATTCTATCAACTTCTAATTCTGATAGAAAAGAATCATGAGAAATTTATAATGAAGACATATGCGTTATTTTTAGTAACATTTATTTTATTTAAATTAAAATAACATAAATTTATTTTTGATGATAAGATAATATAAGAAAATTTAAACTTCTGAATTAGTTTAATGAGAAAGATGTTTAATAAACTACGATATACTAATATTATGAAATCATCGGTTCTTGAATTGAGGTGAGCTATACATTTTAAGTGTATTTATATGACCATTTTAGCCCACAGTAAGTGATTATATTAAGTTCAATTGATCTATAAAATCTTCGCTATCTGATACTGACTCTGCAATCATCATTTAATATGAATTTTCAACATCGTCTCTTTCTATCATTTAAGAATGACCTTCTTCATAATGTTATTCAATATTTTCTTATACTTAAGCTAATTACATTTTTGCTTATTAGAGACTTGTTTATGTTTTCAGTGTTTTTATCTGTTGTTAATCTGGTGTATGATAAAGATCAATATTTGTTATAGGAACTGATTTAAAAGGAGAACTTTCTGTTTTTGGAGTTCGAGGTAATGATGATAATGTTTTTGAAGTTTTTTAATTATTAACAGAGTCTCTTTTAGCAATGCTTTCATAGACATCTTCATTTGTAATAGTTCTCAATCCAATATCAGACAAATTTTTCTTTATTAAAGATGTTTTTTGTAAACCTACAGTAACAAATTCATCTATTTTGTAAGGTTCATTCAATATTATTTTAATGACTTCAATTGGTTTTCTTTATAGATCCTCAATATCAGACATATATTTCTCTACTGTTTTATGATAGCAATTCATTATTTCATTAAATGGTTCTTATGCAATTTATTTGACAATACGATCTAAATTTTATTGTACATCATTTTTCATGCCAATACTTTCTTACTTTTAATTTTAGAGTGATTTTATAGTTTCTTCATATGTCAAGGATGTCTATTTGAAATTTTATGTTAATTGTTGAATTAATTTGTCTTTCTCTTCTGATAACTATTAGGTAACCAATTAATGAAATCTAATTACTTTATCTACCTATTATTCAAAGTATTTTGTAATGTCTTATTTTTTAGTTAATAAACCAGACAATGCTTTATCATATTAATTAAGGTTTCTATTAACCAAGTTTAGAAACTTATCAATTACATCTCTTCGCTATCGTTCCTCAAATCCATTAATTTCCTCAACTAAAAATCCTTTACCTGCCATATTTATAGCACATTTCGAACACAATGACACTGAAAGATCTTTTGCCATGCAATATTTTGCGGATTTTTAAGGATGATTCATGCAACACATATTTTTATTAGCTTTTGATTTGTTTAATGTGTTTATATTTTCATTTCCTACAATGGAATTGTAAGGAGTGAATTTCATTGATTTTGGTTAAAACATTTTATAAATTTTTGAATTTTAAATTTTATTATAAACGAATTAATTATTGCTTTATCTAATTACAAAGTATAAGTAATGCTCACTATAAATGATAAATTATATAAGATATGTAATAATATTTTTGATTTAATTTCTTATTAAGGTTTTAGAAATTTTGTTCAGATAATCATATAAATAAATGATGTGATTATAAATTTAGTATAATTTATCTTTTCTATTTCCAGATTAAAATTTACTGAGATGATTGACTAAACTTTAATAATTAAATACAATTACAATATTTTAATCCTTCAAGCTATCTTTAGTAAATTTATTCTTCTTCTTCTTAGCATATTTAATAATTTGTTAATTTAATAACATTCTATATAAAAACAAAATAACTTAAAGTCATAATGTGATAATAATAAAGTGATTATAAACCATTAATATAGGGTAATTTCTTTAAAAATGATATAAATAATTTAATTTAATAATGAGCGTGATTAATCCTCAATTTAAACCATCTAGATTTCGATTAGAAAGCTTAGGACCTGAATTGGCTTTTAATCAGACCTACAACCCTGTATGAATATAATATTATGATAGCGATTTTGCTATATTGGAAGTTAAGACTATTTAAATGATTTATTGTCATTAGAATAGTAGTAATTAGAGGAACAAATGATTGCTTTGATTACTCAACAATCTCTTGATATGGAGGAGAAAAGTCCTTAGGTGACAACTTTAGCAGAAAAGCAATAAAATAATTATAAAAAAAAAGTATGAAAAATTATCATCTAATTATTAGAAAGTCTTTGATAGTGCCGATTATTTTATGTAATAACAACAGAAAAAAGATCTAACAATAGAATAAAAGTAGGAAGAGTTGTTGTTGACTAAATATGCAGCTTCAGATTTATAATTTAAAGCTCCCTTGACAAAGAAATAAAAGAAAGTGTTTGACTCCGCCGACTACTTCCTTTCACTATACAAAAATTGATATAATTAAAACCGTTTAAAATATATATTAATACCTATTGTTTATTGATTTGCTCATTTTTGACATTCTATTAACAAGAAATATTTGTTACTCATTAAATATTGGACACTAATATATCATACAGGAAGAAGGAACAAACCTAATTATCAAAACAATGACTCTCTAATAAATTTAATTTAAGATCAAATAACTTAAAATTAACAAAATCTGATAAGTTTAGCTAAGAATCTCTGTAAAATGATACTACAATTTAAATTAGCAAAAGAAAAGTATGATCCAATTAAAAATATATTAATTAAAAGGAAATTCAATTAAGATTCAACTTCCTCTTGCCAAATAAAAACTTTAATTTTAAACATCAATTGAATAATTGAGTTATTAATAATAATTATGAAAAAAAGATAAAAAGTCTCTGAAAGTATATATGAATAATAATCTAAATTAGAATTATCAATAAGTAATGAAATTTGAATTAATTAATCTCCTATATTCTAACTCTAAGACACAAAGAAGAGAATTTAAAATAAACTATTTAAAATACATCAAAAATCAAAATCTGGGAAGTTGTTAAATTATCAATTTAAATGAATAATATTGAAACAAACTAATTAAAATAGATAAGACAATAAATGGTATATAAATTAATTTTAGGTGTTCAACTTTAATGTAGTAACACGAGGATTTTATTGATCATAAAATTTTCTATTTTCATTGCAATATTAAACAAAATATTATATTTATTCATAATTTAAAATCATGATTATCCCAAAGGTTTAATTGAGTTTTCAAATATTTAAATTAACTCTTTTAAATGCTGTCCATTCAGGCAAGTAACATCAACTAAGGCTGCTGAAACCAAATATGGATCAATATTTGCAGCTGGTCTTCGGTCCTCGAAATACCTAAATAATCAAAATAACAATTACCCTTATCCTTATTCTTTTGTGATTATTGGAACTCTGACAGAACATCCCCTTGCGCCATCTCCCCATGTAAATACATCATATTTGCCTGTTTCATGTTTTCCTGTTAATCTTAATTCATTTTTTTATCCATATAACTTAATCATATCAATATGATTTTCTTTAAGAATAGGCATTAATTTATCAACTATGTATCGATATCCTCCCTCTTATCTAGTAGTTAAAGTAGAGTAATTGCAATGAGCTCCACTTCCATTCCAATCTCCTAAAATAGGTTTAGGATCATAATTTATATCAATTCCAAATTCCTCACCTATTCTTTCCAATATATATCTTGCCAACCACATGTGATCACCAATTTCAATCCCTTCAGCAATTCCAATCTAAAATTCCCACTATGATGGTGCAACTTCAGCATTCAATCCTGCTATTTTAATACCTGCATTAAGGCATGCACGAAGATGAGCCTCTGCCAATGCTCTACCAAAATTATTTCTTTCTCCAATAGAACAATAATATCTCCCTTATGGATATGGGAACCCACCATTTGGCCAACCTAAGGGCCATAAATGTGTGGTGCCTGTTCTTTTTAATAAAAAATATTCTTATTCTATACCAAACCATGGTTTTTAATCTTTAGCTTGTTCCATAATTAAATTAGAAATCCACCTTATACATATATGATTTTAATACCTAAAATTAAATCTAGCTGGAGTCTTTTTATCAGGCAAATATGTTTCACAAAGTACTAATAGATGTGGATCTCCTCTAAATGGATCCTTGACCATTCGGACAGGTTTAAGATAAATTTCAGAAAATCTGGTCACTGCTTAATCAGTAGATGAACCATCATAAGTCCACCATTCTAAATCCTCTAAAGTTTTTATAGGATTCAAATAAACCTTTATTTTTATAGATATGCAAAATACCTTCGTCTTTGATCTTAACTATTCTCCTGTACCATCAATCCAAATATATTCAGCTAGTACATACTTTTTATTAACATCTGGAGAAAGTTAGTAATAATTGAAATCACGAAGATTCTCAATTGTTTCAGTCATTAAAATTGGGATAATTAAATATTTGAATATTTTTTATTCCACTTTGATAATTCTATATTTACTAAAGTAATTCTTTCACATTTAATATATATGGATTTCCATATATATTAAATGTTTATAATTTGTATTAGATGATAATTTCTGTGAAAATTGAATAAATTATCGAAAAATAATGTACAAAATAATGATAAGAATACATATTCAACTCAAAGATAAAAATATATTGATCTCTTCGTATTAAAAACAAGAAAATTGTAAAGATTGATAATAAAGACTAAAATATCGTTAAATACAAATAATCTGAATAACTGAAACTATAAGGATGAAAGTTTGATATAAATAATAAAGGATTTTAAAAAGCAAATAATTGCCAACAAGATTTCAAAATCAACAAGTTAAAATTAAATATATTTAGTTAAATCTTTTTTATTTAAAGAAAATAAAATATTTCTTAAGTAAAACTAAAGTTAAATCAATAATAAAATTACTTTATAATAAATATACTTTGAATTTGGATAATCTTAATCCAAATATTCGGAATAATAATGAACTATTGATTTTTTAAACTTAGAAATGAATAAGATAAGATAAATGAAAGGAAATTAATTTATTGAGTATTAATTTAGAAATATGGGATTTAGAAATATAATTATAATTATAAATATATTTTATTTATATATGAGTAAACAATATAAAGACATTAGAGCAAATTTTGTATTTGATGTTGCTCCTAGAAGTACTCACTAATCTAGTGATGAAATGCCAATGGCAATAAAGCAAACGGACCCAATAAGAATTGATAATCAGGAATAAGATGCTCAGGGAATGAGTTAATAACGATAATAAAATTTTGATGAGGAGAAGTTGAAATCATATTAGAAAATGTTTGAAATGTGTCAATAATTATATAATGATAAAGCTTAACTAATAGATGTATAATTGTATTTAATTAGAGACAGTTGATTAATAATAGAAATAAATATTAGAACTAAAGAGATAAATTAATGGATATGAGAATTTGTAAGCGAATTATGAAAAGGAATAGATGCAATTAAAAGAAGAATAATAGTAATATATTTAGGAGATTGAAACATTGACATGTCAGTTATAAATAGTGATGGATTAAAGATAGGATATAAATCAAATATAGAATAATTAAGATGAACTTTATGAATAATTGATGAATTTCATTTATAAAGAGAATCTTTCAGAGTTGATAAATGACTTGGATAAAAGTAATAAAAAGATGATTGTATAGTTTTTAGTAGAATATGTAAATTGTTGTTTTGATGGTTTAGTTAATCAACTAATATGTATAAAAAAAAAATCAGGAAGAAATCTATTAGATCCACATTTAAGACAATATATAAATAATTTATGATTTATAAAGTAAAATTTAAGACCTTACTTGTAATCCTTTCAGAATTACTACTCCAAAAAGTGTGTTTAGTGACACTTTAAAATAGAGTAAGATGAGCAACAGTGCAAGTAATTTCCATAAGACTAGTAATAATAATAATGTTGATAAGGAGGAATTATAATAAAAGATTGGTATTTTTATACTCTTAATTAGTTTCTTTAAAGCGTTAAGGAAAACAAATAAATTAAAAATGGCAAGAGTTTTGTGAAAATATTCTAAGGGAAAGAAATGAAGTAATTAAATACCACAAGAAACAAATTGAATTAATTAATGAATAAAATCTAGAATTAAAGAAAACTATCTCTGAAATTATACAATATTTGGGATAGAATTAATAAGAATTGTGGATACAAATGTTAGATATTAAATAAAAAATACAGTTGAAGGTTATTGATTTAAGTAGAAGTGACAATATCAATAAATTATTAGTAGAAGCAGAACTGAAACAATTATTCTCTATATAGGCACAATTAAAAAGCCAATTAAATCGTAATAGACCATTAAGAAAAGATTTATAATGAATTATATGCTAAAGAGATAATTGTTGAGTAGTATACGTGTTAATTTTTTATTTTAATTTATGAGACTTCTTCATTTGCTTAGACCTGCACTTTCTATCATTCCAGAAGTACAAGAGCCAAGATTTCCTCAACCATTGAAGGTCAAAGTGCTCATTACAGGAATTACTCTCTTTATCTATTTGATTTGTTGCTAAATACCATTATATGGTGTGTATCGTACTTCAGGTATATTTTAAAATAAATATGTTAGGATCTGATCCTTTCTATTGGATGAGAGTAATCTTGGCTTCTAATAAAGGTACATTGATGGAATTGGGTATTTCACCAATTGTAACATCTGGAATGATTTTATAATTCCTTAGTGGAGTTGGATTTATTGAAGTTAATCATTCTGTTAGAGAAGATAAGGTATTATTCAATGCAGCATAAAAATGTAATTCTGATATCAATTTTTAGTATTATCTTTTATTATGGCAATTGCAGAAGGAATGGCCTACATATGGTCTGGTGCATATGGTGACATAAATCAAATTGGAGCAGGCAATGCTATTCTCATTTTGTTATAATTAACATTTGCTGGTGTTGTTGTTACAATGTTAGATGAAATGCTTTAAAAAGGATATGGTATAATATAAAAATTTAAATCTTTTAGGTTTGGGCTCAGGTATTTCATTGTTTATTGCAACAAATGTAAGTGAAAACATACTTTGGAAATCATTTTCACCAATTACATTGTCTACTGAAGCCGGTACTCAATTTGAAGGTGCGATTATTAATTTCTTCCATTTGATATTCACTAAATAAAATACACGTATATTTTAATCTAATACTTTTAGTTTAAGCACTTTATTATGCATTCTTTAGAGAATCAGCTCCAAATCTTAATAATTTATTAGCCACTTTATTTGTGATCGCATTGGTCATATACTTATAAGGTTTCAGGGTTGAAGTTCCATTAGCAAGTTAAAAAATTAGAGGATTAGTGTCATCTCATGGAATTAAATTGTTTTATACCTCAAATATTCCAATGATTATTCAAAGTACCCTTGTTTAAAATGTTTATTTCCTTTCATAATTACTTTATAGAAGATTCAAAACCAATTTCTTTGTTAAATTACTAGGTACATGGTAAGAGGCAGAATTTGGTGGTTAATCAGTACCTATTGGAGGATTAGCTTATTATATGTCACCATTAAGAGATGTTAAGGATATTATTAATGATCCAATTCATGCAATTGTTTATCTATTATTTGTTGTTTTTATGTGTGGTTTCTTTGCTAAATTTTGGATTCAAATTTCAGGAGAAAGTGCTAAAGATGTTGCTAGAAAGTTTAAAGATGAATAAGTATAACTAATAGATTATCCAAGATTAAAATTAAAGGTTTGAGAGAAGAATCTATGGTCAAATATTTATCTGGTTACATTCCAGTTGCAGCCTTTTGTGGAGGAGTTTGCATAGGATTATTGACTATTGTTGCTGATATTTTAGGAGCAATTGGATCAGGTAATTTTAATTATTAAAATTTTAGGAACTGGAATCTTATTGGCAGTAACCATTATTTATGGGTATTTTGAAACTTTTCATAAGGAAAAATATGATAATTAATCCATATTTTGATCAATAGTAGTTTATCTATATTTATGTATAAATGTTATAGTTATTCATTCTAAAATGACACTATTTATGTTTATTCATGATTAATACTAAAATAGTTTGGGTACTTCAAGACCTTTAACAAACTATATTTTCTAATATTCATATATAATATGATTGATTAAAAATTATATTATCTTTAAATTAAAAAATAATATTTTAATCAAAATATCATAGTTAATCATACTCAAATAGTTACAGTTGAATTATTATTTTAGAAATAAATAAATTTGATCTTGTTTTGAATTAATGAATTGGTTTTGTTAAAATTTGATCTTCTTATTACTATAATCTAAAGGGTTTTTGAATTTTAAACAATTAATGAGAAAACTGATTAGAAATTCAAATACTATTTATAGGATTATATATCAGAAATTAATTGAAATCAATATTTAACATACATTTATATAAATTAGTTAAATTCTAATACTCAATACTAGTTTAACTTTATTAAAGTTAATTTTGAATCAAAAGTTTTGTATATGCTATAATTTTATATTATTTATATTTTCCAAATATGAAATGGGAATACTTTAAGTAATATCAAGGCTTGATAATTCAAACCAATTTGTCTCCTACTATAAATAATTTCAGCTATGCAAAATTCCAAATAGCAGTATATTTTCTGTAATTATCATAATTTTTAATTGATGATTCAAAAGAGCAAGTTTTTAGCCTGATAAAATCATTCACAAAAATATGCTTGATATGCCCATACTTTATGAATAACAAAGATATCAACATTTTAATAGGCATTGTAATAACTGTGCTTAATTGCCTTCCCTATATCATTATCACATATCGCTTCATAATGAAAAGCCATAATAGTGTAGACAGTATCTCAAAAAGTGTTTTAGATGTACATATTTATTATCCTATTTAGTTAACCACAATAATAATAAATAACTATTTTCTAAATTTCACTTGGTTATTTTATGTATCACAACTCTACTACATTTGTTGGAACTTATTAAATGTAAGTGATCCATTCTTATTATTGCTTTCAATTATTAATTTATTGATTGCTTTGGGTAGCCTACTAATTTCAAATATCTATTTTATAAATTATGAATTCTTTTAGTAAAGCTTAAGAAAATACTTTAATTACATCAATATAATAGCTTAATTACTATTGATTCCTCTAGTTTTTATGTCAATAAGAAATTAATTTATATTTGTATTGGTATCCAAAATTATTTTTGGATTGTTCATTTGTATGTTAATCGGAGAGGCAATCATTGAATATCCTTTTGGGTAACCTATATAATTCTAATCATAATAGATTTTCAGCTTATGCAAAACTATATAATAAGGGATTAACAATATTCACAATTGTATATCTTATAACAACTATCTAGAAAGCATTTTCAATAAATTCATATTCATGTATTGTTATATTTTTAATATTGTTGCCTGTTTCATAGCATTTAACAACTGCTTTAATAGAAATGAAAAGATAAACTGTTTATTAGACAATATCAAAACAAAATCAATATTTTGAATTATTGTATATTGAGAATATGTTTGAATTGAATGGTGAAGCTTAAAAGTGTAAGTAAAAAGAGATAGAATATATAACTAAATTTTGTATGCATCATTCTCATTGCAGATAAAATAAATGTTAATGTAAAAAAATTGGATTTGAAAAGATAATTAAACTTGATTAAACTGTTATTTTTGTATCATGTTTGTTTAAAAGAAGTTTTGATAAACACAAATCTACTGTATAAAAAAGAATTGGTGATTTTGAAGTTCTATCATTGAAATTTTTAACTTTCATCAATAAATTTAAAAGAAATGGTCCTAAAACTTATTAAGAACTCAAAGTTCTATTTTAAAAATAAAGAGAATATTCATTCTATTTTATTTAAATGTGCTTATTTCTGTAATTCATAATATAGGCTCAAATGTAAAAGGATGAAGATTATAACATAAATTCAGAATCTAGAAGTAGAATCTCAAATGTGAAATTGTAAGTGAGTAAAAGTGAAAGAAGTATAGTATAAAATCTATATTAAATGGAATAAGTCAAATAATATATGTTACCTTTATTAATCTAAGTAATAAATATGTAAAAATTATTAGATCTGTTAATTTAAATCTGGTTTTTGGAAGTAAATTTAGGAAGGGAAAATAGCAACATTTATTGAAATAGAAAAATAATTGTAATAACTATAAATATTACAATAATAAATAACTAAAGAATATAATAGATATTGTTCAATATTTTTTGTTAATGGTAGAACCTATAATGTTTAATTCTTAAAATTTGATGCTCTTATCTAATTGATTTTATATAACAATGCTAGAGCATATTATGATATGGAAAAAGGTAATATAAAGTTAAAATAATTAGATTGTAAGGAGATTTTAGCATATGAAAGAAGTATGAGTACTTTTGAAATTACTAACATTAATTTTTTTAAAGGAGATGCCATTTCAGTTAAAGTATGTATAGCATTTGGACCAAATATTGGGAAGGTTAGGAATAAAGTTATTTCACCATTGATTCCTAGATTTTTTGGATTTGCAGACATGGCCTCATTCATAGATTATACAAAAGGTAATATAAATCCACTCATGCCTAATTGGCTTTTAGGTGTACATGATGAAATGATGCAAAATTATATTAGAAGAGGATCAACTTAAAGAATTGGAAAATATTTTTAAACATTTGCTAAATTATGTGATCAAACATTAATTAGATGTTAAGTTTATTTAGCTCATAATTTCAGTCCAGATTTAGAAGCTGATTTTTCAATGATTGGATGTTTGAAAAGATTAGAATAAGATGAAATAGATCCTAAAGATGAATCTAAACGATTGAGAAATCTTATATTCAAAGGATAATAACATGTTTTATTTGATATTTATGGAAATTTAATGGGAATTACATAAGGATTATATAAAATGATAGATCGTATGTAAAGAAAGCTTAAAGATAATAATAATAATAATAATAAATAAGATGAAGTTAAATAAAAATCTTTTGAAAATGATGAATCTTCTGAAGATTCAGATTCTGAAGTGTATTTATAAATATTATTAATATTAGTTTCGATGTTTATGAAATTAAATGGTCAAATTAGCCTCTAACAATAGAAGACTTTTACTTAAAAGTATTAATTTGGATGTTATTTCCATTTATAACTGCTGAAATAGAGTAAACAGGAATAGAATATTTAATGAATGGTTAAATACCTCCTAAAGGAAAGTATCCAAATCCAATTGATCTTGAGAGTAGTAATACAGTAGTTTCAAACAAGGAGACATATATGTTTATACCAGAAGATATTAATTTGTTTGTTTAATAATATAACAAAGTGTTAGGAAAGATTAATGAAGATGAGAAAATTTAGACATCCAACTTTTCATTAAGTGGAAAAAGGGCTTAATATATTGAATCTGAATCAATTAATGCCAAATAATAGGTTACTGTATTTAATGAGAAATTATGTTCTTTCTTTTTTGAGGAATTTTTGAGGAAACATCAATAATTAGTGTTAGGCAATTTTTCAAGGTAAGATATGAGAATGTCTAATCTTAATTAAATGACTACTACAATATAGAATTCTGAAAAAGTAGATTCATCTTCTGAAAGTGAAGGATAATTAAAAACTAGAGCAGAATAAATGTATTATGATAAATTTTAGAATTATATATAAAGAATTACAACTTAAGATTTTAATCCTATTCCTGTTATTTATTCTATTAATTATGAAGAATTTAGGTATAAAAAAAATGAAATAGAAAATAAAGTTTAAATGTTTGTTATTGAATTAACTGTAAATGAATAATAATTAGCAAGTATGGAGAAAGGATATCGTAAATAATTAAGAGATACATTAAAGTAAATGTAGGCATAAATGAAGTAAGAGAAAACTGAAAATTTAAATAGAGGATCTACTAATGTAAAATAATCTTAAAATTAATCTCAAATTGAAGTTATTTCAGAAGATTCTATGAGTTTATAAGGTAATTTTAGTGAAAAAGTTGAACAAGATGATTAAATATCTTTATATAAATTTTTGAGTCACCCATCAAAAATAGAGGAATATTGTTTTAGTGACCAAAACATACTCACTGATTAATGTATTATTACATCTGCTAAAGAAGAATAAAATAAATTACTATTAACAAATAGAAAAAGTCTATAATTACTAGAATATGGGATATACAGTGCTAAAAGTAATGGAACTGAAAATCAATTTGAATAATAGAGTAAAAACAATTAAATTGATTTTCTTAAAGCTTCAGAGAAGGAAGCTGCAAGCAAAGTTGTTTTAAAATTATCTTAAAAAAGTAGATAACAAAAGTTTTACAATGAATTAGAATAAAAAGTTATTTAAAGTAATTAAGATAAAGAGAGAGAAAAAGTAGAGAATGAGGATTCATATCTTATATAACTTAAGAATTTTGATGAAAATTACAAAGCTATAAATTAAAAAATTAACGAATTCTAATACCCTAATTCATATAAATTTTAAAATTATATTCTATTTGCTACTCTACTATTAGTAATTGCTTATATTTTACTTGTTTCTATTGCAGTTTGGAATTAATATGATTATGGAGATTGTATGAGTTTAATATAAATATTACTAAAATTTCAAAAAACATATTCATTAATTACACATGGATTATTTCGAATTTAATATTCATATGACTTTAATATAACAAATTTTGATTAGTTGCATGTATTTTATGATAAATAAATATTCTAAGAAGTTGATTAATTGATTAATTTTAGTAATACTCAAAAGAATACTATAAATGACATTGATATTTAATTATCTATTTTTTATGACATAGACAATAGTACTAAACTTAATTTATCCATTACTGAAACCATTTAAAAATCTTTAGCTTAATTTTATAAGGTTGTTGAAAATAAAGTTACAACTGATTATGAATTACAAATTCAATTTATACAATCTAGTGTGGCAAATTTAAGAGAAATTGGATAACTTCCTTAATTGGCTTTTGATTCATGTTATGATACTAAAATTGATAAAGAAAGGTATTATTAATAGTTATTGATAATCTTTATGGTAATTATATTTTTATTAGTATTAATTTTATAATCCTCATAAATTCCTATGATTTCAACATTAGGGAAATATAAAAAAAAACTTTATATGGCATTATTAGATATTAATTAATTATAATTTGCTTAGGAATAAGAATCTTTTGATGCCCTTGCATCTACTCTTAAAAAATCAGTTTATGATTGGATGATGATAGATTTCATTGTTGAAGGGAAAATATTTGATATTGAACCATTATATTTAAATGGTTTTTCTTCAGATAATGCTTCAACTAATTATATTGATAATTAAAATAGAACTAAATAAGAGAAAAATAAATTAATTAAAAAATTAAAAGGTTCCAATATCCAACAAATTAGATACATAATCCTATTAATTATAGACTTAGTAGTGATAATGTCATACTTTTTGGTGATATTTCTTATTATCTTTATATTGACTGATTAATTATTATCAGGATTAGAATTACTCTTTAAATATTAGACTTTATAATCATCATTTATTAATGTATTGAATAATGCTGATTTGGTGGCATATAAATCTTTATCAAATTCATCCTTATATTATAATATAATATCACAATCTGAATTTTTAAATTACTCTTAAGTTCTTCAAGGAACTGAATAAGACTTCTTTCTTCAGTATGATAATAATATCATAGTTTCATTAACAGACGAAAATATTAATTAAAAAATAGAATTTATGAATTAACAAAGCATTTGTAACACTCAATATGCTCTGGATTGTCAATCAACATTAGTTGGAATTTATAATGAATAAATTTTAGCATATTATTAATAGGGTCTTAAATCTTTATTTGTTTAAGTTTATAAAATTATTCAATAATATCCATAATTTTATTAAGGAAATTAAATTAATAATAGTCTAACTGATTTTAGTAATTTCGTAGAAACTTCCGATCATATAGCCTATTTAGATTATGGAACTGATCTAATTATTACAGCTTATTCATCAATAGTCGATATGGCATAAGAGTAATTTGATATACAGATCTCAAAATATTAGCAAACTTTAATTATTTTTATTTTAAGTATTGGGATTTTAGGACTCATAATTAAAGCCTTTTTAGGAAGAATGTTAATGAGAATGTAAAAATAATCAATTGACACTTGTTAAGCATCATTATTACTATTATCCCCAAGAAGATATACATAAAAGTCTATTGCTAAATTAATTACATAAATAATTTGATTTTTTCTTATTATTATTAAAATATTATAATAAAAACTTAAATTAATATTAATATTCAAAATTATAATTTATTAAATGGTTTTCTAAATGAATCCTTGCAATATTAAGATGCTTCATTTTATGTTAATTAATATAAGATAGGTATTATTTACTAAAAGTCTTATTATAATGGAACTTTATATAAAGTTAAATGAAATTCTTATAATAGATTAAAGCCTATTTATTGATACTTAGTTTATTTATGTTTTCGTAAGACTGAAAAAAAGTTATTTAGATTCAATCTTCCATAAATAATAGCAAATTGTTTACTGAGATATTAATAATACATCAAATATTTTGATTTCCGATGCCAAAATTCAAAACATTATTAAATCTTAAGATCTTTATTTATTATGAATATTTAACATTATTAATCGAAATGTCTTTCAAACATCTACCTTAAAAAAGATCTATAAATTCTATATCTTATTATAAAGTTATATATAGACTATTTAATATATTATAATTATTTGGAAGTTTGATGAATTTGTTTTTGAAAATTCCATAAAAATGATCTTTTTTTTAAAATAGATTAAATTAGATTAATACTTTAGATTCGAGCTTTCTTTTATATCTATTTAGTAAACATATGTAGACATCTTTATATTGAAATAAATATCATTACAATTTGACATCAAAATGAACTCTTCCAAATAAGGAGTAGCCTTTCATTTTACAAATATTTCTTTTGGTTCTAAAATAAATAGTTGTTATTTTGGCCTGAATCTTTTAAAAATTCTATATAATTTAACGTTAATGTGTTAGTTTTTCATATATTTAACTTAAACATTATAGGTAAGCAATCAATCTAAAAATCTCAAATTAAATCTTTTATTTTAAGTGTCCATTTTAATCTAAATATTTTTATTACTTCTTTTATTTAATTTTCTTTAATAAATAACTAATTTCTTTTGTAAAATAATTAATCTATTTTTAACCTTAAGTATTTATTTCAAATTATTTTCTCTTATTAATAACTTCATTATATTTTCTCTCTTGTAAATTTCTTTATAATAATTTTTAAGACTTATAATCTTCATCATTTTATATACTTACATTTAAGATATTACCTTAAATTAAATTTCTTCCTTTTTGTAATTGATTTATTTTTCTTTAATTCAAAAAATAAGAAGAAGCAGATAAATTTTATTTGATTTATGTTTTTTTAGTTTATGGGCTTTTCCATTATGTATTATATATTCCTTTATTAGTGCCAAATGAAAATGAGATTTTTATGGTGCTTTCTAAAGCGAAAACCATGGAAATATAAATAAAAGTTTATTAAAATAATTGAGAATCCTTACAATCATATTTCCAGGTTTTGACTTAGAAGATTTATTCACATGAAAATTTTGATGGATATGGATTAGTTGTTGATAAAAATATCTTAAATTTAGTTGATTTAGATTAATTGATAGTAAATTTTAAAGGTGAAGCTTAACCTTAACAACTAATTTTATAATAATAGAATTCTTATTATCTCACTATTTATATATTAATAACATAAGATTATAATTCAATTGGATGCTATTAATATTATATGATTTTAATATATACATTTTCAAAATTATAATTAATCCATCTTTCTCCATAATCAAGATTTTTCTTTTATTTTTGATCATCTTATTTTTCAGGTTAAATCTAATAGGCTTTGTTTCTGGGATAAATTATATCTATTTTACTCTATTAATGAAATAGTATTGATATTTTTCTCATAATCTGGCAACATTATTTGTGTAATATAAGAAAACTATTAAAATGTATTCTATTTTTAAATAGGATTGACAATATTAGAAGTTGCCCTTCTATTTGTATCATTCCTTTCAGATTATTATGATTAAAATGAGAATGATTTTTCTGGATTGGAGATGTGTATTGTCATAGCATGAGTTTTTCTATAAACATCTCTATCAAATTCTGAATTAAATATTACATAGAATTATTAATTGAAGTTGAACATCTTTACATAATAGAATTTCTATCAATATTCTGAGTAGGTGTATTTGATTGATGAGTTCTTATTCGCAACTTATTGTTAATTTTATTCATTATTAAATTATTATATAAATGATGATTCTATTCTTAATCATAATTAGTGATTAATGAATAGAATGGAAGAATTCTTAATATAAGTTGAAATTCTTAAAATAAATTTGTTCATTTACATTTTGAATATTTTTAAATCATTTATCACCTATTCGTTAATTATAATATAAAAATGAATTCAGGTCCAATTAATTATGCAAGAACCATGAAACCAGTTGTTCCAACTTATTATCCATCTGAAATCCGTTAACAATCAGTTGGTAAAGAAAATAGAGCACCTATGAAACATAATTCATGTAGTTAAATTAGATTTGTAAATGTAATATATCTGAAAATAATAAACAAGAATTTACCTTCTGCTAAAACATAGGATAGTTTTGATTCATAGAAACCTTATGAATAAATCTTTGATAAATTAAAATTATAAGTAATCTAATTGCAATATGAATAAAATACATTAAACGAACAATTTCAAATTTAAATAAAATCTTTAAATGATCGAATGAATTGTAATGAATAGAGTGTAAAATAATTATATGATTCTGGAATTGGATAATTAAATAATGATGTTTAAATGAAAGATAAAATTAAACAATTAGAATTGAAAATGGGAGAAATACAATTATTAATAATAAATTAAGAATAGAAAGCACAAATTTAAACATAATCTTTGATGGAAAAATTAAAAAAGAATATATTAGAAACTACAAATAAGACAGAAATTAAAATATAGAATTAATTAGATAAAATTACAGAAATTATTTAAGGCATACAAAAATAATCAATTACTACACCTATAAGTTAAGATATAAAGAGATTTTAATAATTTAATGAAGAAGTTTCATCTTATCTTAGTTAAACAATATCATCAAATAATATTAATATAGTAGAATAAATAGTTGCAGAAATTAAACCAGAACTTAATCCAATTAACACTACAAGTCCATTAAAATAATAAATTAATAATAAATGTAAATTAATTATAATATATGATAGATATATGCCAAATGTCTGCTATATCAGAAAAGACTCTTGATGATTCAAGAAGTGATTATTAATAGATTTAATAATATGAATTGGATAGTTAAGGATATCTAATATCAAATGGTGCTTATGTCTTAGATTAAAATGGTTAAAGATATTAATTAAGTTTAGAGTAAATCAATTATCTAAAATCAATTAATGTAATTGAAGAAATAAATTCATGATAATATTCATTATTGTATATTTCATAAAATTCAATTGACTATTAAAAAAATTAATTAATTTATTAAAAAAAAGAAAAATTATGTTTTAAGCATAGAATAATTTTAAATCATTTAAGGAATTGAATAATTTAGAAGAGAGACAAACAAAATGTAAATAAAAATTAAATCAACATCCTGAAATGATTCCTGTCATTTTGGAGAAGCATCCAAAATCTAAAATGCCATAATTAAACAAATCATTGTATGTGAGATCTTTATCATATTGATATTTAGTAACAAAAGGTTTTCGTATGATTTAGTTTAGAGATACCTTAAAAAACACCTTATAAATATCTCCTAAGTAATCCTTATATTTTCATATTGGTAATCAACTTCTTCCTGAAGGTATTATTAATTTAATTCTTAATTAGATGTCAAATTAATAGATATATACGAGAAGAAAAAAGACCCAGAAGATGGGTTTTTATACATCACTTATTCTGACTTAGAAGTTTTTGGTTGATATTTTTATGTATTTAATATATAAATCCTTCATTTACATCTACCAATTTAATTCATCAAATTATTGATTATAATAGTGGATTTTCAAATGTTACATCTACATTGTATTAAATATATATAAAAATTATAGACTTATTTATTGTAAATTAGACAAATGAATAATGTTTAATATTTTGGATTAAAATGATATAAAATTGATAGTAATAGAGTTATTGAAATTTAATATTTTACAAATAATGTATAAATAAATTAATTAGAATATACTTTAGTTTAAAGTGATTAATTAGATGATTTTATTAAGTTAATTGGTTAATTGATATAAAATGGATTATTATTAGAAATGTTTAATGTATATTTTATTTAAGTTTGTAGAACAATAGAAATAATATAAATATTATTTTTACAAATAAAATGGTAATAGATAATAATACTTTAAAAATTTTATTATAACTAGAAGCTAGATTTCATGAAAAACTATATAATTTAGATCATGTTAATTAAATGTTAGAAATTTACTAAGATTTTGTTTAAATATTTGATAATTAGAAGTGTGCTATGAGAGAGTATTTCCTTGAAAAAATATAATTTTTAATTAGCAGACCTGAGACAATATAATTATTAAAGAAACAGAATGTGCTCACTATACCTGAATAAAGTTCTAAAGTTTAAGGGAAGATGAGATTTAGTGTTTATAAAAAAGCTTAAGCTAATGAAATGAAGATTTAATAAGAATTATAAAATAATGAACTAAATCAAACTCACAATATGAATCAATTACTATAAGAATATGATAAAGTATAACAAAATATTGAAAAATAAATTACAGAATCTCTTAATTTTTAAGATGAACTTCTTGAAAAAAGAAAAATGAATAGAAAGATGAAAACTTAAGTGATGATTAAATCAATTTCTACAGGTAATATTGCTTAGTAAAAGTAATAAGATGAAAATAATGATGAATAATATATATACAAATTGCATAATGAAAGTGTTTAAAGAATTGATAAAATTGATTTTGTATTAGATCATGGTGAATAATGAAAAGTAATTATAGAATTTATGCAGTCTAATATTTTAATTAATCTAAAATTTTTAATACTTTCTATGATATCCTAAAAATTAAATTCATATTATAAAAGAATAACTAACATATACTTATTTATATTATTTTTAAAATACATACTAATATTCAGAGAATAATTTATTCTTTAGTTTTCTTTTAATAAAAACTATCATTGCATCGATATTTGATATTAAAATAATCTCGATGATCTCTAATAGAATGACTCCACATAGAATTTGAACATTTTTCATCTTCAAATTTTGAATATTCACATTATTAATATTCTTTAAAATCCTAATTAAACCAATATTCAGGAACAGCATGTATATAATCTAATGATTATGGTGGTAAATGAGGAACTAAATCACTAAAGTGAGTTACTCTTGCTTTATCTTTGGTTGTTATTTTCTTACTAAAATATTCTGCAAAAGCTTTGTTTCCAACTCTAGGTGATCTAAAATATTGAATATGAATTAATCTATACCCAAATATATAAAATGTATGAATATATAATCCAATATTTGTTAGATCAATTGCTGCTAAAGTAGCCAAAGCTGCACCAAGTGAATGACCCGTTATTGTTAATTATGCATTTGGATTTTGTATAGACAAATCATTCACTTATTTTAATAAATCATCTTTGATATCTAAATAACTCTCCATAAAACCTGAATGCACTTTGCAATCAGAACAAGGATAATCTTATTTCATAAATTTCAAATCATTTATGAAATTAAGTAAATTTTAAGTACCTAAAGTTTTTGATAAGTGTACTTCGAAATGTAACTATAATTCTATTTTCAGCCTAATTAATCCCTACATAAGATAGAACACCATGTTTATCACTTTCAATCACTTTTATTGAATCCATATCAGGATGTTAGTCACAAAAATATCCACAATTCCATTCTTTTATTTATTGAGTGTCACAAACAGCTATTTTAGTATACAAATATAAATCATGTGCAAGTTTTTTAGAGAAATAAGCATTTACTACTGAAAATAAATATATAATAAACATAATAATAATAATATTTCTTTCAAAGATTTATCAAATTGTGATAATAAATTTATTATCTTTCCAGGTCCCTTCTTTTTTATGGTATTGATTATCATGAAAAGTATAAGTACCCTTTCCATTAGCTCTGTTATTAATAAAAAAACCTTCAAATTTATCTCCATTAGAAAATGTCAATCTACCATATCCTTATAACATTCCTTTTGTAAACATACCTTCAGCAGTTTTCCAATTACTTAAATCAGCATATCCTAAACAAGGTAAATCTATTCTTGTTTTTCTTTTAACTCCTTCATCTTATTCAATATTTTATTATCTATTATTATTCAATATCATTTATGAATGAAATCCTTTTCCAATCATTTTATGAATTTCACCTGTAGGATTGGTATTAGATGTAATTGAAAAGTGTAAATTATCAAAATCAAGTCCATCATCAAAATTAAATCCCTATATTTCTTCAGGAATAATTTATTCATTATTTTACTCTGTTACTAATTAAGTTATTTGTAATAAAGATTCTTCAAAAATCATTTAATTAATATTATAGAACACTCTTGAATATTTGAGTTCTGGTGCAAAATGTGAAAATTTAAGTTCAAGCTAAATGAAATCTGGTCTATCCTCTTCGTTTTCTTCAAGCATATTTAATAAAATCATTTTTGCATAGTTCTACAATGTCAGATCCTAGATATTACTTTTAATTTTATCCAATTTTACTCTATAATTATTTATATCATATAAATCATCATCTTGTGTTAAACATTTATAAATAAATAATCCAAAACAAAATACATCCGATTTATAGAAATTATGAATAGGATATTCTACTTTTTTACTCAAAGCATCTAATTATATGGGAGACAAATAAAACTTGGTTAACAATTATGCTATTTATTTTGTGTTCTTTTATAACCAACACTTTCTATAGAACATAATAAGATATGGATGAAGCATTGGATCCAATATTTTATAGTAGATTTTTCCATCAAAAGATCTTACCTATAAATTTGCATATTTTGAATTACTTTATAAACAGAATCACATCCAAAGTAAGAATATGTCTTACTTTATTTTTACCATTTTGACATTATTTATAACACTGCATCTAAAAGTGGTAGTAAGGTTTCTTCATCGATTTCCGTTACTGTAGATTCTGGGAAATCCATATAAATGACAGTTCGACTAGTTTCGTCTGTGATAATTTTATGAATTAAGAATAAATGAGGATGTTGTTCTCTTGATCTCCATTTCTTTAAAAAGGCTTCTGTTTCATGAGGTAAGCCTTTAAACTCTACTTTAGCTAATCGATACCAATCATTGTGAACTCTAATACTTCAATTTTACATACATTTTAACATGAGAAAATGCAGGATATAATTGAATTGCTTTATATGATTCAGGATGATCTGAAAACAATTTTTCATATTCATCTTTAAATTGTTTATTCAAACATATTCCCATTTTATATTTATACTTATTAATATAAACTATTTTTTATTATTTAACATCATAACATTAACGAATATCATTTCCAATTCTAGAACCATTATTTAGATATATGTATAATCTGGTTTTCAAATGATTTTAAATTATAATCATTTCATAGTTTACAATTATAATTTTACAATAAGAATTTAGAATTATTAAATTAAATTTAAATTTAATGGGTAATGCTATTTCAAATGGGAAATTGATATCTCCAATATCTATTGATGCATAGATAAAAGAATCATAATTAACAATAAGATTTGTGTTGGATCAAAAGAAATTATAGACTTAAAAAAATACAATACCAAAGGATTTTGATCATTAGATATCTTAATTAATAAAAGAATTAAAAGTGGAGCCAAAACTTCTTTAATAATTCTAAAATACACCATAAAGTAATATCAATTAATATAATTAGACTTTAAATGCTTGATATTGAATGAGTATAAAAATATTATAGGAAAGAATTTGTTATAAAATTTACCAAATGATGAAATTAACTATTTTACTTAAAAATTAATAAACCCTACTTTATAAGATTTAGAATAGATAAGAAGATATCTCAAAAACCTATAGATTCATAATTAATAGGATTAATTAGAACAATTTAATAATGTAATAAATTTACTTATAGAAAACTTATTTAGATTTTACTAACAAACACAATAAATTATTTAAAAAAAGAAACCTCCTTGTTATTTATACTAAATTGAAATATTAAATATACTTGAAATCTTAGTAAAAATAGAAAAAAATTAATAGTAAATGTTGCTTATCCCAGATTCAATGGATATTATATTAAAAAATTTGCATCCAACTCATGTTGAATTAACAACAATAGTATTAGAAATTGCATCTCATTTATGTTGGCATACAGATGAAGGATATAATTGGGTATTAAAAAGTTTAAATAAATTGTATGAAGACAATGAAATTATCTTTTTTATAAATACTTTATAAAAGAGTAAAAATGCTGTTATGATTGCAACAATATGTGCATTTATAGTAACTCTAACAGAATCTCCAACATAAGAAGAGGAAAGGAAAAGAATGTGTCAATAATTTATCAAATCAGGTATTTTTGATATATATAAAATGATTACAAATAATATAGAAGAATTTGAATATAAAGCAGATGAATTAAGATTTGAAGTTGTTTTATAATAGATTATTGAATAAAATAAATAAAAACATTAAATTTTAACAGATCCAAATTATATAGAAGAAATTACATTACCTATGCTTTATTAAAGAGAATCTAGAAAGATATATGATATAGGAGAGTTTTCAAATTCAATCAAAATTATAGAAGGATAAATTGAGGCATTTTTAGAGAATAATAAAGATATACATATTCAATAAATATAAGAACCAAAAAAATAAGAAGTGAAATAACATGCAAAACATTTAAAAACTACATTTCTTACACCTTAATATTTGAATTTAATATAAGATGAAATGGGTAAAGCTAATTTAACTAATCTTTAAAGAGCTGTTGAAAATATTAAACATGAATCCAAAATTAGAGGTACTTAAATTGTTACTGATTTTGCAGAAGGTATATCTAAATACATAGATAAACTCCATTTACCAACATAAAAAGAAAATGAAAATCATGAAATTTCTTAATTTGAATCTATGAAATAATTAATTGAAGATTTACATGAAAAAATTATAAGTTTAGAAAATGAAATTAAAGATTTAAATTTTAAAAAATAATCAAATGAATCTTTTGTTGATGTTTTATAAAGAAAAATAGGAGATTTAGAAAAAAAAATGAAGTCAGATTAATCTATTTTATCTCAACTAAATGAATAATTAGCTTCAAAAAATAAAGACTTTAGAGCACTTCAATAAGAAAATGAATAATAATAGAAGACAATTCAATAATTAGAAAATGAACTCAATCAATTAAGAGAAAAATTATCAATTATGTAATTAGCAAAAGCTCAAAAAATGGAATTTGAAATTCCACCTTAAAGATTATCTTACAAATCAGATAATTAAGATGATTTGAGACAATAATTAGACTAACTCAAATAAGAATTACAATAATAAAATTAGAAATTTTTTAATTAAGAAAATGAAATTAAAAGTAATGTTATCTATTTTAATTATAGAATTTTAAAAATTGTTAAAAGAACAAAATTAAAATTTATTAACTAAAGAAATACTATTGACAGAAAAAAATAAAGAATGTAGAGAATTATAAACAATAAATGAAAAATTAATTAAAAAAAAATATGCTAAAAAGGTAGAATTATAATAATTAAGAGAAAAAATATAATCTGTAAATTATGTAAAAACTTAAGCAACTAAAATTTAAAGTGAACTCAAAACAATTGAGTAGTATTAAAATGAGGTTATAAGATTAAATGGACTTATAGAAGAATAAGCCTTTTATTTAGAATAATAAAAAAAATAAACATAAAAATTTGATGAAATGAGAGAAAATCAAAAAGTTTTGGAGCTTAAAAATTATAAAATTGAAGATGAATACAAAAGTATCTTTAATATAATATTCTTTAGAATAATCAATTAATTCATAAATTCTACAAGAAAAATTATAATAACTACAATTAGAAAAAGACAATTTAGAAAAGAAATTGCAAAACTAATAATTAAATGCATAAAATTCCATTCAATCCAATAATACATTTTAATCACCAAATCCAATATTACCTGGTTAAAATTAAATAAATTCCCTTACTCCTCCAATATCTTCAAATTCTCAAACTGGGCCAGCCCCTCCACCTCCACCACCTCCTCCTGGTGTTAAAACTGTATCTGCCCCACCTCCTCCTCCTCCTCCTGGAGGGCCAAAACCACCAGGACCTCCTCCTCCTCTTGGAGGAGCTCCTCCACCTCCTCCTGGACCTAGACCACCTGGTGGACCAGATCCTTAATTTGGGGGAAAATAAAAACATAAACCTAATGTATAGCTAAAATAAGTTCCTTGGACAATTATCAAACCAGAATAAATTAAAAATACAATTTGGGAATAAATTGATGATACTAAATTAAAATTAGATTACTCAATTATTGAGAATTTATTTGCAGTTAAACCAACATCAAGTAACATAAATACTTAAAGTGGAATCAATTAAGCTTAGAAGGCAGCTAAAGTTTCAATGTTAGGACCTGAGAGAATAAAAAATTTAGAGATTGTGTTAGGCAAACTTAAAATGTCAAATTAATTAATAGTTGATAGTCTTTATCAGTAATTATATAAAACGAAATTTTAAGACTTGATGAAACTGTATTAAGACCAAATATAGTTGAATCCTTAATTACAGCAATGCCAAATGATACAGAAGTTGGATTGTGGTAGGATTAAGATTAATCAAATTTAGCATTACCAGATATTTTTTGTATAAATATTAGTTCAGTAAAGGGCTATGATTTTAGGTTGTTATTTAAAAATATTTTTTAGATTACTATCATTGAAATTTAAATATAATTATAAAGAATTAGTTGAAGATTTATAATCTAAAATTATTATATTTTAAAATTTGATAGGGAAGACAAAAAATGATAAGAATACAAAAGTGGTCATGGAATATGCATTAGCTGCAGGAAATTACATGAATGGTCAATCTGCTAGAGGTGGAGCATATGGATTTAAATTTGAAATGATGGAGAAATTAGCTGATGTTAAAAGTACAGACAATAAAAGCAACTTATTAATGTTTATTATTTAGAAGGCAGAGGAAGATCTAAAGGAAGAATTAGTTTTGGTTGATGAAAATATAGATGACATTGAATTGGCTGGTAATTTGATTATTATATCTTTTAGCCAAAACACCTTTGAATTAATTGAATGCTGATTTAAGTGAGTTAAAAAAATATTCAAAAAATGTTGATAAGGCCATTAAATCTAAAGTATCTCATTCAATTTAAGATTTGGTTGAAGAAAAATTATAGAATTTTTATTAACAAGTCATTTCTGATCTAGCTGATTTTGAGAATTTATTAAAATAACTTGAAAACTAATATGATGATCTTTCAAATTATTATGCTGAATCAAAAGTTACTTTTGATAAATTTTTTGAAAAATTTTATAAATACAAAATTGTATTAAGATAAGCTAAATAAAATATTACTAAAATTAAATAAGCAGAATAAAAAGAATAAGAGAAAAAGAAAAGAATAGAATAATAATAATAATAATAAGGAGAATCATAAATTAAAAAAAAGTAGGAAGGTAAAATTTAATTTAATTGAAGACAACTCTTTATCAGGATTAAAAAAGCTTGATAAAGATTAAATTTTAAATGAAGTTGCAAAAAGAAGGGAGTCTAAGAAAAATAGTCTTATGTTACTCTCAAATGTTTCTGTTAAGCAATAAATTTAGCCATCCTAAACAGAAACTTAGGATTATTGAAAAGTAATAATTCATATAAGTAATATATAAATTGAATATGTTCAACAATGTTTATTTGATAATTAACACATATATTTAATCATGATATATAATAATAATTGTGAATGTTTAAGAAAGTTAAAAATTACTTCAAATCTCTTAGAATGAGTAGCTAGATTATTCTTATTAACTTTTGTATAGTTACATTCACTGTGCTAGTGATATTAGCTACATATTAAGTTCAATCAGCAATCTTTTTCACTTTTATTAAAACATTTTCTTAGACTTTATCATAGAAACAAGAGAAACATTTAGTGTAAATAATCTCTGAATAACTTAGATAATATATATAGCACAAAAATTCTCAAAGTATTATGAATAATTTATATAGCATTATCAAATTTATAGCATTCAAATGATTTTTTTCAATATGTAACTTAGTCAAGAAATAGATATAAAGTAATTTAAAGTTAGTTTTAAGAATGTATTGAGTAGAATTAGATAAATGAATACAAAGTAATCTATAATTCAGATATTATCTGTCAAGGATTTGAAATTGTAAAATCTAATAATTAAGAACAAGATTTTAATGATACTTTGACTTTACTAAGTCCATTTTCTTAATTATTTATTGCTAATGAAGACTCTAAAATTTCTTATTTTGATATACCTAAGACTTAATATTTTGGATCTTTTCCTAATGCTTTCAAATTTAAGAATTATAATTTATACACTCGACCTTGGTAATTATTATAATAATCTTAAGGTATATCAATCATATGACTTAATCTAAAATACATCCAAATTCTAGTTACTTTTATTCACCCATATTATTATCAGCCCGTAATAACTTACCTTATTCTGCATTGACATATTCACTAGTAAGAAATAATTCGATGATTGGAATTGCATTATAAATATTACCTATATCAGATACTAATATCTAAAATATTCCATTAAATATCTTACTAGTACATTAAAATGGTGATGTAATATTAAGTACTATGGATACATTTCATTAAATAACTGATTTAGTTAGAATTACTAATACTACTTATACTGGATTTAATGAAACAGATTGGCAGACTATTTAAGATAATTCTAAGGATAATCAAAATGAAAATAGTACATTTTATTTGATGAACAAAATATATCAAAGATCAGTATTTGTCTATACATATTAATTTATTAAAGAAAATTTAACCATGATAGTGTAATTAAATTTATATATATATTTTAAGATTTAAGAATGTTACATATGAATAGGAAATAGCAGATGAGATAACTATTCTGATAGATAATTTAGAATCAGAATTAATTTAGTAAATATAAATATAGATTGCTTGTTGTTCATTTTTATTAATGGTCACTGCTAGTTTAATTAGGTGTATTTCATAACCATTATTAAAATTAATTAAAGTAATCAATGAACATGTTATAAAAATGGGTAATAATTTAAATTCAGAAATATTTAAAATGGCTTTTAAAACATAAACAAAAAAAAATGCAGATTTATTTTCTTCTTTGGCATATTAGTTTATGGCATTAAAAGATTTATAAACAAAAAGTTCTAAAAGAAAAAGTAATCTTTGTTAAGAAATGGAGTCTATCTAATATAATTTTAAATTTTAAGAAACAGATAGTAGTAAAATTTAAGAATTAATATAATAAATTCCTTAAAATGAAACTAAATCTCAAAATTTATAATTTTTTCAATTTGATTCATAAAAATTATTAACTCTCAAAAAAATGAATAAAAAATCATTTAGATCTTTTTAAACTGAAGAAATTGCTCTGAATGAAGATATTGTTAAAAATGAATCAATTAGTAAAAGATTATATCTAATTAAACATTAGCTTTAAAAAATATACAAATAAAACAAGCCAAATTGAATAATTATTATATTTTTATAATTTTTTAATAAATAACCTAAATTGTAAGTGAAATATTTTAATCCTAGATGATTTAAAAAATGAAAGCAATAAATTATTCTATTCATCAGTAGTATATTTTTCATTATATTAACTAAACTGAATATTAATCAAAGAAATTAGTTTATATAGTTCTATTTATCTAAATATTATTATATAAATATAAATTTATATAATTAATGGTATATTATTATATGTTTCAAAAGATTAAATAATATTAATACATTATTTATAAATTCAAGTAAAACTGAAAAAGAATAGAATTAATATTTATTATTAATGAAATTAATTCATTTCTTATGTTATTAATTATGAATAGTTTAATATAAATTTAGAAAAATAAAATCAAATGATTTATTTGTCTTACAAATTTTAAATAAATACATCATTTTTAATATATATATATCATTAATTAATGTTAATTTTATAGTATTCCTCCTGTCATTTTATTTTTTTCCATTTTTTAATTTTTCCTAAATAATTAATTATTCATCAATTTATATATGATGATTAAAAAATAAAATGATTATATATGACTCTATAATTATATTGATAACTTAATATTTAGAGGTTTCATATAAAAGTGATAATGAAATAATCTGTAAGTATTAGAGTCTTTTAATGATTTTAAATTGTTGTTGACTAATAATGAGGATACTTATAATATCAGAAAATTAATATTATATTAAATTCAGTTTATTTGTTAACTATATATTGAATTTTAGTAATAAACTAATATAACGCTTAAGGATTGACTAAAATTAAAGGAATTGTATAGAATGTACTTTGTATATAATTATGTATTAAGTCAACTTTTACTTTATTTTAGTTTTATATCAATATAATAAATACTCAATACAATAATAAAGTCAATAAATAAAACAACAATTAGACTATTGACTTAGTTCTGGTTGTGGTTTACTTACATTCTTCACAGTTTAACAGTTTAACATTTCATTATAATCTTCATCAACTTCGTCACTCTAATTAGATAATTCCTATGAGAGAAGGTCTAAGAATGTTCTAGATGTATTCTATTAACTAATAAAAGCAATTTTGTGTGATCCTCCTTTAATTATTTCATTTCCAGCCCAGTCCAATCTTGGAAGTGTTTAATATAATTTCTATTAAGAAGATTTCAGTATTGGCTTTTTTGATTAATGTCGAGAGTCTCTTGTATTATAAGTATTAACCAATTCGGTTAAAGACATAAACTTAAAAAAGAAAAATAATGAATTTTATAATTAAGAAATAAAGGTTTTTTGTTGGAGTTATATAATATGGTATCATTCATTAAACCTACCTTTTATTTATTAAGAATTTATGAATATAATTAGTAAAATAATAATATACTTCTAATTAGATTTAAGTTACAGATACTATATTCTTTAAGAAATGAATAAATTATATTCTGAATAAAGAAAATTTCAAAATATAACAAATTTATTTAGTACAACTCATCAACATCGATATTTTGTACTGCTTATACTTTTATTTAATTGAATCAATACTTTATTATGTTTTCAGGGAAAAGGATCATAAATAAAAGCATAAAAAAGATTTCACATAATATATGATAATCAAATTGATTATAGAAAAGTATTGAAGTTTATATTTATAAGAATATATTTAAAAAAGTTTATTCAAATTAAGACCTTAACAAAAACATATATAGGTACATCAAAAGGTAAGATAAAGAAATAACAAACAGAATAAATTTATATTGATAAACTTCTATAGTTTAATAAGCAACTGAAATTTTAAATAATAATAGTTTAAATTATTAAATTCTAAAGAGAATCATAATCTTTATTGTTTTATTTTATAGTATAAATGAAACTAGAGATATCTTTATCAATATTATGTAATTTATTATTTTCTTTTTATTTTTTATTTATTTTGTAATAAGATCATAAGAATTCCAGATATGTAATAATATTAATTTTTTAATTTATTGATCTGTTAAATATTATGAGAAAATCACTAGGTCAATGCTTGCATAAATCATCATTTCTAAGTTAAAGACAAACAAATCCAGATCTTACTTAAGAAAAGAAATTAGGTGTTAGATTTGCAACTTAATATTAATTGACTATTCCTGATATAGTGACAAATGATCCGAATTAATTAGAATTGGTTAGAATTAAAGAAAAATACAAATGGAAATGTGAAGAGTTAGATAGAACAAAGTAAGGTATGGAAGAAGAACATAAATCAATAGAAGAAAGAGCAAATGTATATATACTTTATATTAAGAAATTAAGTAAAGGAGAGAAAGAAATACGAATTTTGGCATCATAAATAAAGGAGAAACTTAATATTTTAGGAGAATAAGAATAGAATTTCAGAGAGAAAGTTTAGTTACATGAAGAGAAAATGAAAGAGAGGGAATAATAATTATAGATTAGTATGAAATAATTAGAGGAATAGTAAAATACAATAGAAGTTGAAAAAAATAAATTGAAAATTAGAGAGAAATGTTTATAAGAGAAAGAATATATTATTGATTAAAAATTAAGAGAAGCTGAATAATATGTTGATAAACTTAAATATCAATTATAAAATGTTAATTAGAAGGAAAGTAAATATATATATAATTTATATTAGATTATTATCATTAATAAATTGATAAATTGAATTCAGGTTTATAGACTATTATTTAACATGAATTATCAATAAAAAATATAGAATTCAATTTGAGTAAATAAGTTCAATAATTAAGAGAAGTAGAATAAAGTTTAATAGAATAATTACATAATTGTAAATAATAAGAAGAAATATTTGATTAAAGAGATTTAAATATTTAAGTTAGTGAATAATTAATTAATAAAAAATTAGAATGGGATAACAAATAAATACAATCAGCCAAAATATCTAAGATAAATACTGAAAATTCAAGAATGGAAATATCAAACTTTGTTCATTCTGCTTTTTCATAAAAATACTGAAACTTATTAAAAACAACTAAATATAAATTAATTACAATTTTAAACAACTTTTTTTTGACTTTTAATTGTTCAATAAATCTCTAACTAATAATTTATTAATCTAATTTTCTAAAAGTAAACTAACGTTAGTGTTATTGTTATTAAATTTATAATAAATCAAACATAAATTATACTATTTTTTTCCAACTTTTCTTATAAGTAATGATCATCTATTTGTCTTAATAATAAATTATATCCAGTATACAAAAACAATAAGTTAGAAACCCTATTGTACAAATAATTTAAATATAAAATGAGGCATTATTAAAATTAAATCAAGATTATTGATTTAGAATGAATTATTGCTAAGGTTATTATAATTATGTTTCTGAGATCTTAAAAATTATATTGTGTAGTTTTACATTTAATTTAAATCAAATTATTATATTTTTAATTTATTCTATAAAATGTAAATTAAATCACTAACAAGTGAGTAATTCTAATGTCATATCATAACCCATGTAATTAGTATGATCAGATACTGCTAAATCAGCTACGTTAGAATTAGAACAACTATCATCTTCTTTGAGATTATCATTACATAATTAAACTCTACTATTTTATAATTAATTACTTCTTATGGATGACTAGTAGGTAATCTTTATAATAAGCCTCTTAATTCACATGATGGAATCCTTAAATAAGAGCTGGAAGATGAGGAACTGGATCATGATTATGAGTAATTCTATATTTAGGTCCAGGAAACAATTGTTGGTTAACATATGTGAAAAAGTTCTTATCACCTACTCTTGGTGATCCAAAAGTATAGAATTTACTTATAGTAAAGCCTCTCTAATATAGATTCTGTATAATACTGTTGTCAAATACACAAGAGCATGATTTGCTAAAGCTCCTCCCAAACTATGCCCAGTAATGGTTATCTTGGCAAGTGGGTATTTCTTGGTTAAAGATTTCAATGAATTCAAAACTTAATCTTAAATTCCCAGAAATGAATAATAGAAACCTCTAAAATGATATTAATAAAATTTTAGAATACCTATGAACTTAACAATTATTTGGACAATAAGGATAATCTGTTTTTATAAAGTCAATATCCTCTACCCAATTAGTGAGACTCCATGGTAAGGTTCCTCTAAAGACTAAATAGATTTCATCAGTTTCAGGATGATATGCACCATATCCTGCATTCTCATTTGTTGCATTGATAAAAAATGTAATATCAGTGATTGGTTTAAGTTCTTTGCAAGGTTTACCACAGTTCCAATTCCTAATGTGTTACTCACCGCAATAACTTGCTGATGTCAAATAAAACAAGTGTTTTGCAAATGCTTCATCATATGTATTATATTCTACTGTCTAGTATGACAGTACTATGACAAGACTTATCAAAAGAATTTTCTTCATGACGTAATTTTATAATATAGAAAATAATCCAACTCACATTAATTAAATATCCTTAATGTTTATCATTATATCGTAATATTATTTAAAATGACGGATATCATAATATGTATTCAAGATGATGATCATCTAAAATTATTAATATATTCTTGCAAATGGTTATACTCTAATTGGATTTAATAAGATTAAATAAACAATCCTACATAAATGAAGTCAAAAATCATTGAAATTCATTAATTATATTCATTTTCTATTTTATATTCAAATTAAAGTAAACAATATATATTGATTAAAAAGAGTGATTTTTATTAGAGATTAGAAATTATATTTTCTGAAAACTTTATAGAATTATTAAAAATTAGAATTAAAATTTATTAATCTATTCTTCCTCTTTGAAATAAATAAATTTAATCAATTATCATAACAAAGCCATTAATTTTCTCTTTGATGAAATAGGAATGATATCTAATCATAGTTTTTCGATAGATACTTTTTTGAACAATATTACATGCAAATTATTCTGAAACACAATATAATTTGAGTATCTATATAAATAATATTGAAAAATTTGTGAGACAGTAAATATAAATTATTTGAATATATCTACTTAATTATTATAATTAATAAGAAGTATTAAGTTTAGAATTAAAAAATACTCAAAACTTAAAGAAACTTGATATTTGAGTGTTATCACTTCACTATTAATCATAAATTATTTATCTCATTTAAATTTCTATAGATTCAAGTCTAAATATTTTATTTATTTTAAAACTTTATTCTAGATTTATATAGCAATACAAATAATTTATTTAACTAAGTGAAGTCATGAATAAAATAATTTCGATGAATCATTGTTGATAATTATTTGAAGAATATAGAATTTTTATTAAATATTTCATTAATAAATATTCTTTAATAAATGAGAGTAACACAACCTGTAGGTATTGTATAAATGACAAATATTGCTATCATCAAATATCGTACAAGTAACAATCAAAAATTTGAAATTGCTTGCTATAAAAATAAAGCTATTAATTGGAGAAATGGAGTTGAAAAGGATTTAAGGTATAATTCATTAATAATAATTTTAGTGAAGTTCTTTAAGTTTATGAGGTATTCACAAATGCTACAAAGGGAGATGTGGCATCTGGAAAGGAATTATTATACTGTTTCTAAACAAATGATAAAGATTAAATTATTAAGACTATTCTAGAAAAGGGAGACTTGTAGGTAGGAGATAAAGAAAGAGAAGCCTAATTAGAACATTATTATAGAGATATTATTAAATTCATACAGGATAAATGCATCCATGCTACATCAGGTAGACCATTAACACAATAATCAATTGAATATGCTGTTTCAAAAGTATAATTTGTGGTGAAAACTGATAAACCTGTTAAATTATAAGCTTTATAATGTATAAAAAAACTTAAAGAGTGTTTTTACATTAAAAGAGCTCCAATGAAAGTATCTATCTCTTTTATAGATGAATAAATGGATTTAGTGTATTAGATGTTATAAGAATTAGAACTTAAAGATATTGTTCAATAGAATAATAAATTTATTGTTATTATTGATCCTTAATTATTTAGAACATTATCTACAAAAGTTAATGATAAATAATTTAAAAGTACATTAGAAGTCATAGAAGCAGCAATAAAATAATAAATTGAAGGAATTGATAACTTAGCTTAAGTTGAATTGGAGTAGAGACTAGAAAAATTATAAATTTCAGATTCAGAGGATTCTGATGAAGAATAAAATTAGAAATAAAAACAGAAAGGACCTAAAAAAAACAAGTAATAAAAAAAATAACAACTTTAATAATAATAATAAATGAAGAAACAAGTTGAAGAAGAAGAATAAAATTAAATTAAATAAATATAATAATAATAAAAAAAAGAAAATGCTAAAAGTGATTTAACTAAATAATTTAAATGTACATAATGTTTGATCTCCTTTGATACAAATCAAGAATTTAAATAACATTATAAAACAGATTGGCATCTCAATAATACTAAATTAAAATAAAATGGAAAGATATGTTTATCATATGAGGAATTTTTAGATTATTAGATCTAATAAGAAATGACTAAGTGAGATTATTATTTTAATTTATTGTTATAAATATCATTGATATATCTATTTAATTAAATAATCATTATTATAATATTATGATTCTTTATGTAAAAATCAGAATTTTTATTAATAAAATAATTACTCCAATAGTTTTCTATTCAAAATCCACTCTAAAATATCAATTATCAATAATATTAAAAGTTCAAAATAAATCCAAATAATAAGGTTTTTCAATTTAGTATAAACAATTTATATTCTCTATTACTTTGAAAATAGACAATTAATTAATATTTAATGAAGTTCCCTAATTTTCATATTGAAATTCATTATAATCTAATATTGATAAATATTATTTTATAAGAATTTCTAATTTAAGATTGTGTTAGATCTGGATTTCTCCCTAAAAAGCTTTTAAGATTTATCCTACTTAAATGAACAATTTTTAAATATATATATTAATTAAAAACTTATTTCAAATAAAATGCTAATTACTATGTAAATTATAATTGAAACTAAAATGTTTAATACTAAAACATTTTATAACTTTTACAATATAGTTGGAATTATTTCAATAAATTACTAAAATTGTTATAGAATGTATTATTATTATATTTAAGATGATAGGAAAATGTAGCCATCTCCTAAGTTTATCATAAAACAATATTGACTAAATTTTTCAAATTAAGGAAGAGTTTTATAAGTGAAGTGTTAGAATAGACCTTATAAAACATATTAATATATAACAAAGACCATTATTCTATAATTTAGAAAACTAAATTATTTTAAGAAAAAATAGATATTACAATATGATTACAAAAATCCTTCTGAATAGAGATTTAATTGAAATAATATATAAAAATTATATATTAAAAACATATTTAAATTAAAGATTTTTGTGAAGATTGAATAATTCATTTAAGGTTATATTTTAATTCTCAATCATCTCAAAAAAATCTAAGAATTTTAGAAAAAAATATTCCTTCTCAAGATTTTTTTAGAAATATAATAATAAAGAAATTTGAAATATATAATTCCTTTTTTTAAAATTACTATATCTGCTCAGTCAATTACTCAATTGAAAATATAATTAATTAATTTAAGTGTTGATGGACTTAATAATCAACTAAATTTCTCTATATGTTCAAGGTGCTTTAATATTGGAATAATTTATATGGAGTTTACCTTTGACGATATCATTCATTTTGGGAGTCATTAATGAACTACAAAATATAGCATATATTAATATATCTTCTAATTAAAAGCTTTTCAGTACTGCTTCTGAATTGGATTTAATAACGATGTTATCAAGACCCAATACATTCATTGAGAATTCAACTATATTAACTTATATTTCACTGGGATTTTTATGTATTCTTATTCTTAGTTGTATTTGCTTTATTTTTATAGTGAAAAGTAGATCACAAAATTTAGTGATTGAATTATAAAATGCCTTTAACACCAATTATTATATTAAGGTATTATTTATATTTGTGAATGTTTCCATTAATGTATGCAAATAAGGAATGGGTTATATAATAATAGATGTTTGTTTTTAGACGATTTAATAAAATATAAATGATGTTGTCAAAGTCTTTTTAAGCTTTATTACTATTGTTGGAATTTTAATTTTAATTTTCTTCTTTGTGAATATGTTTTCTTATAATTGGGCCTTAGATTTTTAAAGAGAACATTTGATGATAAATGAATCCAATTTAACTTTTTATAGAATTGGTCTAAAATTTTTATAGTTATCTTTTTTGTTATATATTTATGATGATATAATTTTTAGGATGACATAATTAATCTTACCAATTATTTCATCGATTATATAAATATATTAAATGCAAAAACTAAAGTAATTCATCTATGGATACTATTATCAAACAATTTTAGTTATTAATCTAATAAATATTACAATATGTTTGTAATATGTATTACATGAATTATTTCCATAACACTAATTTTAACAACTTTGGATACTTCTATTAATTTTACCTTTATATTATTTTCAAAAATAAATTACAATGGATTTGTAAATACATTTTATAAATTTCTAGAATTCTAGTATAGAAAATTGCAATTTTGTTCTATTCTAAATTATTTATAATATAACTAGATAGAAAAATAGTTTTAAATAAAAGATAGTCTATCTTATGTTTCTATAAAAGCACACTAAGACTTGTTATAATATTGAATGTACATGTAAACAAAGATTTTAATCTAAAAATTTTTAATAAATCTCTTATGATATATATTTTAGAGAACTCTTATCTCAATATGAAAGATTGATATCAACTATGTCATTTAAATGTACATAAGACTAATAAATTTTTAGTTATTTATAATTGTTATTTTTTTTAAAATAATACCTTTAAATTTATTAGTACTTCTAAATAATATTTCAAAAATCAGATAGAACTAAATTTCAAAATTAAATTTTAATGACAGACAATTATAAAATGAAAAAAAAAGTTTTCAAAATTAATTATTTGCATAAATTAATAGTTTTAAAAGTAGCTTAAGATTTAATGAGATTAGATATTGCATAATAATTTTCAAATCAAAAGAATAGTTTATTAAATGAATCATAAAAAATTCATTTTGCCATAAAAGAATACCTTGATGTTGAAGGTTAATGTGTTTAAATTAGAAAAATTATAAGTTAAGTTTTATAAAATAAAATCAATTATTTAGAAAAAATAAATTCAAATATAACTAAACAAAATTTAGAAAAATTAGCATATAAATCAATAGAAAATTAGATAGATGGATTAAAATAATTAAAAGCATATTTTAAAAAAACATCAGGTATTCATATTATTTTTAATTTAATAGATTAGAAATAACAAAACATTTTAATGTTTTATCAGATGGAAATTTTAAATGATATGATTTCTTCCTAAAATCAAAAATCATCTTCCAATAATAATGATGAGATTAATATAAAATACAACAATACATTTTTGACAAATCAATTCTCCAATATGATTATTTAAATAAACAATAAGTAAAGTATAAAAATTCTCAAATTTAAATATAATCAATAAGAAAAATTAGACAAATTAGATTTATTAAACTTTTAAGATATGATACCTAATTTTATTCAATTGTCTCATATGAAATTAATTGAGAATTTTATTTCAGGTAAACAAAATAAATTTTATTAATAACTTAATGAATCTTATATATAAATATCATAATGTTTGTGTAAAAAAATTGATTTACTTATGGATTTAAGTTAATTAAACTTAACCTCTATTGAAATGATAGTATTTTTTAGAAAAAAAAAGGAGAATTCTTATAGTATATTTCTAGATGATAGTAAAAGAATCATAAATATTGATGATGAACTTTTTTGTGAAGTATTCAATATTGATGGAGCATTTGCTTAATATTTTATTGGTTTAGATATTTGTATTATTTTTGATAATATTGATTAATTACAATAAAATACAATTTATAGTTTATAAAACTTTTATTTTGTAGACCCAAATAAAATAAATTCATCTTATTTTATATAATCCTCATAAATAAAAATTCAATCTTTATGGAATTAATAGTCATCTTTGATATGTTATTAATGTGATTTATAACTTTCCTATAAAAGAAATGAATTTGGATCTAGTTATTTTGAACTTATAATAAAAAATCCAAAACGTATATTTAATAATGGAGATACTTATATTTATTAATTTAAATAATCAGAAAAAGTAATTGCTACTACACATTTGGATGAGTCTATTATAGTTGATAAACCTTTTGTGTTAGATTAGAGTATACATGAAGAAAAGTTATATCATTAATAATTTGTTTAAAAATCTGAATTAGCATGTTAAAATTTGATGTAATCAGATATATAATAAGATTAATAATTTGTTATAATGAAAAATGATGAAGAATAAAATGTAAGTGAAGAAATAGATATAAATACAGTAAGGAAAAAACAAAAAAATTAAAAATTATAAACAGAAGGTATATCATCTCAATAATCTGGTGTTTCAGCAATGTAAAAATCAATTTATTTTCGATAATTTTCTCTTGTTAATGAACTTGCAAACTCAAAAAAAATCCCTTAAATTTTTAAAAGAATGATATATTTCAGAATACTTTTAATTTTAATATCCATAGTTGGTTTTAGTTTGGTAATTATTAATATTATAAAATATAGTATTTGTATGAAATAGATCTTTTTCATCATTTTCAGAAGGATTTCAAACTATTAAGTATGAAAAATGATATATTTTATCCAATTTTATCCTTTCAATTAATTCGTTTATCAATAGTTAATTATAATGTTGAACTTTATTTGAAATTGATTACTTAATAGTAATTTATGGAATTATTAGTTTATCCAAAATCTAAATTAATTGGAAGTTATGAAAAACTAAAAAGTGGGATTTCAGGTATCTTAACAGAACCTATTTTTTTTTCTCTTTATCATGATTAATATTTAAATTTGGAATTTTTGTAAAAAGGAAATATTGGTGAACCAAATGAACTTAATCTTCGTAATAGTTTGATTACTTTATTGAATTATTAATTTGATACTTAAAATGCTTATATTTAAAATGGATAAGCTGATTATGAAAGTTCTTACTTTTATTATAATTACAAGAATTTGCATACTTTATTAAATGCATTTACAGATGCAAATTAAATTGCTTATGATTCTTAATAATAAAATTTAGATGATTCTTAACAGAAAATATTAATACTCTTTTTTGTTTTATTTTTCTTTTTTATAATGATTTAATTTACATTAACAATTTCTGATTTATTGTTTTAAATATAAAAGGAAAAACTCAAGTTATTACTATTAAATTAAGATTAAAGTTTCTTAAATTTAGAAATACAAAGATTAACAATATTGTAAGAAATGATTGATAAAAATTATCATTAAATTTAAAATTATAAACTTAATTTTTAAGAAAAAGATTAGTATTTTGGAATGATTAAATCTTAATGTAATTAACAATAAAAACATTAATTAAAAAAAAACTAAATTCCTGCTTAATATTATAAACCTAAATCAATTTTACTTACATTAACACATTTTTTAATATTAGCCTTATCATTTATAATATTGACAATATAAATTTATGATACATATTCAAAAATAAAGTAAACTGGTAAATTATATGAAGTATTTGCTAATTTAAATATAAATGTTTTAAGTCTCTATTAATCAAGAGAAGTACTTTATTATAAAACAGCATTACCATTTTTAAATTAAACAGATCTCAATTAATATTACATAATTGCATAATAAGGATTATCAGGATTGTAATAATACGTTGATTAATAATGGACATTTTAACCTAATAATTATTTTTTTGATTAAGAATTTTCTAGTCTTTTGGATAATTTTAGTAATGGTAATTTATGTGAAGAATTAATTGTAATTCTATTTTACATTATATTAGGTAATAGACAAATCTTTGAATATTTGTAATAATGCACTTGGTGGAGTTTTATAGAAAGGATTTTCAACTGCATTAATTGATATAAAAAATCAGATAAAGACTGAATTTGAATATACAAATTTTACAAATAGATCAAATTATCCAATTTTAGAATTAGAAGGGATAACAATATTGAGTTACAGTCTATAATATATAATTGAAAGGTTTTATTCAGATTTATTTTATTATAATTAAAGTGTTGAAGTAAATTATAATGTAATATTTAAATTAATATTTAGATAATTACAGTAGCTTGTTTATGTATTTCAATAATAAATGGATTATTATTAATTAAATTTGATTAGATAATTTAATTAAGAAATTATAAACTATTGACTAAATTTATATATTCAGTACCTTTGACATCAATCTTATTTGATGATAATTTTTTAAGAAATACTAGAAGTTATTTTGTAAATGAGAAATTGATATGAATTTGAATTTATGTATTTTTTATTATAAATATTATAATCTAAAAATTGATATTTACTTATATAAATAATGATGATAATTATATTAGTTATTACATAAATCTATTGTTATTAGAGGATGAAAATAAAATATTGAATATAAAATAACATTTATATATACGTATTTATTAAATAAATTAACTGTTAATGAGTGAAACAAGTTTGATTACATATTCTGATAGAGAAATGGAGTCATCTCTTAAGGATTTACTAGAGCGAATATTGATGCAATTAGAGAAATATATAGAGACCAAAAATGATTTAAATGAAATTGAAAAAGAACTGAAAGATTATGAAAATTTGACTTAATTAGTAAACATAATTAAAATTATCTTCACTAATTTAATGTTGAAGATTGAAAGAAAAATCCAGTAAGCTTTCGCAATTATGAAAGGAAATTAGAAAATAGTATAGATCCAAATATGTCATAAAAAAGTATAAGAACAGAAGATGAATATGAAAAATTAGAATAATCAGTTATTAAATATGAGAGTGAGATTAGGAATCACATTAGGGTATAAATTTTAGTTTTAATTAATCTTAGTTAGAATAATAATTGAAATTATATGCAGAATCAATCCAATAAAAATTAGATGAAAGTGAAGCAACAAGAAATGAATTATTAGAAACAACTAAAAATATTATGAATGTATATTATATTAATAATATATTAGAATTTGAAAAGAGAGAATCAAAAATATTATGAAGAAAATCAATCTTATCAATTAGAAATAGTATCTCTCAAAGAATAGATTTAATAACTAGAATTTGAACAATAAAAGAGAACTATTGAACTAGATAATGTAGATTATGAGGTTCAGTAAATAACTAAAAATACTTAATAAATAAAAGGATTGGTTTAAAGAAAACCAAATAGTAAAGAAACGAATAAGACTAATTCATATTCAGAACATAAATTAAGTAGTTAATTCTAAGAAAGCACTGATTATCCTACATAATCATAAGGATCTTTGAAATAGAACTATTTCAATATTTTGTAATATGGATAGAATCATCATATGTAATAATCATAATAACAATAAATTATTTAACAATAGGATTAAATAAAAAGTTATTAAATAAAGCATAATTCTATATCATCAATTAATGATTTAATACAATAACATAATGCAATTAAAAATATCAAAACACATATAGGAAATTATACAGCATCAAAAAATAATTCTTAAAATTCAAGTATGTTACAGAAAAATATTCATTGTAAAAATATTTCAATTCATCTTTTATAGAAAGTATTTAAACATAACCAAGAAGTAGAAGTGGTAGTACTAAGAGAAATATCAATCAAAAATAGAAAACATCTATTCATTAATGATGATAGTTATTATAACATTTTTGTATTCAATATTTAACATAAATAATATATGATTAAGGCATTTGCTTAGAATTATTTCAAATCCTTATCAGAAAACATTTACTATGGATTTGCAACAAAGATGCAAGCCAGTTCAACCTAAAAAACTAAGGATTCTGCAGGTAGAAGATTGGGAGTAAAGAAATTTGGAGGAGAAGAAGTTTTTCCAAATGATATTTTAATTAGATAAAGAGGTTTTAGATGGAAACCAGGATAAAATACTTCTGTTGGAAAAGATCATACTATTCATTCTAAAGTCGAAGTATTTTTATTTTATAATTTATTTTAAAGGGTATTGTACATTTCAGAAGAGATCCATATAAATTTAAGAAAATATTTTATGTTGATGTGATTCCTAGAGAAAATCCAAATAGAACTCATTATCCTCCACCACCATACAGTTATCATCCAGAATTGTTTCCTGAATTGGCTAAGAATAATCCTGAACCACTTGTTTTATTGAAAAAAAGCGAAGAAAAAGTGGATTTGTAAATAAAATACTATGGCTTTAAAATTTCAGAAAAATAATATAAACCTATTGAAATACCAGTTGAATATAAGCCAGAATTTTCGATTTCCACTTTGTAATAACAGTTGAGTATTAATAAATAGTGATAATATATTAAAACACAATAAAAAATATTCAAAATAAAATATATGATTAAACCCTTTAGAGGAACTGATGGGGCATAATATGCACACAATTTTAAAAATACATATCTCTCAGAAGCAGAACTTTAAAAACCTTCAAAAGAGGTTAGTGAATAAATTGCAATTCACACAAAGAAACAATTAGATTAATTGGTATTTTCAAAGTAATGTGCAACTATGGGATAATTGAGAGCTTCAGATGGAGCTGCATAATAATATATCAAATACACACCAAAACAAGGTGATTCATAATAGACTGGCTAAGAGAGAATTGTTAAGTAGAACTATTCATTAATATTTAAAGAGTTCAAGCTCAATAATTGGATCCTATGGAACCTCCTCGTTTTAAACATAAAAGAATTCCTAAAGGTCCAGGATCACCACCACCAATTTAAATGAGATCTCCACCAAGAAAATTAACTTTAAAAGATCAACAAGATTGGAAAATTCCTCCATGTATTTCTAATTGGAAAAATGCTAAGGGTTATACAATCCCATTAGAAATGAGATTGTCTGCAGATGGAAGAACACTTTAACATGTATTTAATCATTATCTATTTTAAAAAGCATACTGTAAATGCAAAATTCGCTTAATTAACTGATGGTCTCTATATAGCAGAAAGATAATCTAGAAAAGAATTAGAAGAAAGGAATAAAATTTTAAAATCTATGCAATATAAAGAATATTAAGAAAAAGAAGAAGAAAATAGATAAAAAGCTATGGAAGCTAGATCAAGAAAAAATCTTCTTTTAGAATAAACAACTAAATAAGAAGATGTTCCTGAAAATTAATCATAACAAGATATATAAGCAAGAGAAGAATTAAGATATTTAAGAAAAAGAGAACTTGAAAGATAATTAAGATAGGAGAATCAAGGAAAGAAAAGTAAACTTAATAGAGATAATGACAGAGACATTAGTGAAAAAATAGCTTTAGGTTAAGCATAACCTACTACTTAAAATACTTTATATGATTAAAGATTATTTAATTAAACACAAGGAGTAAATCATGGATTTGGAGATGAAGATGAATATGAAGCATTCGATAAACCCTTATTCAATGAAAAACCACGAGCAAATCTATATACTGGTATTCAATAAGGTGAAGAAGATAATAAGTATTCATACTGAAATATCTTTAGTAATAAGAGTATAAGAAATGTTCCAGTCTAATTTGAAAAAGCTGACAATATTTTTGGTATGGATTCATTTATTGCTGATCCTGTTGTTAAAAAGGTTAAGCTTGATTGAGCAATTAAATACATGTATTCTTATCATAATCAATTTATATGAATTTTTGTTATTAATTTTAAAAAATTTCTGGAAAATTAATATTCTATTTAGAAAAATTAATTTTAATTGAATTTTGATCTACTAAAGTTTACACTTAATTAAAACTTATTAATCTAATAATTAATATGATATGAAATTAAAAAATATGGTTGTTGCAGAATTTAATTTTTTAGCAGTCTGCTTTTCATATATCTTATGGTAATCTTGCCAACACTTTATTTTGACTTAAAAATCATTTCTTTATTTTCATACAGGTTCTAAATTAAGATTTAACTCCTCATTTCCTACCTTATTCAAATCACTAAAAAATTCATAAAATCTTTATGAGTAATTTCAACCGAAAAATTTTACATGTCTTTAAATTAATAAAATAATATTACCCGTATTTTATAAAATTTAACAATAATTTAAATTTAACAGAAAATCAAAACTTGAGCTCAAGACATATAATTTATAATTTTGTTAAATTTATTTTTTTAAAGTATCATTTAAAATATAAATATAATTTTTTTATATAATGTTATTAATACCTAGTTTAATGATAATAACCAAATAAAAAAATATATCAATCATTTAGACGTTACCCAAATTTTAAATAATTGAAGTGAATCACTTTCATTTTCAATCAATTAATCAATTTATTTAGCATTGGTGAAATAATTTTAATTAATTTATGTAAATATGATTCATAAAATCTCCTTTTATCTATTAATTTAATATGAAAGATTCAAAACATATGAATATCAATCATATTTTTAAACTGCAAAATTTTTAAGCTTACTTATTTTGAAAACTATTAGTTTTACTTTTATTTTTCTATCCCCTGAGAATTTTTTTGGTTTGAATCTTTTAATGTACTTGTTATAATGATTTTTATACTCTAAATTTATAGATTTATTAGATCAGTGTATTCATTGTAGAGAGAGAACTAGGGATTATTGTCTATTTAGATGATATATATAAAATAATAATTATTATATATATATGATTATTAGATAACTTAAACTTTTCAATGCATTAATCAGGCCGATTTAATTTCGATTTATCTTTTAATAAAAGAATAAATTTTTTAAGATGTAAGATTAGGCAGTTCAACCTCCAGAATAAGGTGCAGAAGGGGAATAAAAGTCAAAGAAATAATTACAAAGAGAAAAAAAGGAAGCAGAAAAGGCTTAAAAAAAATAAGAGCACTAAAAAGGTATTTATTGTTAAATCTAAACATAGCTTAAAATGCATAAGAATAATAACAATAATAATAGTAAGTTTAAGAGGAAGATAATTGTGTTGGAAGGTATGGAGATTTGAATTTGATTTAATCTCAAGAGAGAACAAATCGAAAATGGATTAAAGTTGGTGATGTTGACTAAACTTTAGTGAATTAAGTAATTTTGGTAAGGGCTAGAATACATAATTCAAGAGTAAAGGGAAAGTTGGCCTTCTTGGTTTTAAGAGAGAATTATAATACAATTTAAGTAGTGGCTGAAAAGGGTGAGTTTGCAAGTGCTAAAATGCTTAAATTTATATCAGGCATTCCCCTTGAATCTGTTGTTGATATTGAAGCACTTGTTAAATAACCAAATAAAGAGATATTATCTTGTACATAAAAAGTGGAATTGGAAGTGAGATCAATTAAAGTAGTAAGTAGATCTTTACCTATGTTACCATTTTAAATTGAAGATGCTTCAAGAAGAATTACAGACTTTGAAGATGGAGTTTAAGAAATGAAATAAGAAGAACCTTAAATAAAATAAGATAAATAAGAGAAATAAGATAAAAATGAAAAATAATAAATATAAGTCATGTTAAAAACAAGATTAGATAATAGAGTTATAGACCTTAGAACTCCAGCTAAATAAGCAATTTTCAGAGTTTAATCAGGTATTGGATTATTGTTCAGAGAATTTTTGGTAGAAAATGGATTTATTGAAATTCATACACCAAAATTGATAGGAGGTACTTCTGAAGGTGGTACTAATGTATTTAAATTGAAATATTTCAATTAAGATGCTTGTTTAGCATAATCTCCATAATTATATAAATAGATGTGTTTGATGGCTGATTATGATAGAGTTTTTGAAGTTGCTCCTGTTTTTAGAGCTGAAAACTCTAATACACATAGACATCAATGTGAATTCATTAGTATGGATATTGAAATGGTTATTAAGGAACATTTTACAGAATTATTAGATTTAATGGGAGATTTATGTATATATATGTTTAAGGGAATTGAAAAGAGATATTAAAAGGAAATAGAAATAATTTCTTAATAATTCCCATTTGAACCATTTAAAATACCAGAACCAGTACTTAAATTAACTTTTGAAGAAGGTGTTAAGATGTTACATGAAGCAGGTGTTAATCAAGATCCTAATGATGATTTAGATACTACTAATGAAAAGACTCTTGGAAAATTAGTCAGAGAAAAATATGGAACTGATTTTTACATTCTCCACAGATATCCAAAGAAAGCAAGACCATTTTATACTATGCCTTGTCATGATGATCCTAATTATACTTTATCCTATGACTTTTTCATGAGAGGAGAGGAAATTGTTTCAGGAGCATAAAGAGTGCATGATCCAGAACTCTTAATTAAACAAATTAAAGAGAAAGGTATTGCTGTTGAACCATTGAAAGATTATATTGATTCTTTCAGGTATATATGATTAAATAATAATTTTAGATATGGTGCTTTTCCACATGGAGGATGTGCATTTGGATTAGAAAGAGTGGCATTTTTATATTTCAATCTTAAGAATATCAGAAATGCATGTATGTTTCCAAGAGATCCTGTTAGATTGTTCCCTTGATTTAATAATACATAAATAGAACAATAAAAATTCATCATAAATCTGGTTATATAACAAATTATGAAATCAATTCAAATCCTTATCTCATTCTTTAAATATGATCTATTTGAATTTCTCTCACTACACATTGCAAGAAAGAAACATAAAGAAATCTTGAACAATAATCCTTTTGATCTTATTCATTTTTTGTATGGAATAACAAAATTACAGTAGTTTTTTATGATTAAGCTCCTTATAATGATTCAAATTTATAATCAGTGTAATGTTATTCATGAGTCACTAATAAATTAGATTCCAAGTATTCACTATTAATATGATTATATGAAATACTGATCAATTTCTACAGGATCATCTGAAATTACTAAATCAACAGAGTTATTTTTGTATTATGATTAATATTCTCTGATAACTCCATATGCATTATAATCTTGACCAAAAAATGTCCTAAAAGTTGAACTTTTTGCCTTAACCAAAAGTTCTATATTTTGTAAGGCTTCTTAAAATAAAAAGTTGTTGAATAATGAGAAGTCATATAGAGTATGAGCTCCTATTAAAATAACTATTAATTATTTTTCTTGAGCTTAAGTGATAATTTCATTTAATTTCATTCCATCTTCAAAATTGAATATGTCTTTGTTGAAATAATAAACAAGAGGATAATTGTTATGATACATTAATGAAACACTAGTAGCTGGATGAATGATCAAATAAGGTAAAACAAAATGAGTATTTTTAGACTTTTGAACTGACATAAAGAGTGAAGAAGTATGATTATTACCTAAACAAATAGGAATACTTTAATTTTTATTATCATCTGATAATAATAGATTACTTGAATCATGTTTTCCTTCACATTTTTAGATACATTTACCATAATTATTTAAGTAGTACTCTTAATATGATTAATTGATACTTCATTTTAACATTTGTAACATGTTCCAATAATATGCATACATTCAGAACATCTATCTTCACATTTTTTGCATTTCTTTTCATCTTTATTCATATAATAACCACTTTCACATAGTATTTCACCATATCTAGGATCTTTTTAAACTTCATTAATTGTATCTATATGTTCTGTTTCATTCTTATGTTTGAAATATTCTTTTATTTCTTTATTTAATTAATCTGTTTATTTTTATAATTCTAAATTTATTGTTGTTATTTCATTATACCTTCAAAATCAATATCTTTTTCTTCTTCTCCATTTTCTTACTTTTCTTCTTCTTTTTCTTCTTCATTAATTATATCATTAGATGTTTTATTAAATTTGTCTTAATTTGCTTATGAATCATTCCTTATAGGAACATCTTTTATATTATTTTCAATAGAATCTATTTATTTTTCATTATTATCAGGAATAGCTTTAAATTAAAACACGTATTACTTGTTTTATTCACTTTTGTGAAATTAAAATTTTAATTTTTACCTGTTTTAATTTTATCAGTGGTTGTCATATTACTTTAACTAATATATATGAGAATAGCACCAAGAAATGTTACAATCATAATCCATATTAAAAACTATTTTTAATTAGGCTTAGGTTTTTCTTTCCTTTTTACTATAATATCCAATTCTCCATCATCCTCTCCTATATCTAATGAATGCTAATCGTTTTATATTGGTTTATAATTCATACTTAAATTTATATTAATTATAAAAATAATAAATAATTATAATTATTCTCTTGTATGAACAATCAATTCCAAATAATGAAATTCTCCATTAAATATTTGATTAATACGAGATATTAAAATATATAATAAGAAATCTCATAATATTTCAAATAAATTAAATTAAAAATGTTATAAATTAGTAACTAAATTTAGAAATATGGATGACTATTTTCAATTTTATATTCAAAATTTGTGAATCTTTTTAGTTATTTTATTGTTTCCCTTTTTCTTTTTAAACTTCAATGTTTTCTGAGCTTCAGGAAATCCAATAAATTCAAGATAATTAATTTCTCCAGTTCTTAAATGTTTAAACTCTGCAATGTTCTTTAATTGTATGCATCTCTTCTCTCCACATTTTAATTAATTAACTTATTTAGTAGAATGCTTTTCATTAGGTATTAAAGAAATTTCCTATTATTAAGTTAGTATTTCTAATCCTTAATTACAACTTATAAATTTATCATCACTAAAACAACATCTTTTGAATTTGAATGAATCATTCAATCCTTCTTCACAATTTTCAAACTTAAGTCTCTTAGCCAACATAGATGTTATCTCTTCCATCTCAACAGCTTCAAAGTTACTTTCAAAATAAAAATCATCCTATTCTAGAGATTCTTTCTATTATTTTCTTTTAGATGGTACGAATATTTTTCTCTAGAGCATTACAATTTTTGTTATTTATATTAAATATAATCTGCAATTATCTTAATCTTATAAATTTTATAATATGTATTAAAACGACTAAATATAATTGAATTGACATTTTCCTTATTTAAATGCTTACAATGTTGATATCAAAATTTATATTTAGCATATTTTATGCATATTTTATTGATATTTAATTATTATTTATTCTATCCTTATATAAAGATAGATTATAAAATTAAAAATTACTTTTAAGAAATCAATCATTAATATAGAGTTAACTGATTAATATAAAAAATACTCTATCAGCCTAATACATCAATATGATATTAAAATAAATCTCTTATCATATCATTCTTTTTGATAAAATTATAAAATTATCATTTGATTAAAAAATTACAATTGATATGAATAATGAAAGATTTCAGTTGTTTTCTTTTTTGAAAATAATAGATAAAATTTCTTAATCTTTATAGAATAGCTTAAGTGGAGAATGTTATTAAAAGATTATGTAATTGAAAATATATTAATTTAATTAGATGATAAATAAATTTAGTAAGAATCTTTTGAATCTCTTCTGGGTTGTAAATAATTGAAGATAATTATACAATCAAAAGCAAATGATTTATCTTATCTTAAATTCATTTTTCAAATATTCTATCTAAATATCCATAACATTAATAAATTTTAAAGATAAGGCAGAATCAAATAATCAACTATTATATCAAATATAGATAATATCTTGATTTTTCAAAAAAGAAAATCTAATTTTTGAGTAGTATAGTATGGAAATAAATAAATAAAAAAATATATAATTTAAGAAAATAAAAGATCATTTTTTAATTAAATTAAATAGTAATTCAAATAATTACTGATTTAATAGATTAAGTCATAAAATCTTATGAAAATTTAATCACTAAATGTTGAAAAGTATTTATACTATAAAGTTATTTAGAAATGTTTACAATTATTAATACAAGAATGAATAATCTTAAATATTTATTAATTAACTAATGTCCTTTAGAAAGTAATTAAATGGATTATTCATAATATACAATTATAATAGTCTTAAAATAAAGTGACTTTCTTATTTGAGTTATTTAACAATATTTTTTATAATTAATTTGCAATTCAATGATACCTAACACTAAAAGAGATTTAGTTGCCATAGAATATTTATAGTAAAATGTCTATCCTGGATTATAACCAGCATTAATGAATGTAATTAGGATAATTAAATTAGTTAATCGATCATGTTGTTAAATCAGATGAAGTTAGAAAACATCAAGAAAGACTTAAGAAAATAAAAATATTTGATAAGATTGAATAAAAGAGAGTTGAAAAAGAGAGACTTAGAGCTGAACTTGGATCTGAGTATGAATCATCAGAAGGATCAGTTGATTTAGATGAAATGGGTATTAATTAATCAGAGTTTCATAAATTTATGGGCAAAGACCAAAAAGAAATTCAATCACCTTTGCCAATGGATGAATAGGCTTAATAAGGAGGTGCAGAAGAATAGACATCTTAAGATCTAAAAAAAGACACTTTATTATCATTAGGAGAAATCAGAGAAGATCAAGAAGATGAAGATCAAGCAGATAAACATGAATTAGAAAAAATGAAATAATTCCTTAGATAATAACGAGAAGAAATGTCATTCAATCCACTGCTTTTTCTAGCCTAATAGATTCGAGATATAATTGCTGCAAATAATTGAGTAAAACTGATTTATTATCTGTTTTTATTTATCATTATATATTATAAAACAAAAGATTTTCATAGACTCTAGATTTATAATTATTATGAAAAATCAAATCTAATCTCTCTATTATGTGCATCAATTTAAGATGTATATTCTTTATTTTTGCAAAAAGTATTATTAAATAAACATTAGTAATCTGATCAAATAATATAAATACAGAAGAATTAAAATAATAAATGTTAAAAATTAAGTATAAAAAACATTCACTATTATAAACACAATTAAATCATACGAAAAAAATAAATTTATTTTTAAGTTTCAAGGTTTAAGCAAAAAAATTCTTCTAATTATTAAAACTTGAAATTCAACAATTAAAATTTTGTAGAAAAAATCAAAAATAATCTTGCAATTAAAAAAATATTAATATGATCAAATTCTTGAATAAATTAGTTAAAGAATATAACAATGGATGTTTAAATAAAAAAAGTTTTAAAAAAATAATATTTAGATATAATTAAATAGTGAGATGCACTTAATAAATATGATTAATATAATTAAATAATAAAGTTTTAGAAGGATTATTAGTGAGAAATGGAATATATATTTTGAACAAACAGAAATTCATAATGAATTAAATTAATTCAATTTAATAATGTTATTGAATTAGCTTAAACAATAAATTATAAGAGTTCTATTATGATAATTGGTGATAAAAATCTTTAGAATTAATATCATGAATAGATAATTTTTTTACATAATATAATTCCGATATCGTTTTTATTATTTATAATAACTTATAATGAAAGTTTGTGTTTTCATTCTCATAATAGGATTAGTTCTTTGTAACTAACTTAATGGATAAAATAATCTTAGATAAGAATATTAATTTGCTCCTTGGAGTTTGGATTGTACAAATAGATGTTAAAGTGCTGGAGGAGTTGTTTGTGGATATGAAACATAAGTTTGTTGCAAATCAGTATCAAGATGAAAGTATTTTGATAGGGTAGATGTTAAAAAGGTTGGAAATCTGAGTAATGCGGTATTTGGGATAGAATTCACGTTCTTAATTGCGTTCCAGGACCAAGCAGCAAATGATATATAAAGTAATAATTATGAATATAAGCTATTATATATTAATCATTTAAAGTTATATTATTTACAATAAATCTAGAATTGATAGATTATTACTAAAATTTTATATCAATCTTATATAAAGAAATAATTATATTTAGCAAATTGGATGTAAAATTAATATCTAGATATCAGTTTAGTTTCTAGAATATTTACTCTTATTAATATTTGACTTAACTTTATAAAATTGTATTTGTTGAAATACATTATCATATAATTCAATATCATTTGATGTCAAGGGTTTTCATTTAAAATTGGAGCTAAGGATCTTTATACTTCATTAATAAATTTTTATCTTTATTGACTTAAATCTTCTTCAAATTATTTTTTTTCTATAATTATGTCATCTTATAGTTATTTCAAATTTTAAATTTCAATTTTATAATTACTTTCTTTTTCACTCCATCTTTGACTATCTTCCTCAATTTTTTGATTTAACCATTTTTTTTCATTAGTTAATTTACTATATATTTTTTTTAATTTTTCAATTTCTTACTCACTTGTTTTTTATTTAAAATCTAAATCTTATATTGATTTTTCTTAACATGATTTCAATTTTTATTCATTATTTTTGATTATTTCTTTCAATTCGATAATTTCTGCTTTTGATTCATCATGACTGGTTTATAATTTATTTATTATATTCTGTAGATCTTCATTTTTCTTCTATTAATCTTGATTTAATTCTTTTTATTCATTCAATTTTCTTTCCAAACTCTAAATTTCTTCTGGTATTATTTATCCATTCTTATTTATTATCTCTTAATTATATTTATCTTATAAATCTTGAAACTCTTTTTATATTTTTTTATACTTTTCAGTTATATTATCTAAATTATCTTATTAATACTTAATATATTAATTTTTTTAATTTATTTCTCTATCTTTTTTTTGTATTTCTTATCGATGCTATGTTTATAATTTTGAAAATCTTTCATTCTATTCTATTAATTAATTCTTTAATAAATTTATTTATAAATCTAACTCATTTTTTTTTTTTTCCATTTAATCAATATCAGATATTTTAGATTCAACATCTTCTTCTAATTATTCTTTTTGTTTTTCTAATTTTCTAACTTTTGCATCCAACTATTACTTTTATGATTAAATATTTCTTTTATCAGATTCTAATTAACCTTAATAATTTCGCAACTAGTATAATTCCATTTATTTCTCTTATTTATATGATTAGAAAGATTAGAAATTTTCTTAAACTTAATAAACACTATATCTTGTTTATGACAATTAATTTATTAAACTTTCAATATGATTTACATATTTTTAAGATTATTAAGCACATAAATCGCATTTAATATCTTTTTGATATAATTCTTTTATCATGTCTTTTTAATACTTATCTTTTTAATCATTAATCCAATTTTAATTATATTATGCAGATCTTAAATCTTTTATTTATTCCTGTACTTTATCTACTTGAGTTCTATTAATTTTAATATCTGGTTGATTTTATTAATTTAAATTTTCACTTTATTGGGATTATTTTTATTCTTTAAGTTTATCAATTTCTTCCTTTTATTTTATTATTTCCTATTCCTTACTTTCAATTAAATTCACTGCTAATTAAATTTAAAATACTTTATAGATTGCTTCTGTCTATAATCTTATGTAAAAAAAAAAAATTACTTTTCAATATATTTGCTAATGACTTTTTTTTACTTCAAATCATACAGTGCAACAAATTCTTCAGGAATTTATAAATTGAGTTCTATTATATTTATTTTATTTTCTACCTTTAGCGATATTTCTATAATAGACATCATCATTTTTTTTAATACTGTATATTTTATTACTACCATCTGGAAGTAAAAAATGTATTTTATTATCAGAATTCATTTATTTATTGAAAACAAATAATATTTATTAATTTTATTGAACATCTAAATCCAATTAAAAATACTAAAATTTTACTAATAGAATAATGAGAGAGTGTAAATTATTTTGGAAAATAAATATGATCAGAAAAAATTCAAGTAAAATTATTACGTAATTGTAACATTAGCATCTCTCTATAATGTTATCATAGATGATAATAAATAGATAAATAATATTATATTTTATTGATTTATAAATCAGAATGATCTAAAATTTTTATCTATTTTTATGCAGGCATCTTCTAATAATTTCAGCAATGCTTCAGTTGTAGCTTCTCTTTCTCTTCTTTCAAAACTGATATCTTGTTGTAGTTTTCCATGAACATCTTCAATCATTCTAAATATTTTTCCTTATGTTTCTTCTCTAACTTTCTTCTCTACTAATAATTAATCTGAAAATTTATTAATTTCACTATCAATTTATTCAGTTAAAGATTCTGCTGCTTCTTCTCTATAGATTATATAAAAATTACTACCTTGATCTTCTTTCTTAATCTAATTAATTTTTCACTAATTAGACTTACTAAAGAACTTCAGCAATTTTGGCTTGACTTCTATCTTCATATTAATGAGTGTTTCTAGTAATAGTAAGTGTAATTTAAGCAAATCTTTCATCAATTTATTTTTATAGCTTAGTTTCAGCTTATCCTCTAGCGTTTCTTTCTTAATCAAAGGATAGACCAACATTATCTGAAAGTGTTCTAAAATCTCTCTCTTTTTTGTCATCAAATGCCTTATTAATATTAATATATACTTCTCTTTCTGATTTTTGGTTGTGTGCTTGATCTTATAATTTTAAGACTTAATCCTTCAATACCTTAAATCTTTATTCATCTTTAGGCTTCTCAGAGGCTAAAACATCTTCAATGATTTTAATTCTCTCTTCCAATACTTCTCTCTTCTCAAGTTTATCTTTATCAATTCCATTCTGAATGTGATTCCATTTATCAGAAAGTAATTTGATTCTCTATCTAGCTGGAGAATCCAAATCTTAACTGAGATAATTAATTGTAGATCTCTTTGGACTAGACAATTAGGATGAGGAGAGTTTTGAAGTGGTTAGCTTGGATGTAGATAAGAGCATAGGAATTTATGATATTTGTAAAAATAAATTTATTTACGATTTATTTATCATTAATAACAATAGTATATCAATATGATTTATTCTAGGACCTTGATTCTCAAACTATATTTATTAGTTATAATTTTGAGTTGAGAGAATTAAGAATCAATTTGATAATAATACTAATTAATGAATTAAACTATAAAATGCTTTATTCATATAATTTTTAGAATCCAAGTACCACTGTAAGTTAAATCATTTTCAAATCCATCATAATGCCATTATCCACTAAAAACATTTACTTCTTAATCAAATTCCCCTTAATATAAAAGATGTTCCCATAATCCTGATATTCTTGCTTCTCTTTATTCTTCATAATCCTTCACAAACCATATTTTAATTTAATTATTAAAATCTATAATAATAATTCCACTGCCACTCCAAGTACCATACTTATCATTTCCCAATAGATTAATTTCTATGAATTGTTTTTCCTCATTAATTTTACACATTATTTATACATCCTCTTCTTTGTGAATTTTTCCATTTTATGTAAATATCAATTCATTTTTAGATTAACTTAACATTTTACTCACTTTCCTTAATTGATTCAGCAAAATGTTACTATTTTTTATTAAGATAGCATTATTTAAAAATGATTCCATCACTATTTTTCTTCTATTTAGTACACATCTAAATAATCTTAAAACTTGCTTTCGTTTCCAAATTATAAATAAAATTAACATCAACCCTAAGACAATACAAGTTATGCTGATTATTTGTATAATTGGTTATTCTTTTTCCATTTTGCATTCATTATAACAATGATCATAATCATCATTATTTTTACAATAATCTTTGCAACTCTTTCCTTTTAGAGATTTATTGAAAACATTTTGAGATTTTGAAATATTAACTTTATTTCCAAATACTAATGGTAATTGCGAAAAGTAAAGAACATATTTTATAATATGAAATTAAGACATAATTTTAATAAAAAAAGTTACAACTTTAATCAGCCAGATTAAGTTTTTGATCTTTTTCAACAAATGAATTACAAATTTGAATAATAAATAAAGACTGGAAGATAATCATACTATGTAGATTTAAATAAGAAGCATAGAAAGTTAGTCTTAAAAGTATTTTATATTAGCATAAAGCCTATTTTATGAAGTTAAAGGATAATTAATTATCTTTTATTACAATTATGATCCTAGTAAAGAAGATTAATTTCTTAAAAAATAATAGTTTAAAGCACCAGCTTAAAATGTAATATAAATAAATAATTTCAGATCTATTTATAGCATTTTTAACATTTAGATTGGATATATAAAAGGAAGAGATAGACTATTATTAATTTCATAGAAGATTTCAATTCTGATAGGTTATTAAAAAATCACATTTATAAACTAATAGATCCTTATAATTAAGAATGAAGTATCCTTCCTAGAGGCAAATATAAATTACACTATTTTTAAATAAAGAATAAAAGACAAAGTGAATCACATTAGAATATGACTTGTTGATATTTTGAGAAAGTAAATAACTTATAAACTTAACAAAAATGAATAATAAAAATAATAATTGATATGCATAACACAATATTATAATTAAATAAATTGTTATCTTTAAAATTAGATTTGATATGGAATCTAAAAGCTACATTGAGGATCTTCTATTTTGATTCAAATATATTGGAATAATATAAAACAAATAAAAACGGATTTGTTATTATATATTTTATATTCATAATGAAGTTTTCTATAGTACTTTCAATCCTTCTTATTCTTGGTAGCTAAGCTGCTGATTTTGATTCATAAGTAGAGGAGTTATAGAACTCCAACTTTGGTTAAACAATATTACAAACTATTTTGATGGAATTGCAAACTGGTGATCCTGTAGTCTCTAACCTTATAGACATGGTTTAAGGTTTAGAAACTACACTTGAGAATGAATAAGAAAGAGATGATAAAAGGATAGCTAGAATTTCATAAAATTGTGACATTGATATTAACACTTTAAAGGATCAAATAAATTAGAATACTGTCAATTCTTTAACTCTTAAGAGTGAATTGGACAGCTTGAATCCTTAAAAGGTTTCAGCAGTAGCTAGTCTAGAAAGAAAAAATAATGAAATTAATGATCTTAAAACAGAACTTAATTATTAAACTCATAAAAGGGAGACAGAAACCATTACGTATTAAGTTATATTAGATAATTTGGAATAAGCATTATTTGGTGTTAATTAAGTTAAAGGATATTTCAATAGTTATTTAGACGTACTTGTCAAAAATAGAAAAAGATTTGACAAACCTGAACCTTCATTCTTATAGGAAACATACAGTTTCAAATATGATTAATCTGAAGTTGATGATGTTGAGAATTAAGGCTAATAATTTACATCATTTACTTAAGTAGCAGCTAAAGTCAATAAATTAAAGCATCATGTTATTAATAATATTATTCTAGGTACATTTAGAAGGATACAGAGCCATGCTTGAAATGATGAGTCGTTTAGCAGCTAAAGCATAAGATGAACCATCATAAGCAGAAGTTTTGACTAGAAAAGTCTTATCTATCTTAAAATAAATAGAAAATTATATTTAATCCGAAAGAATTAGAGAAGATTAAGCTGAAGCTCTTAGATCTGGTAATTTTGAATTACTCTAAACCCTTTTGTCAGATTAATTAGTTTAAGCTAGCTAAGATAGAACTTATATGGAAGGTTATCTAAAAATATGATTGTAGGACTTGTTGAATCATTATCAACTAGAATATAATAAGCATCAAATGAAAAGTTTGAAGTTGATTAAAGAATTGTTGCTAAAACACGAGAATTGGAAAATAGAGAAACAGATTGTAGGCTTAAGAAAAATGAATATGATACTGACACAGCCAACAGGTATAACGTTAAACAACTTTTAGAATTAAATAAAAGAGAGTTGTTGTAGTTGCAGTTGATCTAATCTCATCAAAGTTAGGACAACTTAAGAGAAAATTGCTTGCTAATTGATTTAATTATTATAGCAATTAATAACAAATAATTTATAATTTATTTTATATCACATTTTAATGATTAAATAAAGCATTTTCTTTATTCTATCCCATTCAAATCCAAATAATAATTGAAATTAAATAAATCAAATCAGATAAATCAATTAATTGTAATAAAATCAAAGTTTAATTGAAAGAATTTTTAGATATGTAGTAAAATATATTAATTTTGCTTCTCTTATGGTTTATTCAACTAAATATCTTCTAGAACATCTTTTTAGAATCTTAATAATTTACTTTGATTATTCTATTTATAATATATATGAAATTAAAATAATATAAATCAAAAAGTTGAGAAGTTATCGGCTTGACTAACCCTCCATTTCTTTGGGAAATACCATTATTTTAAAGATTCGTCATCACTTCCTGACATAAGTAATGATTAATTTTCATTCCAAATAATTTTGTTAACTCCTTTAGAATGAGCCTTAAAAACATCTTATTAGAATATTATACTTACAAAATGGTTATAAATCTTAGACATTCCAAATAGATATTGTACCATCCTCATTTCCGATGAATATCTCTCCCCTTTTTTTTGACCACTCAAAACATAAACTCTAAAATTATCATTATTTAATTACCTTATTTTTTATCTCGACATTTGTTTTTATTTAAGTAAATCCATTTTAAAGACCTTTTGCGAAATCAAAAATAATAATATGACTTCTATCATAATTTAATGCCATAAGATAATTTCTTTCATTATCTATTAATATTTATTTAATTTGAATTGTATGAGTTTGAACTTTAAGTCCTATTTTTACAAAAGGTACTTCACATATATAAATTTCTCCAATATTATTAGAAATAACAATTAGATTTCTGATGGAATTATAAACTATATTGTTTAAATCATGTTAACCAATAGGTATTTCTTATAATTCCTATATTTTTTTTGTGTTTTGTATCATCAAAAAATTGCTTGTAATTACATATATCTCTCTTTCAACTAAAACACATCCTGATATTTTTGTTTATGCTATCTAAAATTGTTCTTCCATGTCTATTGTGTAATTTTCATCCAATCTATAATAATATACAACACCAGATGAAAGTCTATTTAATAAATAAATTATTATACCCTAAAACAAAAGAATTTTCAGTATTATTAAAATTCATACAAGTTAGGGCTTTGAAGAATTCTTTACAAAATAGTTTTTGCTTAAAATCATTTTATTTAAAACAAACCAAGGTGCTTGTTGGAGATTGTTTTTTTGAATCTAAAATATTATTCATGTAAGTGTCCATTCTAGTCAAAATACTAGAGTCATAGAGTAATAATATTGTAATATGATCATTCTCATAAATATCCTTTATACACATATTGAATATCCTGATTTGTGTTTAAACTGGATGTAAGAATTCATCATATTGATCAAGCTTTTTAGGAAAAATAGATTACTATTAAAAAGTCTCTAAAAATAACTGAGTTCACGATTTCTTTTCTATCTAACAATTAATTTAAGTAATCATTTAATTATTACATCCTGAATTAAACTTCACTTCTATTAAGATGAAATATTTATTTTTTTGGAAATTAAGGTAATTCATTAAATAATTCAACTAATTTAAAATGGATTTCTTCAAATTCTGAGTATCTATAGTTGAGAGTATTTATCATACCTTTTATATATTTGCCATTTATTATTGCTGCATTCAACAGCAATTACATATCTTATTACAGACTTTTCAGATGTATATGAATCAACTTATATTTTAATATGTGTGTTATTGCTTAATGACATTTAGGCTCTATTAATAATAAATTATTTGTTATGAAAATTTATATATATTAATATTAATTTTCTAAAATTTAGAATGGATGGTAAGCATTTTAACAAGATTATAATTTATTTTCTTTTTCTAAAAGAAGGATTTTAATTCTTGATGGAAAATAAAACTAACTTCCAAATAATGGGACTTAAATTTTATTAAAATTTTTAGCTTTTTATTAAAATTCTATTCCAGTAAAGGATTGTAATTTTTTAATCCAAAGAAGCTACATCAGCAAAGGTAATATAAATACGTAAAAAAGGAAGAAATACATATTTATTTTTAAATTAAAAAATTATTTTGAAACATTATGCAAAAAATTGCAATTTCATATCACAATGAAATTATTCTTTAGGTGATTATAATTATCTTATAAATTCTTCAAATCAGTGGGATCATCCTTTCTTGTAACTTTTTGTAAATTAATAGAATTTTTTTTTATTATTAAGATTCAGTTTTTCATTTCGAACTTCAAAATCTGGGTTAGAGAAGGTTGAATATTTTTCATTTGGAGTATAAAAAGGTGATTATTATTAATAAATGCAAAAGATTGTAGATTTATTAGATATTAGAGGTCTTTATAAAAATGATGTATCTATCTCTCCTTCTTTAGGCTCCTATTTAATACAATCTACCCAATTTTCAAAAAATGGTTGTTAGATATTATTATTTTTAGAACCATTAAAATATTATCCTTATTTCTTCCATTTTTCAATTAAAGCTCAAGTTTATATATATAAAAAGATGATAAAAGTATTTGCAATAAATCAATAGAATTTTTTCATTGCATTAATGAACTTAGACAATGATTAAAGTTCAGCAGAGTTTAGGACGAATCTATTTTATCAGAGGAAATTTTAAATCTTTTTTCTCTGAAATTCAAATGCTCGCCAGATTTGATTTATATGATCATTAACACATAAGCGTAATATTTTATTGAAATGATGAGCGAAGGTTACTGAGTTAGAATAAGAGGATTAGAGTATATAAGAATTTTAATTCCCTTCTATCATGAATATGAAACCTTCTTGTAAATTAAATTGCACAAATTTTTATAATTATTTCTTTTGAAATATGGGTATCTTGTTTTTATAAATTTTTTAATGTAAATGCATATATATTTTATCTGAAACATGATAAAAATATTTCAAAATATTTAATTAAAAAATGAGATAATAAACTAGTTCTTTAATTCAATTGCTTTGCAAGTGTCTCAAGTTTCGAAAAACTAAATCATAATGTTATGAGTAGATTAAGAATCCTATTGAAATCCCAGCATAAACTGAAAGATCTAAAGTAATTTTTTTATTAGATAAGGGGAGAAAAACTCTGGTAATTGATTTGGATGAAACACTAGTCCACAGTTCTTTCGAACCTATGAAAATTAATGATTTAATCGTTGAAGTAAGTGTAAAAATAAAAAGGTTTCTATGAACGATTAAAAATATAAAATTTATGTTAACATTAGACCAGGTGCCCATGATTTCATTAAAGAAACCTCTAAATATTTTGAGCTGATTGTTTTCACTGCTAGTATTAGTGAATATGCGAATTCTGTTATTGATTTTTTGGATCCTCATGGCTTAGTTGATTTAAGATTGTTTAGAGAAAATTGCACTATTTACAAAGACATTCTCGTTAAAGATCTTTCATTATTAAAAAGAAACTTAGATTCAGTTATTTTAATTGATGTATTATAAATTTTGGATTATTTAGAACTCAGTAAACTCTTTCATGTTTCAACCAATGAATGCTGTTCATATCCTAAACTATTTTGAAGATAAAACAGATTAGGAATTACCACTAATGATCCCTTTTTTAAAACTTCTGTCTTAAGTATAAAATTTAACTTAATTGAAGTTTCAAGATGTTAGACCTGTGCATGAATGGTTATTTAAATATGCTCATTTTGATAAATTTGAATATATTGATGTAATGGGGACAAAGTAAGTTTTCTATGATTTGCCCACAAGCTCAGATACTTAAAGAGAAAAATTACTAAGTCCAGCTGAGACTCCAAAATTGGAAGAACATTAAATACTGATTAAATCAGGGAATTAAATAAAAAATGAAAAAAAATAAAAATAGGAGGATATTAATGTTGAAATAGAAGATTAATAAAACGATTCAATATCAGCTGATAGATGCACCGAAACTCCTAATAAAAGTGAAAGCAATAATGAACAAATAACAGTTCTAAGAGATAATTTAAATATAAATTCCCCTAACTCAGTTGGTAAATAAATATTATTTCCTCAACTTTAATGAAATTTTATGTTATATCTAAAATATTATTAAATAAACTATTATAATTATAAAAATGTTAATCCATATTAAAAAAATTCTATAAATAATAATCAATTTATGATATAAATTTATAATTAGATTAAATCTTTTATAAATAAATAAATTGATGGTATATTTTAATTATAATATAATTTTATGAATTCATTTTTCTTCATTTTTTTGTTGCAATTAGCACTTACAGTTTGTACATTTGCACTATCCTCCTGTCTTACATTAACATTATTCAACACATTATTTATCTGTACATTAGCAGTTGCTACACTTACAGTTTGTACAAGTACATTATCCTCCTGTCTTACATTAACATTATTCAACACATTATTTATCTGTACATTAACAGTTGCTACACTTACAGTTTGTACAAGTACATTATCCTCCTGTCTTACATTAACATTATTCAACACATTATTTATCTGTACATTAACAGTTGCTACACTTACAGTTTGTACAAGTACATTATCCTCCTGTCTTACATTAACATTATTCAACACATTATTTATCTGTACATTAACAGTTGCTACACTTACAGTTTGTACAAGTACATTATCCTCCTGTCTTACATTAACATTATTCAACACATTATTTATCTGTACATTAACAGTTGCTACACTTACAGTTTGTACAAGTACATTATCCTCCTGTCTTACATTAACATTATTCAACACATTATTTATCTGTACATTAACAGTTGCTACACTTACAGTTTGTACAAGTACATTATCCTCCTGTCTTACATTAACATTATTCAACACATTATTTATCTGTACATTAACAGTTGCTACACTTACAGTTTGTACAAGTACATTATCCTCCTGTCTTACATTAACATTATTCAACACATTATTTATCTGTACATTAACAGTTGCTACACTTACAGTTTGTACAAGTACATTATCCTCCTGTCTTACATTAACATTATTCAACACATTATTTATCTGTACATTAACAGTTGCTACACTTACAGTTTGTACAAGTACATTATCCTCCTGTCTTACATTAACATTATTCAACACATTATTTATCTGTACATTAACAGTTGCTACACTTACAGTTTGTACAAGTACATTATCCTCCTGTCTTACATTAACATTATTCAACACATTATTTATCTGTACATTAACAGTTGCTACACTTACAGTTTGTACATTTGCACTATCCTCCTGTCTTACATTAACATTATTCAACACATTATTTATCTGTACATTAACAGTTGCTACACTTACAGTTTGTACATTTGCACTATCCTCCTGTCTTACATTAACATTATTCAACACATTATTTATCTGTACATTAACAGTTGCTACACTTACAGTTTGTACATTTGCACTATCCTCCTGTCTTACATTAACATTATTCAACACATTATTTATCTGTACATTAACAGTTGCTACACTTACAGTTTGTACATTTGCACTATCCTCCTGTCTTACATTAACATTATTCAACACATTATTTATCTGTACATTAACAGTTGCTACACTTACAGTTTGTACATTTGCACTATCCTCCTGTCTTACATTAACATTATTCAACACATTATTTATCTGTACATTAACAGTTGCTACACTTACAGTTTGTACATTTGCACTATCCTCCTGTCTTACATTAACATTATTCAACACATTATTTATCTGTACATTAACAGTTGCTACACTTACAGTTTGTACATTTGCACTATCCTCCTGTCTTACATTAACATTATTCAACACATTATTTATCTGTACATTAACAGTTGCTACACTTACAGTTTGTACATTTGCACTATCCTCCTGTCTTACATTAACATTATTCAACACATTATTTATCTGTACATTAACAGTTGCTACACTTACAGTTTGTACATTTGCACTATCCTCCTGTCTTACATTAACATTATTCAACACATTATTTATCTGTACATTAACAGTTGCTACACTTACAGTTTGTACATTTGCACTATCCTCCTGTCTTACATTAACATTATTCAACACATTATTTATCTGTACATTAACAGTTGCTACACTTACAGTTTGTACATTTGCACTATCCTCCTGTCTTACATTAACATTATTCAACACATTATTTATCTGTACATTAACAGTTGCTACACTTACAGTTTGTACATTTGCACTATCCTCCTGTCTTACATTAACATTATTCAACACATTATTTATCTGTACATTAACAGTTGCTACACTTACAGTTTGTACATTTGCACTATCCTCCTGTCTTACATTAACATTATTCAACACATTATTTATCTGTACATTAACAGTTGCTACACTTACAGTTTGTACATTTGCACTATCCTCCTGTCTTACATTAACATTATTCAACACATTATTTATCTGTGCATTAACAATTCTAATTATCGTCTATAGAATCTATGTTTGTTTTATTCATATTTAATTATTGCGTATGAAATAACAATTATTTCAATTTTTAAACCAATTATAGATTAATGAATCTCAAATTTTTAATGAATCACCACAATATTTTTATTTCATTTTTTTCATCTTTTACATACTTAATGTTTATTATTGTTTTTTAATTCATGGCTCCATATAATTTGCAGCAAATATCTGATTAAATTTGCACACTTCTATTTCAATTCTTTCATCTGTTTAAAGTTTATAATATTAAAATTTTTTTTGATTATGTTACTTTATTCAAAATAGCTAAATATGATCATCCTCAAGTATTCATATGTTAAATTAGTCTTATCATTATTAATTCAATTCTTTTTTATTTGTGAAGATTTCAATATTATTTTATTAATATCATATTTATTTTGCCATATTAACAATATACTTATTTACTTCATATTTAATCTATCTTTTCCTTAAATTAAAAGCAAGTTTCTATTAAATGCATTCATTTTGAAACATAAATTTTCCCTAAATATTATCAATTTTTATTATTTAAAATACTTATTCAAATTTTATCCATAAAATAGATTAAATAATTCTTTCAGATAATTAATTATGGCTTCATAATGGAAATAACCATGAAATAATAAGTGAATATTACTTGACTATTATATCGATCTTAATCATCTCTCTGGATTGCTCTTACTTGATAAGAAAAAATGGATTATGAAAATCTTAATTGATAAGATATTAGTTTAAAGAAAAATAATAAATCTAATTATAACAATCGAAAATTAACAAAATCAAAGTTTAAATAACTTGACTATTTTTTATTTTTATGATTAAAAGAATTTGATTTATAATTTTTTTTCTAATTCTTCATCCCTTAATTATATACACCCAGATACAACAAAGAGTTCAAAGTTTTTTGTTAATCAGATCTTATTGAGGATTATTTAATTTAATGACGAGAGATTTGCTTAAATTCCTTTTTAATATTTGATCCATATTTAAAAGTAAACTTTAAACAAAGACTATCCCTTTTATTAATTCATTCTTTTTCTATTAAGTTACTGCATTATATTCTTCAAAGAGCAATTAATTAATTTAAGCAAATCTCTAGCCAGATGATTAATTCCTTTAAGATATTACAAAAGAATTTTATTCATAAGACAAACTAAAATAAAAATGACGTTACTTTGATTTAATCAAATTCTCCTTTTTTTGATAATAATTTAAATAGAAAATGGATTAATTCTTTTAAAGGTTTCTTTAATTCAAAAAAATATTAATTCTTTTTTATTTAAAGTTTAATTTATTTGATTTCAACAGATCATCTTGTCCTGACATTTTACTAATTTTAATTCATAGAAGTATTAATACAATCATAAATATATATGACAATAAAATCCTTTAAATTTTTGTGATCTCATAAAATTTATATAAGGCATTTTATAAAAACCAGTATAAAAAAAGAGTGATTCATATTTTGAAGGTTTAATGTTTCAAACAATAGTTTAAAATTTTAAAGTTCTCATTTAGATTTGCTGAATGATTTTATTTTTAAATAAATTATTATAATATAATTAATTATAATCTTATTCTAATTTTAATAATTAATCAATATAGAGGTTATTATTTATAAATATTAGAAAATATAAATATGAATGCAATATATACTTAATTATAATATATTCATTAAATGATTATTATATATATAATTATATTGAATAATATTTAATAAATTTAAATATAGAATACTAGTTTACATTTAAATTTTGATCAATATATATATTAAATATTCTTCATTTTAATATGAATTATAGAATTACATTGAGAGAATATTATAAAAATTGATTGGTAATAGTAATAAAATATTATAGATTAGCAATAATTTATATGTAAAGATTGAATTTTAATTAATTTAATGAACGATTTTGTANTATGAAAATCTTAATTGATAAGATATTAGTTTAAAGAAAAATAATAAATCTAATTATAACAATCGAAAATTAACAAAATCAAAGTTTAAATAACTTGACTATTTTTTATTTTTATGATTAAAAGAATTTGATTTATAATTTTTTTTCTAATTCTTCATCCCTTAATTATATACACCCAGATACAACAAAGAGTTCAAAGTTTTTTGTTAATCAGATCTTATTGAGGATTATTTAATTTAATGACGAGAGATTTGCTTAAATTCCTTTTTAATATTTGATCCATATTTAAAAGTAAACTTTAAACAAAGACTATCCCTTTTATTAATTCATTCTTTTTCTATTAAGTTACTGCATTATATTCTTCAAAGAGCAATTAATTAATTTAAGCAAATCTCTAGCCAGATGATTAATTCCTTTAAGATATTACAAAAGAATTTTATTCATAAGACAAACTAAAATAAAAATGACGTTACTTTGATTTAATCAAATTCTCCTTTTTTTGATAATAATTTAAATAGAAAATGGATTAATTCTTTTAAAGGTTTCTTTAATTCAAAAAAATATTAATTCTTTTTTATTTAAAGTTTAATTTATTTGATTTCAACAGATCATCTTGTCCTGACATTTTACTAATTTTAATTCATAGAAGTATTAATACAATCATAAATATATATGACAATAAAATCCTTTAAATTTTTGTGATCTCATAAAATTTATATAAGGCATTTTATAAAAACCAGTATAAAAAAAGAGTGATTCATATTTTGAAGGTTTAATGTTTCAAACAATAGTTTAAAATTTTAAAGTTCTCATTTAGATTTGCTGAATGATTTTATTTTTAAATAAATTATTATAATATAATTAATTATAATCTTATTCTAATTTTAATAATTAATCAATATAGAGGTTATTATTTATAAATATTAGAAAATATAAATATGAATGCAATATATACTTAATTATAATATATTCATTAAATGATTATTATATATATAATTATATTGAATAATATTTAATAAATTTAAATATAGAATACTAGTTTACATTTAAATTTTGATCAATATATATATTAAATATTCTTCATTTTAATATGAATTATAGAATTACATTGAGAGAATATTATAAAAATTGATTGGTAATAGTAATAAAATATTATAGATTAGCAATAATTTATATGTAAAGATTGAATTTTAATTAATTTAATGAACGATTTTGTATAATTCAAAGCAGAAAGCAAGAAGACTTCAGCCGCATATATAAAATTATTTTTGATGTCATACTTAAAATTTATCTAAACCTTTAGTGTCTTATTATTATAATAGAAATAGATGGGATTCAAATAATAAATAAATAACTTCTATTTGTATTCCAATTTTTGATTGTGGCTCTATATCAAATTAATTTCTGTAAATCTTTGGAACATAATTTATTTTCTCTGTTGCAGAAGAGCCTGTAATGTTTATTTAATAGTAAATTTGTTATCTTAATTTTCATTATTTATTCATTTTAATTTCTAAAAAAAGAATTCATTTATTTGATAAAATGATGAGAAAAATTTATTAAAGCTTAGAATTATGTATCTATTAGATTTAAATCAAATTAAAAATTGATTAATGTATTTATTGTATATTGTATATGTCATTTCAAGCTCTGTTTGGATAAAGGAATACTCTGAGGGTTGATCCAATAGCTCTTGGAGGTAGATTTCTACCAAAACGAGCAGTAACAACTCCATTACTTCCATGAGATTTGCTAATTCGTCCCCAAATTGCCTGAATGAAATTAATTCATACTCTAAATTTAGTGTTATTCTTTAATGAATGGGCTTTGTAAATATATGCAACTCTTTTTCCCCAATAGAATCTGCTTGAAGCAACATCATTGACATGTTCAATTTTAAGTAATGCTTAATTTTCATTCTATTACACTTTTGATCTTCTAAAACCTGTAAATACAGCCTTAACCCATAATCTAATTTAAATGCTAAATTCTACCTAACTGGAGCTCTTTTGTTTGTTGTTTTAACTTTTTTGACTGTCTTAGTTACTCCTTTCTATTATTCAGCCTATCCCTTCATTAATTAAAATCTTTGTTATTTTTTATTTAAAAATTAAAACCATCATTCTCATTAATATATTATGGACATGATTATTGTACATCCAAACTATTTAATGCAATAAAAACTTTGGTTTTTTTCAGAATGTAACAAAAGGTTTTTACTAAATGTTAGAATAAAATTTTGTATTTATTACAAAAATGCATTAACCTAGTTCTTTTTTGATATTCAGATAGAATATTATGATAATTATAGATTTGATCAAATTGCATAAGCTTTAAATGCCATTTATAATCTAATGAAAGGTTTGTTAGAATTCAAAAATTGATAATTTTATCAATTTTTAATTGAAAAGAATTTGCCAATAATATTGTAAATAAAGTATTATAATATGTAAAATTAATATTTCATATCTCTTATGAAAACTTAATAAATTAATATAATTTACTCTAAATAATATTTGTATTATAAATCTTTAATCTTAAAGAATTTTGCATCAATTTTCAATAATAGAAGAGAAGGTTAGTTTTTAATAAAATCTATATTTTAATAGATTAAATTGAGAATATAGAATCGAATAATTTATAATTGAATTAATTTTTTTTACATGTAGATTGAAAGTTAATTGTTTAACTATATTATTTTTTTTAATTAATATTTTATATGAGAAGAAATGCAGATTTGGATTTTGTTGTGAGAAATCCTATAATATCAGCAATTAATATTGTTTTAACTACTAAAAAGAGTTCAAAATTTGGCATTTTACTATGTGCAACAGGACTTTTTTTGAGTTTTTGTTGTTATCTTAAATTAAAAAGAAAATAAAAAAAAATTACTGCATTTTAGGATAAAATCAAGCTATAATCTCCTTTAAATAAAAATCTTCTGATTCTATTAGATGAATCATGGAGAGATGGAAAATATGATAATTTTACTTATTTATTACCATAATATAAATAGTTTGGGAAAATGGCAGTATTTAAAAATGTTTTTCTTTATGTATAAATGGATTAGAATATGCAAATAGGAGATCTAAATTTTAGTGTAAATTCTAATAATTTAGATTAAATTATCAGAAAAAAAGTACAAAGAACAGATTTATCTTAAGCACTTACTCCTAAATTAACATTTTTCGTTTCTGATAATATTCATATTGACTTTATTAGAAAATCAGATATGATCTCATCTGCTTTTCTTAAAGATTTTAATGAAAACTAAATCTATTCAGGGTTAATCTCTGAGTTGAGAAAATATCCCAAATAAAAACTATTAATATTTGAATATATAAGTCAAAAAATTTTAGGAACAAATACATTATTTGATGGAAATTAAATATCTTGGCAATATCCTAATCCTTTTTCAGTCAGTAAGGGTAATTAATTATGTATGAAATGTACAGCGATAATTCATAACGATGAAATTAGAGTAACAAATATAAAGGCTATTGCAAATGATTTTGTCAGATTAAAATATTTTCTGGAAGCAAATATTATTTCAAAAATTAGAATACTTTAAACTAAAATCAATTTAACAAAAATATCTATTGCTATCTTTGGTTTTTTTACGATCTATTAAATTGGAAAGTATATTATGAATTAACTTGAACCATATATGCTAAAAAAAGAATATCCTGGATTGGATTAAATAAAATAAAAATTTAGTGTTGCATATTGTGATTAAGGTACAAGATGTATTCATTGCAAAAGTAGACCTGCAAGCTTCATTTTTATACCTTGCTATCATTTATAATGTTGCAAATAATGTTTTGATGAGCATAATCAAATTGAATGTAAGACCTGTAAAATAACTATTTATTGTGGTATACCTGTTTTTGTGTGTAAATGAGTATTTTTAGTATTATATTAAATTCAAAAAAATTATTCGCTCCAGAGGCCGAATCGAACAGCTGTGCCTCTCGGCACCTTCAGGGTTTGAAGCCCTGACGAGGCACCAGCCCCACTCACCAGAGCAATTATTTAATGAAATTAATTGATTTATAATTTAATATTTTTATTAAAATATTTATGGGATTTGGATAAATAGAGAAACAACCTTTAAACTAACTTGTATAAATAACATCTGATCATCCAGATGCTAAATTTACATACTTTTCTGACATTGTATTTTAGACAGAATAAATTGGTAATACATTTAAATAATTCAGAAATAATTATTGACAAAGTTGTTAAAGAAGATGATAAATTTATTTATTTTCTTGATATGAAGCATCTTTGCTAAAATAATCAGAGAATTTTAAATAATTTTAGCGTTTTAAAGAGTCAATATTAAACAATAGTATGTTTGCTAGTTTTTGAATAAAATTAATTTAGTATAGTATTCCCATGAATATAATATAAACTCATTTACATTAACTTACGTACATTGCATCTAAATCAGCTTTTACAGAATTATATTCTGATAAAAGTTTATGATAATCTTTATTTATTTTAATAAATTTCTTTTTCCAAGTATTATCCTCTTGACTTTCTTATTATATTTGTTATTCTTAATTATATATAACTTAGTTCAATTATTCAATCCTTAAATCTCTTTCTCTTAATAAAATTTCAAAAAGTGAATTATCTTTTTAAACTCTATCTAAACGTTCAAGTGTTACTTAATTTAAATTTTCAAATTACTTAATCCTATTCTCCATTTCATTTTATACTTATTCTCGAAATTCATCAAATGATATTTTCTTTAAATTCAAAGAATTTTATAATTAATCAATTTCTAACTTTTATTCTTTGATATCTAATTTTTATTGATCAATTTGTAGCTACAATTTTTTACATTTTCCACATTCTTAATTTTCAGCATTACTTTTGATATTTTCATTTAGCTTTTTTAATTGGACTAATTCATTTGCTTACTTTTTGCATAATTATTCTAATCCTTAATATCTACTAATTAAACTTTAATAATCAAATTGAAGCCTGACTATGTCTTTTGGAATTTGCATTGACATATAATAATTCGTTAAATAAAAAATTAATTAAATTTTATAATTTTCATCCCCCTTCCATATTTCTAGAACATCCTCTAAATTATTATAGAACAATTATGAAGAAATTTAAACTTCTTAATTTTATTTAAATGAAATCTAACATTATTTCTGTAAGTATGAACATATATTTTATATGATATAATTTATATCAATGATCATTTAATCTATTCATAATATCGAATAAATAATGATATTTTTAAAACCTAAATTATTTAAAATAAAAATCAATTTAATCTCTTTAATTAAATAGAACTAAAATAAACTTTTTATTATATATAAATATCAAATTTTTAATATCTATAGAAAAGTACAAAAGTATAAATGATTTTTTGGATATAATAATACTGATTTATATTGTGATAAATAAGATTAAATAAAATAAGAAATAGAATGAGATTTAATATAATGATGTTAAATAAATGAAAAATAATCAAATAAGTTCTTCAGTATCTTAAATTTATTATTGCTACTATTAGTATTATTACTTATAGATTTCATTTTTATTTTAAACTAACACTAATTTGTTAAGTATAATTTCAGTAGATTGTCTTAATTTGCTTAAATATTATAAGACTTATGATTTTTTTGTTAATTCTTCAACTTTTAATTGATTTTACTTTTGTTTAATATCTAAAATGATATTTTTTAATAATATCATTAATTATTCATAATTATCTGATATTTTATTAATCTTTTAATTTTATTCCAAAATTAATTTTTACATTATTATTTCTCTCTTTTTGGTAATAGGATTACTTTCATTCTCTAAAACTAATTATTATTTTTTTAATTTTTCTTTGGGTTTTTTATTGTCCTTTTATTTTAAAAATGATTGCACTTTAAGAATATTCAATGGACTATATTGTTAAAAATGGCCTTCAATATTAGATATTTATTAATTATTTTATTTGTATTATTATAATTCCTATTTTAACAATGCATTTTAAGCAGCTAATTATTTCAATTCATCATTATCTAAGTAATTAAATAAATAATTATACTTTAATGTTATTTTAATTCATTAATCTATTTCCAAAGTAATTCATTTTATTCTTTTAACTATATTTATTCTGTATATTCAGATTCATCAAATTATCTAATTAAAGGTATATGATTCTCTTCTTCTATTGTTTCTAATTATTCACAATCTTCCTATTAATCCATTTGAATAAATTATTATGTTTTTAATTATTGATCTAGATCCTTAATTTTTAACTCATATAATTCAATAATTTAATTTTATTCTTAAATTTTTTTATTTAAATCTACAATAATAGTATCATTAACATTTTTAATATTTGATGCTAAAGATTCTCTTTTGCTTCTTATTATTTCTTTTTAGGTTGTAATTTACTATATTTGTTCTTTAAGAGATGAATTCTCAAGTTCTAATTAAATTATTTATTCTTTCTCTAATATTTTGTTTTTTTCACTTTGTTCTTATCTCTGTTTCATCAGAAGCAAACTATCATACTTTGACTGCAAGATTTCATACTATTATCTTAACTTTTAAATTGATTTACTTTAAATCATCGCTACTCTAAATTTAATTGTGGTAGATTGATTTTCTTACAGTTTTTTATTTTAATTATTCTTCTTAAAGTTTCTATAAAACCAATTATTATTCTAGATTTAATTTTTCAGAGTTCAATTTATTCAATTCTAATTTCTGTTGTTTTACTTCATTTTGCAAAATATCAATTTAATTTTATTGGGACAAATTTGACTCTTAATAATTCAAGAAACAATTTACTAATATTTATTTTTATTAATACTTAATTATTAAACTTTAACATCTTTTGAATTAATTGCATTTATATTTCCAGAGACAAGTTAAGTAAGATTTTCCCATTCCTATAATTATTCTTTTATTTAAGAAAATTCATCTTTCTTCTAAAATGCCTCTCTTTGACTAGCTATCCTTTAAGATTTATAATAATAATTACTGTAATTAATGTATTTCTTATTTTAATTAACTATTTTCATTAAGTAACTATTAAGTATTACTCTCATTAAAGCTTGTTTTTTAATTTTAGAATTAAACTTATTCTAATTAAATTGTTAATTATTGAATTTAATCTCTCAAATCTTATTCATTTAATTCACATTTTGTTAACTTTTATTGATCAAATTCTTTTTTTTACAATAATTCTTTTACTTAATTAAATGCATTTTCATATTTTTATCTAATATAATATTTATATACATATTTACTTTTCTTAATTTAAAATTTCTTATAATTCATTTTTTTCTCTCTCTAATACTTAAATTTTTTACTTATAAATTTCCTAAGCTTATTTATAATTAGTAATAGTATCTTCCATAAATTATTGATCCTTTAATTATTCTATTAATGATTCAATCTCAAGTCTAAATATAAATCATTATTACTAATTTTCATCAAGTAGTTTAGCAGATTCAGTAACAAGTTAATCGTTAGATTCTTTAAGGTTTCTTATAGAAAATTAACCTATTATAAATACTTATATTCTTCAGAGATTGTAAAATTTTCATGCTTCAATTACGTATTAAGTTCTACTATCTCATTTATATATTACCTATAATATAAATTAAAAATTTACTTTAATTATTCATTTTCTCTTAAAACCTCTTCATTATCTGATGAGTTTGTGACAACAGTTGAAGATTTTTAATTTAATTCTTAAATTTAATTTTTTAATTCATTTATTTCATCTAATTATTAATTTATTTAATTTTCAAGTTAATTCTTTTAACCTTCTAAACCTTTTATTTTTTCTTCCATATCTTCTTAATTTTAAGTTTCCTCCTTTAATTCTTCATATTGTTATCTAAAATTATATTATAAATTAATATTTATTACTTTAATTTTTCAAATTAATTGATTTAAATAGCTTACATGGAGATCTATTATTCTAATTTAAAGATTTGATGTTCATAATTAGAATTTTCAGTTTAAATTTTTTTCAATTTTTCATTTTCAGCTTATAAATTATTAATTTTTTGTTTTTATATCTCTATTTAATTGCTTTTTACTATTAAGAATAACATACTTTAATTATTATTAGATTTCTTCATTGTTATCTTAAACTTATTCTATTTTTTTTTAATTTATCATATTTTCATAATCAATTTATAATGTACTTATTTATTGTTGTAATTTGAGTGTTAATTCTTTCTCATTTTCTATTTAATTTTTGAGAGTATTAATTTCATTTCTGTTATAATTATAAATATTACTCTTTTGTTTAAATTAGCTCATCTTATTCTTAATTTTAAGATTCTTTTACTTCACCTTAATTGATTGCTTTCTCTGTTTGTAGATATTCATAATTTTATTTGAGCTATTTCAATTCATCTTATAATTAAAATATTAATCTTTGTAATTGATATTGCAAATAGTTATTACTTTGTAGAGTCAGATTCTGAAAAACCTTTCTTAAGTTTTGCAATGGTTTGGTCTTTTTCTTCGATTTCATTGTTGTAAAATTCTTCCTTTTCTTCTGCATCATTCTTAATTCTAATAGATTATGATAATAAATAGGAGTACTGATTTAATTACAATTGTAGTTCAAGAATTTACTCTTTTAGAGTTTGAATCTCATCTTCAGATGGTTGAGTTTAACTCATTTTATAAGCAATTTAATTAAATTAACTTAAAAAAAATGAGAAATTATAAGATTGGTAGAATGGTGATAACTTTTGATTGATGTTATATTTATAGATCATGCTCCCTTGAGTTATGATTTAACATAATCTTAAAATCTTGGTTAGTTGAGCAATTCTAATGCTTAATTAGCAGCATTGATTTCCTTGTTGTATTCTGCAACGGTGGCATTGTAGACATCAGTGGCAAAGGCATAATCATCATTTTCAGCTTACAATTATCCATTAAGGGTTGCCAAATCAGCATCAAGTTCATCAATTAGGTCAAGAGTTTATTCAATCTTGTCTAAATTGATTAGAAATTTATATATTACTGGCATTAGCATCGATTTCAGCATTCTTAACAACAACTGCTCTTTAGAATTCAGCATGTTCTTAGTTTAATTAGATGACTTAAGCATTAAAATCAGCAACAGCTTCAGCTTCATCAGCAGTGATTTAGTTGAGTGAATCAACCAATTCAACTCTCAAATTATTGAAAGCAACAATAATCTATCATTTAATTTTCTAAAATTACGTCTCTAAGAGCACCTTAGTCAGCAAAGTTAGATTCAACTGTAATTTCCAAGAGGACTTTAACGAAGATTTGGAATTAATTGTGCTTTTTCAAGGAATTTTGAATTTTATTGAGGTTCTTTTAAACTTTTTAGATTTAAGCAAGAGATGGAGTTGCGATTGTGCTCAATAATTAAAGGCATTCATCAATAGCACTAATGGCATCATTGTGTTCAGCAACTTAAGCTTCAAAAGTTTCATGATCATTTTCTCTTTAGACTGTAGCTTATTCAAGAGTTTATCTGTTATGGGCAATATTTTCTTATAATTATTCAAGTTAAGCAGCAAATCTATCTCTTTATGGGATGAGGACGTTATCATAGAAATCATGAGCATTGAAGAGTTCTAAAAAAATCATCATATTTTATTATACCTCTTTCCTTATCTTAAATTTCTTATTCAAGTCTGGCAACTTCTCTATTGTGAACGTCTGTTCTTCTGTTGAATTCGTGATGGACTCCAGCTAATTCCTCTTCTAATTCACCAACCTTAAAAATTAGTTAAGATAAATAGTTACGAGTTTTTCAATTTCGCTGTTGAGTTCAGAAAGAATACCTCCTGTTTACATATGAAGTTCGGCATAGTTCAAAATGAACTTACCCCAGCCAGATGTATGAATTTGAGCAAGAGCCTTTTAGTCACGATTTGTCCAGATGGATGATTAGACATTGATGGCTGTTGCACCAAGCACTAACAATACACAAAGAGTTAGTTTTAACATTAATTGTAATTATTATTGACATACGTCTGAGGATTTATTTGTGCTAAAAAATTGAAAAACGAATATTTATTTTCATATATAATATTAATTATTATTTTATTTTTAATGTTCTCTCCTTCAAAATATGATCAATCTAACCATTAAAAAATCATATATCTTTTGTTTTTAATTTGATCTGTTGAGATCTATCATAAATTATCTATTTAAAATTGGTTCTGAAATCATATAATTAATAATAGCTTGTTTTCATAATTTTATAAATCCTTTTTAATAACAATATTCAAATAGAATACTTAACTGCCATATAATTTTTATTATAGAAGCCACAAAAAATATCTAAATATAATATTATATTTATATATAAAATAAAATTATCATGAACATTCATTTACTTAAAATAGTAGTTTCTAATCAATTCTTCAAATCTAATTTGTATAGGTTTACAAATTATGTTTTATGAAAAGTTTTAATTCAGCATTTATTTCATAAATGAAATTTTATACTAATAAATTTAATATATGTAAGAATCAATAATAATATCTTTAACAGTAATTAGATCTCTACTTTAATAATTATCTAATTCTTAAAGATAATGATACAAAATTTAGCATGCAATATTAAAAAACATCAATTAATCTAACCTAGAATTCTTTATATTCTTAACATTTTCATCATTGTTATTTATAAGTATTATCTTATCATCTATTTTTTTGTATTAAATTAGCTCCATAATACTAATTCTAATTAACAAAGGCTGCCTTTCAAAGAATATATTTCTTATTGAATATAATTTCTTATGTTTTTATTTATTTTCACTTCTTGATTAGCAAAATTAACCTTATTGAAGAAATTTTTATAATTTTGAAAATAAAAATAGTTATTCAAATAATTTAGACTTCTTATAAATAATTTTATCATTTATAACAATTTTATATTGAAATAGCATAAAAAATATTAATTGATATTGTTCTTAAAATTTTATCATTATTTTTAGGAATTTATCATTTCTGAAATAAAATATTTAAGGCTATCTTATATTGAATATAGACTTCTTTGATGTAGGTTTAGACTCAAAATAGATATAAATTTAACTTTATCAATATATATCTGTTTTTATATTGATTGCACAATCAGATATTAATTGAATTAATTATTTTAATGAATTTACAGGCTATCAAAGAAGCAGCTCAACAGATGTATGAATTTCAATTTACCCCAGTAAGGATAAGCTTACCAAATCACCTTTAGAGTAGACATTATCTGAAGCAACATCTAACGAAAATTGGAATACTCCTACTAAATTGCTATAAGAAGTTGCAGAGGCATCATATGGATAGTAAGAATGTTTTTTTGAATATTTATAGCACATCTTGCGATACAATTATGAAATTCATTTGGAAACGTCTTGATTCTGATAATAGAGAATGGCGTCGGATTCTGAAAGTATCATTTCTTGTTAAAAAAATACTAGACTTTAAATATGATAGAGTATTTGACAAAGAATGGAGCACCTCGTTGTGTAGGGGAATTTAGAGACAATATATACAAAATCAGAAGTTTCTCAGATTTCTTTTTAGTTGAATAAGGTTCTGACAAAGGTCTCTCAAGTAAATAAAATTATTAATGATTAGTTCGTGATAAGACAAAATAATTAGTTGATTTATTAAGCAATGAAAAGTTGATTGAAGAAGAAAGAGAGAGTGCTAAAAAGATACGAGAACGATTGGCAGGTAAAATTAAACTTAAAATATAAGCTGCTGGAGGTGTTGGAGCTATTGGAAGTAACACATCTTATTAGGGTTATGGAAGTAGTTCATATGAAAGTAATAAGCCAAAATATGGATAAGAATCAAATTAATCCTAATCAACAAATTATTGTAAGTATTTATCATCTATAAAGCATTAAATAATGGTGGTTTAGAGAGTGGAGGAGGTTTAGATAAATACAGAGGTACAAATAATAATAATAATAATAATAATACTAATAATAATAATAATAATAATAATACTAATAATAATAATAATAATACTAATAATAATACTAATAATAATGCTAATATAAGTTTTAATGGAATATCATGGAATAATCCTCAACAGCAGACAACTCCTTAATAATAAACAACAGCAGCACCATTTTCAGAACCTGTAAAAAGATTAGCTAAACCTGGAGAAAAGTGGGATGTTCCAGGACCTAAACCATAACCTTAATAATAATAACCATAATAATAATAATAAAAGTAACAAGCATAATAAAACAATCTAATAGATATTTTTGACACTCCCTAATAATTACCATAATAATAATAGTCATAAATTGCTCCACCTTTACAACCACCTCCATCTTAAAAGTCAAATAATCAAAATAATGAATGGGGGTCATTTTAAACAGCTACTCCTATTTCTAATCCAATTCCATAACCTTAAATTTAATAAAAAGTATAGACTAATTTATTACCTAATGATATTTTTACACCAGTAGTATCATAACAACAAGTTTAAGCACCTATCCTTTTTGGACAATAAATACCACCTTAATAAAACAATTAACTACCTATTTATTAATAACCTTAATAATTATTATATTAATAAACTTAAGTACAATAAAATCTATATCCTTTATAATAATAATAAAATACTTATTAATAACCTAATTTGTACTAAAATTAATAAATGAATAATTATTAATAGCCATAATAAAATATCAACTATGCAAATACATAAGTTCCAACTTATTAATCAAATTAAACAAAATAATAATAAGATGAATTTGCATTTGGTGAATTCGTCTCAGCCTCCCAACCAAAAAATACAAATACTAATTAAACTGATTTATTAGGCATGATTGATTTAAAAAAAGAAAAATAAGAATTAGAATAGAAAAAATAGATTCCAATTGCTCCTTAGTAAAATTCATAACCTTAGTTGTATACATCCTAAGCTGAATTGGATAGTTTTTAATTCAATTATTAAAATAAAGCACCAATATATGGATAATGTATTATTATATATAACATAAAATAGATTAATACCAGTAAAGCAGATGAATTATAATAAACATATATATTATATAATTTGATAACTATTAAACTCATTATCTTCATTTGATCTGTATTAATAAATGACTAGAACAACAATATCTTCAATATTTTCTTGAACATTTTAAAAAATCTTAATTTTATTTAAAGATAGACATCATTCATTAAACAAAGAAAAAAAAAAATAATAAAATCTATGAGTTCTGCCTCTTTGAATTTTGTAAGCAATAATTACAAACAGAGGAATCTATATCAAATAAGAGAAAAACTTTAAGTAGATAATTAAAAAAATCAGATAGTATTGAAATATAGGATAATGATTTTAAGGATTAAATTGAAGGACATATTAAAATATAATATGATTGATATACATATATATTTGTATTTATTGCTTTTTGTATATCATTCTCTTCTACGATAAAATAATACATAAGCTGCACTTGTAATTAATGTTGAATTAACAGATTCCTCTTTAATAGAATTAACTGAACTGTCATCAAAATTATACCATGTATTGTCATAGTAGTTTTTAGCGAAAGCAGTATAATGTCCACCTCCCAATCCTCCAAAATGATTAGAAATAGCATATAGATCATAATAGATAGGATCATTAATTTCTAATTTAAAATTAAATTAAATTTAATACTTGGATTTTCAGGATGTTCAGTAGTGAATTCAGATGGTAAATGGTGATTTTATACATATTCTCTTATGTCAAAATTTTCAATTGGGAAATCAATCAAAGTTTCAAGTTTGCTTTTGAAAAATTTATTAGAGTTTTTGAATCTCTTTAGATGAAATATCAATATTTTAGGTGTTTTATAGATTTCCATAACTTTAAAAGCACGACTAATAGATTAAAATGGATAATATACACATGATCTTTGCATTAATTACAATACCACGTATTTTCTTCATCTAATTATTCAGGTTGTTCAGAGAATTTTAAACATTCACCTAATTTCATTGATTTTTCTGTTGTAGCTTGAACATTAGTAGATTAGAATGTTGGCATAGAAGGTCCTAAAGGTACGAGACATGTAGTGAAATTTTATTTTTAAGCTAATTATTCATCAGATAAATTTTCTTATTATTTTGCATCATCTATATTTTCTTATAATTATTCTTGATCATTTTATTATTTTGGTAATTCTTCAATATTATTTTATTTTCTTTGATGATGTTTCAACCAATCATTGTATAATTCATCAACAGAGCTTGCTATTTTGAAACCTCTTTTCCAAACTACAAATACTTCAATTTCTAATTTAGGTTCTTTTTATAAATATTTTTCAATTAAAGTATCTTAATTATAAGCACAAACACAATCATTACATTATTTTGCATTGCAAAAAGCACATTCAATTTACCAATTTTAATTGGATTTAAATTCTAAATAATAAACCTTATCTAATATATTTTCTTCATAATATTCACTCCAATTATTGCCTTTATATGGAGGAAGACCTTCAAAAGTTGTTAAGACTCCAACATGAATATCAAATATAAATTTATGTATATCAACATGTTTTGTCTTAGTTTTATCAAAATAGAAGTTGAAAGCAGGAGTAATTTCCCTCTTCCATTAATACTAAGCATTTTATTTAAAAGATTCATGTATCATAATGCAAACTTTATTTTCTTTTTCTATATTGAGTTCGGATTATAAAGCTTTTCTAATATATAACTTTTTGTATTTTAATTTCTTCCTCAAACTTGACATTTTTTCATTTTCATCTGTATCATCATGTTAGTAAGCTGATGTACAGATATAAATCAAATCAGTTGGATTAATATGTTAAATTTTGTCTTAAATTTCTGGAGATAGCAATATTTAACCAAGTGAAGAATCTTGTGCTTTCTCATAATTATAAACAAGAGTCTAACAATCCCACAATAAATTTGGATCTATAAATTGGATTTCTAATTTTTTGGTTGTATTTTAAGGTATACTTACATTAACCATCAAATATGGATCAAATGTAATAGATATTTTATTACAATTTGGACATCTTAAAGTACTTTTATATTATCCATAAAGATTGTCAACAACTATACTATCATTTCTTAACTTAAATTATTCCCAAGATTCTTTAGCAACTTCAAAATCAGGTCTTCCATCATAATCTTTTCTCTCAACATATGGTTTTTGTTTAATACGACATAAATCTTCATTTAATCCATCCAATAAATATGTAATCAATTCTTAACTGTCATGTTATTGGAATCCTTAGAATTATGGTTAAAATTTTCCAATGGCTCTTTTAAGTGAGAATGGAGGAATAGGTGATCTATCAGCATACCACATTCTTCTTAAAAGATGAGCAAATTTAGATGCTAATTCTCCTTTTGTACCTAAAGTATTCTCTTCATTTATATCTTATTTATATTAATTAGATAATAAGTATTCTCTTAATGGGAATGTATTACCAATACATTAAATTCCTGAATTCATAAAACAAGTATTTCCTAAATTCTTTAATCCAACCTTGCCATCCATAGATTTTTCATTTCTTTATAGTTTATCCATTGTTTCATCATCAGAATCTGTCTTTTCACATCTAGGTAAATGATAAGTCTCATCTCTTTTTTTACATTCTTCTGTACAATAACTAACTTTTTTGCAATCACATGGAAATCGAAGTACTTTGAAATTATAACAACCTTCACATTTTCCTTCCATAGTGAAATTGGGATGTTTAATTACCCAATTTTTTTATAATTCCTTAAAATCTCCTAGTATAATTTAACCGGGTGCTATTTAACAATCTTCAATAGTTTCATATTTATTTGGATCCAAATATTCAGCATCTTTAAATTCAAATACTACATCATCATAAGTTCCAAGTGATTTAATTTCTTCAGAAATATGTTTTTCAATCTCTGTCATAGTCATACCTAAGGGACATTTATAAAGTCTAATTCCATCATGTCTATGGAAGTCATAGCCACTACTATATATGGTTGTATAATAATTACGTACACTGTTTATAAAGTGCTTGCTAATAATTCAATAAATGAAGATAATTTGCATGTTCTAGATACATATTAGTCTCCTTTAATAAGTGTAACAGTTTTTCCTCCATTGAATTTGCGAAGTGTAGAAGGAAACACTGCTCCTAAGTTTAAAGGTACAAGATTGACATTAACTTGTTTAATTCCATTTATAATAGTGGCATCTCGTTCAATAGTTGTTACATGAAACCTACATAATAAAAAATATTATAACTTTCTTGCTATGATTTCCCAAGTTGCTTTATCTAAAATTTCATAATCAACTCCTTCTTAAAGATTAGGAAGCATTATCTTATTCCATTTATGAGTTTAAATTGGATCATATTTAAAGATGGTTTATGGTTTAGACAATAATAGATCTGAATTTACACAAGAATAATTGTTAAATGTTTAACCTTTCTCTTCACTTTCTATCCACTCTTCTAACCATCTGTTCATTTAAATTAAAAATGCTTTACTTCTTTGAAATGATATAATAATTCATGTCTTGGCTTGTATGGAATTCATCCATCCCACGCTTTCTTGATTCTTTGAATTGTACAAAATCGTTCATTAAATTAATTAAAATTCAATCTTTACATATAAATTATTGCTAATCTATAATATTTTATTACTATTACCAATCAATTTTTATAATATTCTCTCAATGTAATTCTATAATTCATATTAAAATGAAGAATATTTAATATATATATTGATCAAAATTTAAATGTAAACTAGTATTCTATATTTAAATTTATTAAATATTATTCAATATAATTATATATATAATAATCATTTAATGAATATATTATAATTAAGTATATATTGCATTCATATTTATATTTTCTAATATTTATAAATAATAACCTCTATATTGATTAATTATTAAAATTAGAATAAGATTATAATTAATTATATTATAATAATTTATTTAAAAATAAAATCATTCAGCAAATCTAAATGAGAACTTTAAAATTTTAAACTATTGTTTGAAACATTAAACCTTCAAAATATGAATCACTCTTTTTTTATACTGGTTTTTATAAAATGCCTTATATAAATTTTATGAGATCACAAAAATTTAAAGGATTTTATTGTCATATATATTTATGATTGTATTAATACTTCTATGAATTAAAATTAGTAAAATGTCAGGACAAGATGATCTGTTGAAATCAAATAAATTAAACTTTAAATAAAAAAGAATTAATATTTTTTTGAATTAAAGAAACCTTTAAAAGAATTAATCCATTTTCTATTTAAATTATTATCAAAAAAAGGAGAATTTGATTAAATCAAAGTAACGTCATTTTTATTTTAGTTTGTCTTATGAATAAAATTCTTTTGTAATATCTTAAAGGAATTAATCATCTGGCTAGAGATTTGCTTAAATTAATTAATTGCTCTTTGAAGAATATAATGCAGTAACTTAATAGAAAAAGAATGAATTAATAAAAGGGATAGTCTTTGTTTAAAGTTTACTTTTAAATATGGATCAAATATTAAAAAGGAATTTAAGCAAATCTCTCGTCATTAAATTAAATAATCCTCAATAAGATCTGATTAACAAAAAACTTTGAACTCTTTGTTGTATCTGGGTGTATATAATTAAGGGATGAAGAATTAGAAAAAAAATTATAAATCAAATTCTTTTAATCATAAAAATAAAAAATAGTCAAGTTATTTNTACAAAATCGTTCATTAAATTAATTAAAATTCAATCTTTACATATAAATTATTGCTAATCTATAATATTTTATTACTATTACCAATCAATTTTTATAATATTCTCTCAATGTAATTCTATAATTCATATTAAAATGAAGAATATTTAATATATATATTGATCAAAATTTAAATGTAAACTAGTATTCTATATTTAAATTTATTAAATATTATTCAATATAATTATATATATAATAATCATTTAATGAATATATTATAATTAAGTATATATTGCATTCATATTTATATTTTCTAATATTTATAAATAATAACCTCTATATTGATTAATTATTAAAATTAGAATAAGATTATAATTAATTATATTATAATAATTTATTTAAAAATAAAATCATTCAGCAAATCTAAATGAGAACTTTAAAATTTTAAACTATTGTTTGAAACATTAAACCTTCAAAATATGAATCACTCTTTTTTTATACTGGTTTTTATAAAATGCCTTATATAAATTTTATGAGATCACAAAAATTTAAAGGATTTTATTGTCATATATATTTATGATTGTATTAATACTTCTATGAATTAAAATTAGTAAAATGTCAGGACAAGATGATCTGTTGAAATCAAATAAATTAAACTTTAAATAAAAAAGAATTAATATTTTTTTGAATTAAAGAAACCTTTAAAAGAATTAATCCATTTTCTATTTAAATTATTATCAAAAAAAGGAGAATTTGATTAAATCAAAGTAACGTCATTTTTATTTTAGTTTGTCTTATGAATAAAATTCTTTTGTAATATCTTAAAGGAATTAATCATCTGGCTAGAGATTTGCTTAAATTAATTAATTGCTCTTTGAAGAATATAATGCAGTAACTTAATAGAAAAAGAATGAATTAATAAAAGGGATAGTCTTTGTTTAAAGTTTACTTTTAAATATGGATCAAATATTAAAAAGGAATTTAAGCAAATCTCTCGTCATTAAATTAAATAATCCTCAATAAGATCTGATTAACAAAAAACTTTGAACTCTTTGTTGTATCTGGGTGTATATAATTAAGGGATGAAGAATTAGAAAAAAAATTATAAATCAAATTCTTTTAATCATAAAAATAAAAAATAGTCAAGTTATTTAAACTTTGATTTTGTTAATTTTCGATTGTTATAATTAGATTTATTATTTTTCTTTAAACTAATATCTTATCAATTAAGATTTTCATAATCCATTTTTTCTTATCAAGTAAGAGCAATCCAGAGAGATGATTAAGATCGATATAATNTACAAAATCGTTCATTAAATTAATTAAAATTCAATCTTTACATATAAATTATTGCTAATCTATAATATTTTATTACTATTACCAATCAATTTTTATAATATTCTCTCAATGTAATTCTATAATTCATATTAAAATGAAGAATATTTAATATATATATTGATCAAAATTTAAATGTAAACTAGTATTCTATATTTAAATTTATTAAATATTATTCAATATAATTATATATATAATAATCATTTAATGAATATATTATAATTAAGTATATATTGCATTCATATTTATATTTTCTAATATTTATAAATAATAACCTCTATATTGATTAATTATTAAAATTAGAATAAGATTATAATTAATTATATTATAATAATTTATTTAAAAATAAAATCATTCAGCAAATCTAAATGAGAACTTTAAAATTTTAAACTATTGTTTGAAACATTAAACCTTCAAAATATGAATCACTCTTTTTTTATACTGGTTTTTATAAAATGCCTTATATAAATTTTATGAGATCACAAAAATTTAAAGGATTTTATTGTCATATATATTTATGATTGTATTAATACTTCTATGAATTAAAATTAGTAAAATGTCAGGATAAGATGATCCAGATTATGAACCAGGTAATGGAAGGAAATTTACTTTCAAAGAATTTAGTTAAGATGCTTTAGAATAATTGGCTATAGCTAAAAACTTTGATAAATTGTATAAATTAGCAGAAAAAGCACCTTAACATACACTAACTTATGAGAAACTAAAGTTTAATGATGAAATCTATAAGACAGGAGAATCAATACTAATAAATGTCAAAAATTTTGAGTTTATAGCAACAATAAAAAAAATAATTAGTATAAAATCCTAAAAAAATGATCAAGAACTACCTTTAGTCATAATCAACTTATATTGTAATAAAGACAAAATTGCATCCTAATATTAAGAATAAAAAGAATATATGGGAATGTCTGAATTATTTTTGACTGAAGAAGAACATGCAATTTTAGTTGATGCAATATAATCTAAAGTTCTAGTTTTAAGTTATGAAAATTATGAATAGTATGAATTTAAAGATGCTGTATATTTTACTAGAGCATTTTATAATACAAAAAGTGAAGAATTCTTACCAGAAATAAGTAAATGGCCAAAGGTTTGTTATTGTAAAAAACCATAAAATCCTGATTTACCATATGTATTTTGTGATATGTGTAATTAATGGATACATCTTAAATGTGAAGGATTAACAGAAGAATAAGTTTAAAATATAGAATCATTTATATGCACATATTGTAAAGGAAAATGAATTTAATTATATTAATATATAATTATTTTAATCAATATTAATATAAATTTAATTGATTTGCAAAATTCGTTTATTTGTTAACAATAGATCTTCTTTCTTTAACAAATTCAAAAGCTTTATCATAATTCCATTTATTTTTTTTCATTAAATATGCACAAACAATTGCTGGAGATCTATTAATTCCAGCTGCACAATGAACAAATACATTTTATGCTTAATCAATAAAATTAAATGTTTCATCAAGATATTCAATAATAGATTGATTTAATGAATCTTATATCATAATTTAATGATATTTAAAATCTTAAGGGAATTTCTATTTAAGAAAATCTCCACATATAAGAATATCAGTTATTTTATATTTTTTTAATAAGTTTTTATTTTTTGCAGCAATATAATTCCCTAAATACAATTTATTTGGTAGAATTTCACTAATTGATGAAGATTCATCTTATTTTACTTAATCCTTATATAATTATATCATTTTACTTATTAATGTATTTTATCAATTTCATCTTCAAAATGTTCTAAATTTTATGCTTATTAATTTAAACATGACTAACAAACAGGAAGATCTGTATTATTTATATTAGATGCTTAAAAACATAAAATGCATAAAGAACTATTGTTCATAATTTATTTATTTTAATAAATCAATTTCTTTTGCTGATGAATTGGGCGGTGGTTGATAATTTCTCACTGATGTGTTCTTAGAGTCTATCAACGATTTCATTTTAAGCAGCTCTAAAATAAAGTATTATTTTATTAGTACCTTTCAGCAGTTTAAGTTTCATAGATTTCTGATTAGACTGCATACCATGCTTATTATCCAGCAAGTCTTTCTTCACTGTTTTCTAATTCTAAGGTGTGGAATTCGATCCATGATTAAGCATCTTCAATGGTATCCTTTTATTCTTAAATTTAGACTTCCAATTAAGCTTTTCTTTCAACCAATCTTGTGTGTTCATTACTCAAATGAGCACTGAATTCAGCCCAATGAGCAGCTTATCTGTCTTCAACGTCCTTAATAATTATATTAATTAAATTACTGTCTTAACAGCCTTTTCTTAGACTAATTATTATCTGATTTCGCTCAATAATTAAGCAATCTTGGTTAAAGCCTTTTAGTTAACACCGTGAGTAGCTAATTCAGTAAGAGCAACAACGACTGGCTAAAGTAGATAATAGAAAGATAGAATTTACTTATAAGAGTTGGCTGTGTGAAGTGTTATCGGTAAGTCTCTTGTGAACTGTTTCATACTTTGATTTAACTTAGACAAATGAAGCACCTAAGCTCAAATGTTAGATGAGTTTGGCAGCATCATCAATAGCATCAATAACATCATCGATGGCAGCAACTTTAGCAACAAAGGTTTCGTGTTATTAGTTTCTTGTGGCTTCTTCTCTAGCATAAGTTTATTCATTTGTTGCAATGTCTGAAATTGTAACTCTAATGTCTTCTTCAGAAACAGCCAAAGCTTCAATTGTGTCATCTCTCAATTAAGTGTTAGATGAGATTTGATTTTAATGATACAAGATTTCCTTTTCCAAATCTTCAACGATCTATTATATAGATTAATATTCTTACTCTGTTGTTTGTGGTTGTATCAAGTTCAAAAGCATGGTCATGGTCATTTTAATCTTATTGTAATCCAGCAGCAACACCGTTCAATAACATATTAACTTCGTTGGCTGGTGTTTAGGCTTATAAATGAGCTTTGATGGCTGACAATACAACATTTCCGAATGGATTGGCATCAATTTAAGCCAAGCTTGCATGTGTATCTACAAACTTGGCAGCTGCAAGAGCAAGAACCAATGTCAAGATAGCTAGTTTTTGCATTTATTTATTTAATGTTTTTAAAAACGGATCGAAAAATGCTTATGTATATAATTAATTTATAAATATTTATTCCCATTTTCTTATAATATTACTAACATCATCTCATTAATTTTGTATTAACATTTCTTCCATCCATTATCTCTCTTAACCATCCACTTCTTAATAATCAAAATTTTTTTATAATTAAAATATATTAAAACTGTCTCTCTCTCTATCACATTCCTAAAATTCATCAATTTCTTATTATTCTATTCACATTATATATTATATTCTATACTACAAACTTCCATTACTATCAATCAATTAAAACTCAATAATACTGTTGATAACATAAATAAATTACTATTCTAAATATAAAGATATTCAGTTAGAATGAATCTTATATTCTTAATTATATTAGAATTCTAAAAGATTTTTAATATTGAAATCAAATTCTAAGATTTTTAGATTAAATGTTAAGTTGAATGTTTTTATTCATTATTTTAGAATGAAGTTCATTAATACTAATTCAGAGTAATCTTAAGTCTTTGATTATGAATTTCTGATAATTGGTATGAATTATTTCTACACTAATGATTGTTAAGCATGATTGATTAAATACTTTTATTTATGAATTAAAATCTTGCAAATATTCAAAAAATAATTTAATTTTTATTATGTCTGCACCATTCTTCACAGTGAAAGTATGAATAACTATGTAATTTAAAAGGACGTACCTGCATAAGATTTCATTCGTGCTTATGCTGAATATTTGAAAAAAAATAACAAGATCAAGATTCCAGAATGGGGTTCAATTGTCAAGACTGGACTTGGAAAAGAAATCTCACCAATTGACTAAGATTGGATGTATGTTAGAGCTGCAGCACTTGCTCGTAAAATTTATGTCAGAGGTCACTGGGTATAAATATATAATTTACACATCAGGGAGTTGGAAATCTTACTCATATGTTTGGTTCAGTTAATGATAATGGCAAACATGAATCAGGATCTGGAAAAGTCATTAGATACTTGCTTTAATAATTGGAAGCTATCAAAGTTTTAAAGAAGGATAATAAGTCTCTCTTGAAAAAGGGATCAAGAATTGTTACCAAAGAAGGATAATAAGATTTAAATAGAATTGCAACTCAAGTTGCCTTAGCAGCCAGAAAATGATTGATATAACAATACATAAGTACATTATATAATAAATAAAGTAATTTTCATATATATATATATATATAATAATAATCATACATAATTTATATAAATACATATTATCATATATGATATTCATCTTTTAAAATTTAATCAATGAAAGAATCGATTGCAAATTTCATCTTTTCTTCTCTTGTAAGTTTTGGTATTAATATTATAGAGTTACTGCTATAAAAAGGTGAATTATTATTAATTAGATTCTAATAGACTATTGATTAGCTTCTCTATTTCTAGAAGGATTAATTTATCCAATCATTTTATTTAATCTAGGTTTCTAGTTGATGAAATTTAGGCTAACTGAGTTTGTAATAAACATAAAATTTGATAGTCCGTTTATTTAAAACCTTACTCTACTGGTATGCATATTAAATATCCTCATCTTATGTTATCACAACTTTATCAGAATCATTATCATAAAAGCTAAGCTTAAGTAAAAATAGCTTTGGTACTAAATGATGATATCTCTTGTTTATATTCTTATTCTTTTGATTTCTTTCTTTAAGTCGAATAACGTTTAGATCTCCTTATAGATTATGAATGTATCACTTTAAGTTATTATTTTAATATCCATATTATATTATTTTAATATAATATAATAATCAATTTTGTTCAATACTGTCGGCTTGATTTCATTATTCTGCTTAGCGATTATTGCAATGAAGATAACTCATGAGAGTGACTATAAAATATCGTATAATATTCCTTACTCTGCAGTAAATGTTCCAATATATGAAGGTGGAATAGCATTTAATTTGGCTGTCAAAACTCTGATATCACTTTAGTTTCCACTAACACCTAATCTACTTAAATTGCTGCCTAAGAAAATAGCTGATTTTGTTGTCTAATGATGGGGTTAATGACTTAAATAAGTTAATTCATTATTTAGACGTGTGAATTTGGTATTTTATATTTGAAGTTCTAATCCTAACTTTGAGTCCCAATTTTTGAATCTATCTAATCTTACCTTAGCTCTTTATGGAGATTCATTATAATTTCTACTTGATCTCATAGGAGATGTACTTTTATGAATACTGCTAAATACAATATGAGTTGGGGTCAAAGGACTAAAATTATTTATTTAATAATCTTACTGATATTCTCCAACGACTACTCCTTGTAATCCTTTACTTTATTTAGGTGAAGAATCTCTAAATAATCTCGTTCTAACAGGAGACATGTTTGTAGACTCTCTACTTTTTGATACAAAGCTTGAATCACCTAGTTTGCTAATTGCAGTAGAGAGTAACCCAACTTGACTAGTTTTTGGTTTGTATACTTTGCTAGAATCTACACTCACAATAGACGAAGTTAACATAATTTTTATTTATGTATAATAAAATTTATATTCATATTTGCACTCCCCCCCCCCCTTATAAATATAATTAAAATAAATTTATGTAATTTTATTATTTATAATTCTTCAGTGAATATCATTTTCTAACTTTCAATTCAAAAAATTGTATCTAAATGTTATTATCTATGAATTTTCATCAATTAAATAAAATTGTATTTTTTTAAATCAATTAATTCCTTTTAGAATAAGCAAATAATTATAAAATTTAAATATATATCTATTTTAATTTGATATTTATTTTAAATACCTAATAGAAATACTCATTTTGATAGATAGAGATATACAATAAATAATATATAAATTAGTTTTAATATAATGACTATACGATTATATTCAATATATTATAATCTTATTGAATTTTGTAATATTCATTTATTTAAAACTATAGTTTTATTTGACATCTAGATATTCAATATTAAAAATTCAAAAAATATGACTAAATTTTAACAATAAAATTTTAATCTTCTAAGAATAATATTTTTATTCATCAAAAATTATGAATTCAATGTATTTATTTAATTTATATATAATTTTATCTTACATTAGTTGAAATTACTAAATGAGAAATAACTAATTGAGAATTTTATTAGTCTATTTTTTGTTAACTTATTTATATCCAATAAATTAGTTTTGAGCTAAAATTTATAAATAGTTCAATGCAATATCATTAAACCTATCATACTACAAGAAGTATAAATTATTGTTAATTATTAAAGGCCTAAGGATAAATTAGAGAAATTACTATTCATGAAAAATCTGAAAAGAAATCTTAAATAGATTTTCTAATCTCATATACAATTATATTAAAACAAAAGATAGATGTCTGGTAATAATGCAAAAATAATATACTTATTATACAAATTAAAATTTTTTTAGGAACCTTAATCTAAATAAAAATTTGCTTAATTGAATTAAGTATAAAAGAGTACTCTAACCAAATTTCATTATTTATCCCTAAATAACTTATGTATATAATTAGATTGATAATCTAACTTAATGTTGATAAAAAATGCAAATATCTGATTATGGTTTTTCTTCCTTTAAACATAAAAGAGGGGGCAGGGCATTTCCTAAAAGAATTGATTAAAATAAGGCCCAATTCCTAAAGTCCAATATCTTTGTTATCATCTGAATTTTCATTCAAAGATTAATTATCTTCTACATCTTTAATTTTTCTAATAAATTTAAAAAGAAATTCTGTTTTTTTTCAATAATTATATAATAGATTTGAAATAATAATGGAAATCCTTTAATTAAAGAGAATTGGATTGAAATGATATAAATGATTCATTTTTTAAATTGAATATATTTGTATTATGGAAATCACTTTCTTCCAAGACTGGTCTATGAAGCTAAGGATCTAACTTAATCTTTGAACAATTAGATGACAACATCGATAATGGCATTTTCCTCTATAGATTATTGTGATAATTGGTACCGGCTCTTCTTGCAGTTTCGGAGGCATAGAATTCTCTTTTCTCTTCTAAATCAGCAGTGGCTCCAGCAACAGCGTTTAAGGAATCCTTCCATAATTTGAGTGCTTTGGCTTATTAGGCAAGGACAGCTGGGAGTTGCTATAAAGGAATTAAAAAAATTGAAGTACAGTTTCTAATTTTTCAACAAGACCAGTTCTTCTTTCATGTTCTGAATTCAACCAGGCAACTTCAGCGTTGGTGTCTGAGACATATTTAGCAAGTGCAAAGGCAGCATGAATTTCTTATTCTTAAAGGGTAGCAAGAGTTGATTCTAATTCAGCTTATAAGTCATATAAGATTTAGAGGACTTATTCACCGGTTGTACCTTCTCTCTTGACTTCAGCAAGTGATTAGAATTTTTGGAGGGCATCTTATTAGAAAAGATGGCTATATGCTGATAATTTATCGGCGATAGTTTGGGCTTTTTCAACGAGTTCAACTCCAGCATTGTTTGTGAGGAAACCAGCAACATCTTATTATAAGAGTTAGACGACTGCTACGGCATCAGCATGATCAGCAAGTGATTTGACAAAGAGTCCATTGGCCCAACATCTTTAGTCTTGGAGTTAAGCATTTCTTCTTTCGATTTCAGCAAGTCTAGCTTCAGCCCAGGCTAACCATGAATATCCATCCTTAATGAATTAATGAGTGTTCATACCCTGACTTAGGCTTCAACATCTGTTCTGACTGCTCCAAGTGATTCCCATTATTGTTTGTTGAGTGAGGCAACATTTGTCAAATCACCAATGACTTAGGAAAAGATTTCTAGAATGATTGAATAAATGATATACCTTCATCTGTATTGTTCTTTTTGTCAGCAGCAGCTTACACATTAACATTTTCTGTCTTTAAATCTCTTAAGAGATTGTAAACTGATTCGACGGCATCGTTTCCTCTTGTGCCTGTTTGGAGAAGCACGGCGAATTTATTTGTGTCAAGAGCAAACACAGCTGCTACGAGGCAAATCACAATGAATGTTTTCATATTTATTTTTAATAATACCAAAAACGGAATATAAAATCATCGTTTTAATGTTGATTATATATTATTATTAATAATATAATCTTGATACATATATAGTCTATCTAGATATTAATTAAATTTATTCATATATCTTAATTTTCATTATAAGTATCTTCACAGATCAATTTGCACTAATTAAAATGAACTTCACAAATCCCTGTTCCATTTTTACGACATTGTTCCAATAAGATTCGACATTCATCAATACAAATTATTTTTGGACATTCATCTAAACATCCATGAACCATACTATATATTATATTTTAATTACTTCTAACAATTTGAATGACAAAATGATGGATTACCAATACTATCACATCCACTTGTACAATCTAACCAATCCATAGTACAATCTCTTTTGCATTCTTCATATGTTAATTAACTTAACGATAAACAAAACAATAATGTTCCAAAGAGTAGTGATTTCATTTATTAATTTATTTTTAAAAAATATTAATCAAATTCACTTAAATCACTTTAGTTTTTACATTAAAGTGATTAATTCATCTAACGAAATCTCTCCATCTTTATCCTTATCACATTCTTCTAAAATATTTTTCCATTATATTTCATCAATCTTAATACCAGACATTATGTATTAAAGTTCAGCTCTTTAAATTTTACCATCACCATTCTAAATTTTTTATAATTATTATTACTTTATCAAACATCTAAAATACTTATTTCAGTTTTTCTTAAGAAAGTAATTTTTCTTTATTTGCTGCAGCCACTAAAAATTCTAATAGGATTCATAATTAAATGAAGTACCATTAAAATCAATCTATCCTGATTAGTTTATATCAACTTATTTCATAATTTCTTAAACTAATTTTTCAGCTTACTCTTATCCATAAAATTTAGAATAATGCTTCTTTAATTCTTCAGGACTGATTGTTCCATTTCCATCAGTATCCATGGCTTTAAATTATTTTAATTATTCTTCCTTTTCTTAATATGTTGTAACTTGTGTTACAATGAATAATTATATTGCATTCTTTAATTTTGATGTACTCTATATTTTATCTTTAAATTTTATACATAAAAATCTTTTAAATTATTGAGTGCATTGACTTATACTGGATTATTAGGAGCTTTTGATTAAATCCATGGATCTTACAATGCTTATTGAGCTGTTATTCTTTATTAAGGATCATGTTTTAACATTTTAGTTATTAAATCTTTGGCTTCTTAAGAAATAGATCTCCATTCAGTATCTATTAATTAGAATATATATTAATACCGTTGAATTCAAAAGTTCCTTTTTAAATTTTCTTTTTAATAGTTGTGTCATCACCGTTAAAAGGAGGATATCCACATAAAAGAATATATAAAATTACACCAACACTCCAAACATCTACTTTTAGATCATATTGACCTTGAAAAACTTCAGGAGCCATATAATATAACTTAAGATTAAAATATAGAAATACAGTCCCAATTTTTAATTTTAATTTTTCGTCTTCTTATACTCTACGAGAAGTGCCAAAATCAATAACTTTAATATTTGAATTAGCACTTTTAGTTTCTAATAATATATTCTCCAATTTTAGATCTCTATGAATAATTTTCCTTTCATGACAATATGTCACAGCAGATAAGACTTATTTCATAATTTCAGCTGCCTTTTTTTCAGTAAAGTTCTTTTCAGATGCAAGTTTATCGAATAGTTCTCCACCCTAACATAACTCAGTGATCAGATAATAATGGATATTGTCTTAATAAAGTTTATGTAACTTAACAATATTAGGATGGTCAATTAACTTCAAAATGTCCATTTCACTAAATAAGATCTTTTAATCCTCCTTAATTAATCCTTATTTCTTCATCTATTTCATAGCATATGGCATTTCTATTTTGTTTATTTCAATTAATACTTGTTTTACGATGAGCTACTAATTTTACACAACCGAATGCTCCTTCTCCCAAAGTTGACCTGACCTCATACTCTTCATAAATATTGCCATCCTTTAAGTCGACAAAGATCTCTGATGAAATCTTTTCTCCTGTAAACTCTTTTTGTGGTTCTCTTTTTCTGGGATTATCTGTTGAAGCAGAATCAGATGAAGCGCAACCCATTATTAATTAAATTTATGAATTTCAATTCTAATCTCTAAAATACTTTTTGATGCTATTTTCTAATTTATTTCAACATTCACGTCATTATAATATTAAAGCACAAAGTCATATATTTTATAATTATTATAACTTATTCATTCTCTAATAAACTTTATTGTGGAGAATGCATAAATATTATTACTTGAAATCAACTCTTGACTTCCTTTAATATAGTAATATTATTTTAATATTTAAAGATGACCTTACTCATTTTTAAATACATAAATTTGACTCTAATCAATTTTGTTTTCAACTTTAAAAAAGAAGTTTTAAAATTCTATTTTTAAATGTGAATACTAAATCAAAATCTATAGATAAGATTACATTAATCATATGTAATAATCTCAATCCCTTTCTACTAATCTGTTGGAACTATCAAATTTTAATTATTATTATTTTTTTATCCAACTCAATCTATTCAATAACTTTTTCCAATATTTTTTAATGAAAAGTGTAAACCATAAACATAGTCTTTAAGAATGTATATATATTATTAATACTAGATTATTTTTTTCCATTTAAGTTAATATTATTATATAGCATTCGATCATTCTATATAATAGATAACAATTTCATAAAGTGCTGGAATTATTATCCATACCAATAAAAAATATTATTATTCTAATGATTAATATATTCTCTTTTGATTAATATGTTTAGGAGTATATTATTTAAATTTATATATTATATTATTCAATAATTCTATTTATTATTCATTCCATTTAGAAATAAAATTTAATTAATTAATTCTATTAGTTTTTTAAGAATATTAATATCAAATTTTGCTAAAAAGGATCAAAAATATTATAAAATTATTTATTTGTTGATTTTCACAAAATTATAAAATAATAGTTGATCATTTTTAATATTGATTTATGATTAGTATAAAATTATTTAAATTCTGAGGAGCGGTATTAAAAAATGGAGGATTTTGATAATGATTTGATAACAAGTAGATATAAAAGAAAACGAAAATTAAGCAATGATATTCATCAAGATTTTTCAATCTGCATTTGCTTAATTATAAAAAGGATATTGTATAATTAGACTCTTAGAGAAAATTCTATAAATAAAAATGAATCAATAAAAAATAAAAAGTCCAATTGTGTAAGAAAAGAAAATTGAAATACAAGAAACTAATAGATATGAATTTAATAATTCTGCTCTTATATAATAATTTTTAATGCATATTTACATCTATCTATTAAATTATAAATACTTAAGAAGAAATAATTAAAGTTCTTAAAGGAAAATAATAAAAAACTAAAATTAAGTAATTCTTAATTGAAATTGTAAATGGAAGAATTAACAATAAAACATGAATCTCTTTTTAGAATTTAATAATGATCTTAGATCAGAAACTCAAGATTTTCCTAATAAAATTAGATAATATCAGAATTATGTTAATGATATAGTTGATAAAAGAGTTTTAACAAATGTTTTTAATAATTTCAATTCTAATTTTCAAAGTAAAAGTGTAAATATTAGAAACTTTAACAAGTTTTTTGGATTTAATTAGAGCTGAAAAAAAGAATAAATAAGTAAATTTAATACAGTATTATAGATCCATATTGGAATAGATAGATTTATATTAGAAGGATAATAATAGTTTTCTAGTTTTAGGGATAAATTTATTGGGTTCTTAAAACATGGTGAATGATTTATATTATTTTAATTAAATATGAAAGCTCTCTTACAATAAACTATGTAGTAAATTAAATTAGATTAAGAATTGAAGAAACTTTTAGCTCATAGAAGTGATTCTTAAGATATTTTAATGAAGTATGAAATTTGTTTAGTTGTGATAGATTATAATCAATTTTTGAATAGGCACTTGATGATCATACAGAATTATATTGGAAGAAGGAACATGCTCATACTAAAACTTAATTGGAATGTTCTATTTAAGAATGTATTGCATTAAGACATGATTTAAGAGAAATGGATGAGGATAGAACAGAAAAATAAAATATTATCAAGGAATAAAATAAATAAATAGATGAATTGTAAGAAGCCTTAGAGGAGATAGAATAGAAATTGAATATTATGCAAGAAAATGTTTTATAGTAAAAATAAGAATTAGCTGAAGAATTTGAACAAAATTTGAATTAAATATAAGATAGTTATAAATTAAAAGAATAAGAGTAATTTTAAAATTTATAATAAAAATTGACAGAATTAGAATAGATTGTAAGTGATTAATAGGTTGCTTTAACAAAAGAAAGGGAATTACAATAACATGTTGTTAAGGATTATAAATAGGTAAAAGCATAATTGAAAACTGAATAAGAAACTGTAACACAATTAAGATAATAAATATAGAGTATGAAAAAAACAAATGAAACTTTAAATATTGATAAATAATGTTTGGAAAATAGATCAAAATAATAGAAATAATAAAATGAAACATAATATAAATAAATAAAATCTTTAGAAACTAAATTAATAGATATAACTGAAGAATTAGAAAGATATAAGAAAAAGAATTAATAAGACTAAGCTAATTTAAAAACTTAATAAAATGATTAAGAGAAAATTTATAAAAGGAAATTGAGAAATTATAAATTAAAGGTGGATGAAATAAAGAATAAAATCAAATAAAATTTGTAAAAAATATTTTCAAGTCTAAAATTGGACATGGAAACATTTAGATTATAAATTTTAAAAGAATTATAATTAGTTTCAACATAAACTTGTTAAATAGTATCTAAATAATTGAAATTAGATTATGATTCAACATAAAGAGAATTCTCTGATAAAATGGAATAAATTCGATATTCTATGTAAGCTCATTTTAAAAACACTTTAGAAAAGCAAATTTAAGAATTTGAATCTAAAGAAATGCAAATGAAAAATGAATATGAATTAATCATAAAAACTTTAAAATCATAAATTTAAGGTCTTGAAGATGTCTAAAAAGATTTAGAAAGAGAAATTTAATAAAAATAAACAGAAACTTAAGAAAATTAATTAAATTTATAAGAAAAAATAGAATTATTAATTGAATAATAAAAATAACTAGATGAACTATCAAATCAAGCAAAAGATTAATTAAATTTATTAATGGAATAGGAAGAATAGATTAAAGAATTGAAGGAATAAAATGAAAAATATACTCGTAAAACAATATAATATGAAGATTATGTAAGTAAATAAGCAATTTTATATTAAACCTAAAAGGCAGAAGAAAAAATGTATAAAAAGTAATATGAAGATGTTGCAGAATCAAATTAACATTTAAAAAAATAAATTAAAATTTTATAAGAACAATTACAAAGTGATTAATTTGCAATAAATAAACTAAAAACTTAAGTTTCTTCAGCAAAATTAAATAATATTAAAGATGTTGAAGAAAGACATTTAATAAGACTATAAAATATAAGAAAAATCTGATAATATATATATATAAATATAATTTTTTCAATGTGTCAATTTAAATGTATTCGCTTGATGAGATTATTAATTAAGTTCATCAAGTTTAATCATTTATTTAACTTTCTTTGGTAAAGTAGTCTTTTTTGTTAGTTGTTTTTTTAAATCAACAGTTTAAGAATATAAATTATCTAGATGAATTTCATATGTAGATTATAATGAAGAAGTATGAGATTCATTGTCTAAATCTTCATGAATTTTTTATTCAATTTTATGATATCTCTTCTTGACTCTTAGATTTCCTATTTTAGAAGCAATAATTTCATGAGAAGGAATAGCTTCTTCATCCATTTCAGTAAAATGATTTCTAAGAATAATAGGTTTTGGTTTATTGTGTAGATAATCATATAATTCTAAATCTTTAGATGTCAATACATCCTTATTATATAATTAAAATTTAGAATGGGATTATTTTGTAATTTACATTTTAGTAAGTTTATTTAATTCTTATTACTTAAGATATTGTTATCTTGAAGCCTCATCCATATATTTTTTGGTTGATTCAGTTAAATTGTTTTTTAAAAAGATTTTTGATATTGCTGGTGTTTCTTTTGCATTTTTGATAACTTTGAATAGATATTAATTATACTTGGCTTCAAATCATCGTAGCTGACAGTCATAGTCTTAAGAGATTTAATTGAAGGAATCTTTTTACTAAAAGGATCTTTAGTTTAAGCTAATTTATCTTCAATTCCTTCAGAAGCATCTACTATAGTTTTAAACAATCCAACATTTTATAGATTTTATCTTCTTTGAGTTTCATTATCATCCTTCTTTTACATCATTCTTGTATGAATTAAATTATTTAATCCTTGCAATTTGGATTTTAAATAGACACTTCTATCATCTTTAGTGTTTCTAACTTATTTATGTTTGAACTTATTTTTAAATCTTACTAGTGGTCCCAAAACACTTATTCCTTTTTAATCAACATGATCTTCCATTAATTATTATCGTAATCTAGGATAGTTGGATAATTGCAGTAATTCAATACTAGTTATTTTACCATCTAAGAACAATTCAAAAGAATCTTTAAATAGCATATTGTTATTGTGTGTTTAAAGAGCTACATTTCCTTTTGAAGATCTTTAACTTTAACTGCTACGGACAGAATCAATAATTGGATTGAATTTAATCTGCTTCGATTTTCTAGGTTAAATCAAGTTTTTCAATTATGGAATTTTTTTTCTTTGAGTCATTATGTTACTACTGAATTCTTTGACTTCATCTGTCTCTGTTCGAAGATAAGTAGAAATAGTAGATGATTCATTCATTAATTTAATTAAATATGCGTCTAAGGGCAATTTAAAAGTATAAAAAGCCAGCTGGAATAAGAAATGTAATAATGAAACTATTAACATTGAAAGAATTAATTTCTATATTGCATAGAAAGTAAAACTAATTTAAAAGTCTTAAAGAAATATATTATTAAATATTTAAGCAAAATAATTTAGAATAATATAGGAAATGGAAAATAAAGATTAATATATAAAATACAATAATGTCATGATACTAAAGTAATTCTATCGTTTTAATCTCCATGAATTTAAATCTGATTAAGTGAAGAGTATGTATTTAAAAACTCTTCAATTTCTTACATTTAAGATCCTTTACTAATAGCTTATCTAACAAATTAATCTTTATTTATAGTTCCTTTATTTTTATTACATAATGATGACAATAATTCATATAATTTAGCAGTTTTATCCTTTCTTTATACAGTGTCTAAGATAATATAAATATAAATACCATCTATTTATTATGCTCTTCTAACACTTTCTTAGGAAATATCCATTAATCTAATAGCTTCTTCAACATCTCTTTAAGTGACTCTATCAGCCAATTATAATTTAGCCTAAAATAATAAATAAGTAATACAATAGCTTAAGATAATCTAATAATAGCTAATAATGTTCTTGGAGTAGTATAAGAATATCCATCAAGAGTTTTATCAAATGTTTATTTTCTTCTTTCAACATATTGATCAGCTATATATTAATGTATTTCAGAAGTAAGAATTGGTTCATATTATTTGGATAAAGCAACAAATGTAGTTATTTCTTCAACTGAATATAAATCTTGAGTCTAATTTTCCTTATATTTATTTTAATGAACTCTACCAATATGATATGCTAATTTAGTATCAGCTTCTTAATTAATTTCATCTAATAAAATGAATATAAGATCAAATCTAGATAATAAAGCAGCAGGTAAATTTATATTTTGATGTGGTGTCTATTTTTTATTATATCTTCCATATAAAGGATTAGCAGCTGCTAAAATAGATGTTCGAGCATTTAAAGTTGTAGTAATACCTGCTTTAGCAATACTAACAGTTTGTTATTCCATTACTTCATGAATAGCAGTTCTATCACTTTCATTCATTTTATCAAATTCATCAATACAACATACTCCTCTATCAGCCATAACTAAAGCACCACCTTCTAATGCCATCTCTCCAGTAATTGGATCTCTAATTACTGCAGCTGTTAGACCAACACTAGATGATCCTTTACCAGTAGTATAAACTCCTCTTGGTGAAACTTAAGATATATATCTTAATAATTAAGATTTGGCTACTCCTGGATCTCCAATTAATGCAACATTTATATCTCCTCTAATTTTTAATCCATCATGCATTTCTTTACTTACTCCTCCTACAATCATTAATAATAATGCTTTTTTAACATCTTCCATTCCAAATATTTCAGGTGCAATTGATTTTGCTAATTTCATATACAAATCACTAAATGGATATTTTTTAATATCTTCAAAAATCTTATGACCACTAACACTTTCAATATCAATTTCTTTAAATTTCTTTTTATCTCTTTTAATATGGAATGCTTCTATATAAGTACTATAAAATGATGTTTTATTAGCAAAGAATCCTTCTTTTTCAACTGGTAAAAAGACACCTTAAATAGTAACCATATCTCCTGGAGAACATATTCTAATGTTACTATCTCCTCTTGCCATAACTGTAAATGTTCGTGGAATTGATCCTTTAGGTAATTGTTCTTTAAGTTCTTATATTTTGATTTCTTAATTGGATATAAATTTAGAACTGCCATGATTGAATATCAATCTTCCTCTCACTCTATTATCTCTACATTTATCACTTGCACAATCAAGCATTGGAGTAAATGTCTTACCATGTACTGTTTAATAATTTTCATATCCACATGCATCACATGAAAAACATGCAACTATTATTTAAGGTCTAACTTCTGATGTTCTAACAACCATTGCTTTTATTGTAATTAAACATCCTATCAATTAAGCCTTTAGATTTCTTATAGCCATGATTTATTATTTTGTTTATGGTCCACGAATTATAAATAATTGACTACATTTATTTATTTCATTTACTATCTGCGTATTAATTCTGGAGGAAGTCTTTTCTATTAGTTATTGTTTCCATCTTATTCCATATTCTATTGTCTTTGAACATTAATTTCATCATCAAATAAATCAAAATTTTATTCAAAATCTCTTGTCTATTAAGGCATTAAAGCATCACAAGCTTAATATAGTAATCTTTGATAAGATAATGTATTTGTTTTTATTTTATTAACAAAATCTATTCTATCATTAAAAAAATATTCAAGATCCTCTAAGTAGATATCAATACGATTAGTTTATCTGTTTGCTATTTTTTACTATTTTACTCTCAATTATATCATACCAACTCAATCATATATTTGCGTTAACCATAAGTATTATCAATTTCTACTATTGAATTGTCACGAAACTCAGCAAGAAATTCACTTAAACTGCTTAACTCTGAAGCATATTCAGGTACAAGAAATTGACGCTTGTTATTTTGTTTTGCCATTTATTTTTATTATTGATCACAAATCGTGGGAATTTCATAAAATAGGCGCCAATTAATATTATATATTTATCATTAATAATATTACTTTTGCGCTTTAACTCATTTTGTAACAATATTATAATGATACATTTTCATCAATTTTTAATTCTTTTTTAGATTTAATTCTTATAATCCAATTAAATTCAACAATTTCTTAACTTTTAAAAAGTATTACAAAATCTTAATAATGTTATTATAAATTATACTATCTAAAACTACCTTATTAATATATAACTATAGCATTATATAAAATTCACTTTTAAAAAATAAACTTACTAATCATAAATTATTCATAATCATTAATACACTAACATACATCAACATTCTTTTTTTTAAACAAACATTTAGTGAAATATATATTATATATATAAATAAAATTAATCAAAATGGTGAGTGCTTTTTCAATTGGTAAAGCGTAACGATGTATTTATCATACTTAACTACATTAGCCACTCAACCCAGGAGTGAAACACCTGGACCAGGAGCTTACTAACCAATAAAAAGATAGAAGATGACTCCTCCATCTTTCAAGTAAATTTTGCCTGTTAAAGTAGATTTGGATCTGGTAATAGAAGTGGCCTTCTTAAAGTATTTGCCCCAGGACCTGGTGCATATGAACATCCTTCAAGAGTAACCAAAGAAGGACCAAAGTATTCCTTTGGTCTTAAGAAACCAACAATTTTAGCAAAATAGGGACCAGGACCAGGTAAATATAAAGCATTCATTTTTTAGGAGCTTACAATCCTAATTATCGAACAATGGTCAAGGCTCTTCCAAATTATTCCATTGGAGCAAAATTATCATAAACCTACTCTACATTTTAACCAGGGCCTGGAGCTTATGAAAACCAATCGACTGTATTAGGAGTTCCTTGCATGAAGTAAACATAGGTTTGAATTTAAGATTTCCCCACTCTAAGCGTGAGGGATTCAATGATTTAACTCGTACACCAGGACCTGGATCATATCTTAAAAGACCTAATAGTGCTGGTCCATAATATAAATTTGGAACAGCATCTAGAGGAGCTTTTTCAGAAATAAAGAATCCTGGTCCAGGAGAATATGAAGCAAGAAGCGAGTTTAATGTTTCTTAAAAAGGATTTTCCATGCTTTCTAGAAGAAATTAAACTCAGTAAGAATAAGTGCCAGGACCTGGAACATATAATTGGGATAAGAAACAAAAATTGCAACCTCCATCATATAAAATAGGAAATGAGACTAGAGATAGCTTAAATCGAGAAATGCTTAGAACTCCAGGACCAGGAACTTATGAATCTAGATATGAATTTGCAAGGCCTAAATCAGCATAAGTTCGTATTGGTAGTGCTACTCGTAGGCCATTAAGTGATACAAGAGATATTCCAGGACCAGGAACTTATGATTTGAATACTAAAATAGGAGAGGGTCCCAAACATTAGATTTTAGGTAGTAAGTATGAACCAACAACTAATTTAAATTAACCTGGTCCAGGTGCATATAATCCAAATGATGGACCAAGTAAACAACGTCCTGCTTCAGCTAAAATTGGTACAGGTCAAAGAGCTGAACTGAATGCTGGTTTTGGGAAAGATGCTCCAGGTTAGACTATTTAATTTATTTTAGGACCTGGAAATTACAATTTGAGAGGTTCTTCTGATGGACCTAGATGGGGATTTGGAACAGCACTAAGACCAAATTTGAACTAAACGGATTAGAGTGTTCCAGGACCAGGAAATTATAATCTCAAACCAACTTTTGCAGATGTTCCATCATATCTATTGAATAAATGAATATATATGAATTATAATATAATCATAGATTTAAGTATTTTATTATATAATTCTATTTGTTTATAATGGAGTTATCGTTTTTTAACATTTAATTTAAACTATTTTAATTTTAGTTAGAAAAACGAATAGTCTTTGCATTAAAAGTGAATGTTGTTTAAATTGTAAATCAATAATTTAATTATGAAATTGATTCTTATCGCTCTTTTGGGATTGACACTCACATAAGCTGTCTTTGTTAAAAGATCAAATGACCCAAGCAAGGCTATCTTCACATAATTAGAAGCCATGGAAGAACACGAATTAGGAAGAAAATTATTAGACACAATTGCTCTTTAATTGAATAACAAGGCTCCATTGGGAGATATAGCTAAAATGTTATAATAATTGAGAGAAAATCTTATCCTCAACTAATAAGAAGCTGATTAAAAGCATGCTTAAGATGAAGTTGATTGTGAAACAGAAATCTACTAATATAACAGAAGAATTGACTTCGCTTCCAATGAAATCACAGAATCAACCTAAGAAATCTAAACCCTTAGTGCCAAGGTTGAATAATTGACATAAGATGTTGAAGACAAATAAGTCTAATTAGATATATTGAATGAATAAGAAACCTAAATTAGAGAATAAAGAGCTGAAGATGCTGAAAGTTTCAAGACATTCGAGAATGAAACAGAAAATGTCATTGAAGCTGTTGAAGTTATCATCTAAAGATTGAGTTCAATCCAACCAGATTAAGAAGTCTTGGCTGCTTTAACATAATTAAACAAGATTGGTGCATCCAATCCAATCCTTGCTCTTATGTAAGTTGCTTCAACATTCTCAGCTGAATAATTAAACAATGTCCTCGGAAAATTAGGTGAAGTAAGCACTTAATTAGCTGAAGCACTTGAAAATGCCAGATAAACAGAAATCTAAGCTTAATTAGATTTTGAAGCTTTAGTTGTTGAAATTGCATCATAAAGAGAATCTTTGAGCGCTGCCAGAGAAGACTCTGAAAGATAACTCCAAGACAACTAATAAGCTTTGGATTTATAAAAGAAGAGAAAGGAAGATGCTACTGATGAATTGAACGCTGCTTCATCAGGAAAAGAATAAAAGGAAGCTGAATGCGATTCATGGAGAACTTAATATGCTGAAGATTCTGAACACAGATAATAAGAAATCTCTATTATCAGATAAGTTGAAGAAATCTTGGCTACTAAATTATCCAATGTTAAGGTATATCTCTAAGAGAGAGCATCAGCATGATAACAATTTAATTCTTAAAAAAAATATATAAATCAATTCTAATTTTATTTTATAATAATTTATAATAAATGTTTTTAGATAATGAAAACATTAGCATGCGTCTCAAAATTGTAGAAGATCGATTAGGATTTATAGAAAATCTAACTCAATTATAAGACAAGCGAATTAATGAATTAACTAAACAATTAGATCATGTTATTCATCAATTTCAAGGTTTGAATTTGGATCGTTGTAGAAATGATGAAGGCTTAATTTTCAAAATTGAACGCTTTGAAAAAAGCCTTGTTATTTTGTAAAGGGAAATGAATCAAATAGGTATTGAATTTATTGTAAATCTAAAGCTACTCATCAAGATGAAAGAATTAATTAATTGATTAATTAATTAGTTGGACCTAGTTTTAAGGATATTGATATTTAAATTAAATAAGAGTCTCAAAGATTGTAATTGCAATGTTAAAGGTAGTTGGATGAAATGTATGAGGAAATCATTAATAAATTTAAGACACCCTTACAGAGTAGTGTTGCTCATGGAGGAAGAGTGAGCATATTAGAATCAACTTCACATGATGATACAAAGAAAAAGATTGATGATGAAATTAATAGAAGAATTTCAGAAGAAAATGAAAAGAGAAAATCATTTATAGAAAGTGACAAAAAGTAACATAAAAATGGATAATTATCAACAGAAAAATCAAGAGCAAGAGAAATTTAAAATCGCTTAAATTTAGAAAGAAAAGCCAAATAAGACAAAATTAATTAGCTTAATGAATTATACCAATTTAGAAAGCATTGAATTAAACTATAAAAACATAATAATACTTATTATAAGAATATATTATTTAGAAATTTAAAATAGAGATTTATTAAAACAAAATAACAAATCAAAATTATTGTTTAACTTGAAGAATTTAGTTAGCATTAATTTTCTTCTCATCTTCTAACTATTTATCTGTAATTAATTTAGATATGTATCCAAATATTTTAGTTCTACCCTCTCTTATTACTATAATTTAGTCAGTTTATAAATATTCAGCTGCATATAAAAATTTTAATCTAACAATTAAAATTGAATATTACCTAACAGTATCAACATCCCCTGTTCTTAATACTTCATGTTATAATATGTTTTTAATCTCAACTGCTTATCTAACAACTCCACAATGCATGACTGCTTGATATCCCTTACTCATAGTAGTAGGATGGTGAAGTATATGGATGTTTGCCTGATTTAGAATAAATATTATACTTCGAATTAAGTTACAGGTTCTTATTTTATAGCAGGATCTATGATAATCATCCCCTTTCTAAAATCAGCTCTATCTAATCTATCACCAGCTTTGGATGGTTTAAGAGAAAAACAAGCAAATTCTCCTACTTAAGCAGAATCCGTCAATACTCTATTAATATGAATTGATTTAATATTCACAGGCTTAAATTCTAATATAGAATCACAAAATATACATTTAGCTTTATCTGGACCCAAAAGTACATGTTAATTTAGAATTGCTTTTCCACTTCTTACTATACCACTAACTACAATCCCGACACCTGGAACGTTGAAATTTTCTTAGATATCAAATTGTAATGGATCATTAATAGTTTGATAAGCTTTATTTAGTTAATCTCTATTTGGAACTGCACTTATGAAACGTGTCAATTGCTATAATCCATTTCCTGAGACACTGGACACTTAGAAAATGGGTACAACATTATTGCCATGCATTAATCCTGCCCACTTATCTATTTCATTTAAATCAGATTTTTCATCAAATAATACAGCTGTCCTTTTTATAGCAGGACTCTTAATCAAAGATTTAATATGTTCAAGTGTTTCATTGTAAATATTTTATGGAGCTATGTCAACTTTTGTTAAGACTATTGCGAAAGGTATTTTTAAAAAGAGACTTACACCTAAATGTTCTCTGGTCATTTTTGATACACCCATATTTGCACCAACAATTATTAATGAGTAATCAGGAATCATTGCTACTAAACCAAAAATAGTGGTTTTCAAATATTTCTCATGACCACATAAATCTATGAATGTGACAATCTTTTAACTCTTCTCTACAACTTAACTCCAGTATTTGTTTTTATTTTGATTGAATCTCTCAGGTAATACCTATTTAAGATTCTCATCAAAGCCCATTATTTCTTAAGCTACAGATGAAGTTCTTCCATTTTCTTTCTCATGTTTATAATTAAAGACACGCTTAAATTTAAATACATTATTATACTTCTCTTGCACCACCTCTTCCATCATCTAAAATTCCTTTTGTCAACACACCAACTAATGTTGATTTACCTGAATCTACATTCCCAATTATTGCTAATTTGCTATGATCCTTTCTTTGTATTTGCATAATTATTATATAATATTTCTTTATTCAAAAAGAATTAATTATAAATGTAATTAAAATTCTTTCATTATTGTTATATTTTAAAATTTATCATAATAATTATGTATTATCAATTTTAAGAAAAATTAAATTAAATATTTTCTCTTTATAAATACTCTATTAAGGCCTGTTTTTATTGTGGATTCAGAATGGTTTATAATGTATATTAAGTTCCAATCATATTATTGATTTTGATGTTAGATGACTTTAGGAATGAGTTTTATAAAAAAGCATTTTGATTTGTATTTCCATTATCAAAGTTTTGCTTTTGAAGTTATTATCTTGCAAATACATGATCAACTGTTGGATTGGTATTTTATTATGATTATTGTGGTTATTATCTTGCAAATAAAGGATCAACCCATGGATCAGTATTTTATTATGATTATTGCGGTTATTATCTTGCAAATACAGGATCAAACGATGGATTAGTATGTTACTATGATTATTGGGGTTATTATCTTGCAAATAAAGGATCAAACGATGGATTAGTATTGTATTATGATTATTGAGGTGATTATCTTGTAAATACAGGATCAATCGGCGGATTAGTATGCTACTATGATTATTGGGGTTATTATCTTGCAAATAAAGGATCAACTGTTTGATTAGTTGTATATTATTTAGGAAATACAGGATCAATCGCTGAATTAGAATTTTATTAAAATTAATGGGGGAATTATCTTGTAAAAAGGGGATCATTTGATGGATTAGTAATTTATAAAGGCTATTGAGGTTATTATCTTGTAAATACAGGATCAACCGATGGATTAGTATTGTATTATGATTATTGTGGTTATTATCTTGCAAATAAAGGATCAACCCATGGATCAGTATTGTATTATGATTATTGGGGTTATTATCTTGCAAATAAAGGATCAACCGATGGATTAGTATTTTATTATGATTATTGGGGTTATTATCTTGTAAATACAGGATCAACCGATGGATTAGTATTGTATTATGATTATTGGGGTGATTATCTTGCAAATAAAGGATCAACCGATGGATTAGTATTGTATTATGATTATTGGGGTGATTATCTTGCAAATAAAGGATCAACCGATGGATTAGTATTGTATTATGATTATTGGGGTGATTATCTTGCAAATAAAGGATCAACCTATGGATTAGTATTGTATTATGGTTATTGGGGTTATTATCTTGCAAATAAAGGATCAACCGATGGATTAGTATTTTATTATGATTATTGGGGTTATTATCTTGCAAATAAAGGATCAACCGATGGATTAGTATTGTATTATGATTATTGTGGTTATTATCTTGTAAATACAGGATCAACCGATGGATTAGTATTGTATTATGATTATTGGGGTTATTATCTTGTAAATACAGGATCAACCGATGGATTAGTATTGTATTATGATTATTGGGGTTATTATCTTGTAAATACAGGATCAACCGATGGATTAGTATTGTATTATGATTATTGTGGTTATTATCTTGTAAATACAGGATCAACCGATGGATTAGTATTGTATTATGATTATTGGGGTTATTATCTTGTAAATACAGGATCAACCGATGGATTAGTATTGTATTATGATTATTGTGGTTATTATCTTGTAAATACAGGATCAACCGATGGATTAGTATTGTATTATGATTATTGGGGTTATTATCTTGTAAATAAAGGATCAACCGATGGATTAGTATTGTATTATGATTATTGGGGTGATTATCTTGCAAATAAAGGATCAACCTATGGATTAGTATTGTATTATGGTTATTGGGGTTATTATCTTGCAAATAAAGGATCAACCGATGGATTAGTATTTTATTATGATTATTGGGGTTATTATCTTGCAAATAAAGGATCAACCTATGGATTAGTATTGTATTATGATTATTGTGGTTATTATCTTGTAAATACAGGATCAACCGATGGATTAGTATTGTATTATGATTATTGGGGTTATTATCTTGTAAATACAGGATCAACCGATGGATTAGTATTGTATTATGATTATTGTGGTTATTATCTTGTAAATACAGGATCAACCGATGGATTAGTATTGTATTATGATTATTGGGGTTATTATCTTGCAAAAAGAGGATCAACTGATGGATTAGTATTGTATTATGATTATTGTGGTTATTATCTTGCAAAAAGAGGATCAACTGATGGATTAGCTGTATATTATTTAATAAATAGAGGATCGATTGATGAATCAGCATGTTATTAAGATTCTTGAGGTTATTGTCTTGCAAATAGAGGATCAATCGCTGAATATGAATTTTATTATAATTAATGGAGTTATTATGTTGTAAAAAGTTGATCAATCGGTGGATTAGTTATATATTATTGAGATTGTTCGGGTTATTAACTTGTAAAAAGTGGATCATTTGAAATATTAGTATTTTATTAAGGTTATTATGTTGCCAAAAGTAATTCAGTTATTTGAATATTATTTTATTAAGGTATTTGTTATTGTAATGGAGCCTCTTCCATTGTTAAACCTGACTCAATTGATTGTGGAGGCTACTATCTTTCAGAATGATTATTACTATCGAACTACCTCAAATAATTACTTTGTGTCAAATTTCCGCCTATTAATTATTAGTTTTTTTTGAGTAAATCAGTTGTTTATTATTAATTATATGGTTAATTACTTTATAGGTATTATTAATCCTAATTTTCAATTTAAGTGATTTATTAATTAGATTATTATTTATTTTTTCCAAATTAGTTAGCTTATTAATTTTCTAAGTTAGTTTCTATATATTCATCTTAATCTTGCAGAGAACTTATGATTTAATTTTATTATATAATAGCTTAGTTTGAATTAGATTATTAAGTTCCTAATAGATTTCCAGTATCAAAACTATTTTAATAATGTTTTTCATATAAATTGTTAATGTGTTATGATGCAGTAATATTTCCTCCTCCAATAACTGTTCCTCCATCTTATGAATTTTTACTCTAGCTTTTCATAACATTTTCAATAGGTATAGGAATATTTTGATTGATTTGATTAATATTGGATTTAGATTTGTTATTATCATCTATAACCTCTCCACTTTACACTATTATAATAAAATATAATTAAACTTTTTCTTTAGCCATCCAATCCTCTATGGAAGAATAGAACATTTTAACCAATATCATTTATATAATCTTTAAGGAATGTTTCTCTTCCACCAATAAATTTATTAGTGCCCTTAATTTCCAAACAGAATTGTTCACTTAAATTAAATTATCTAGATGTCAAAAATAAGTATTTACTCAAAATATTCAGCATCTTAAATCATTTTTGCAATATTTAAAAGTGTAATTGTATCTTATAATTCAGTTTAAAATGATTCAATCTAATATTGGCTTTGTAATTCTATTGTTAATTCCATAAAAAATAAATAATTAAAAATATTTATATCAAAATTAGAGAAATAAATTTGTATAAATAGAATAGTATTGTTCTATAATTTTCATTAATTATTAATATTTATTAATCAATTTCTTAAGATATTAATAAATTTTAATTGATAATGCATTCGTTATAATTCAAAGTTTTTCTTTTTTCTTTTTTTGTTCATAATTTACATAAGATCCTCTATTCATACCTTTAAGAGATGAATAATTATCCCAATCACCATTTCTTCCATCATTATATTTACGTAATAAATATACACCATTAGAGACAACCTAAAGGAATTAAAAATAATGAAAACTTTCTTTGCATCTTATATTTCAACCATATGATGTGTGTCTCTATGTAGTTTCTTTAATAATGCTAATTTTTCTTCATTGGGATTTAATTTATCTTTATCTGCAAGATTAGGTGGGAAATCTAAAGGCATTTTAGTAATATCTTTTTTCTTATAAGTTTAATTAAGAGGTAAAATTCTATTAATAGTATAATGAATGCTTTCTGGATTCTTTCTCATTTCAGATGGGACTTTAGAAACTAATTTAGGATTCTTGAATCTATGAATTGGTTTATTGATTAGAATACTCATCCAAGCATTCATTCTAATTCTTCTATCTTCTAAAATTACATTCTAAAGATGATAAAATTTAAATCTATTATAATAATCTGTTTCCAATTCTTTAAATAATAATTCAATCATTTCTTTAGTATAATGATTTGGTTCATAAAGATCAATAGTTTCAATCATAACATTAGCAGCATTACCTTTTTCACTATATAATAATTCTAAGATTTCTTATTTATTCATCTCTTTAGCTAATGTGTTTAATTCTTGATCAGTCAATATATGTTGCATATTTCTACCTCCTTGTAAATGTGTATAACCATTACAATGAAATTGACACTTTTCACACAATTACTAATAAATTTACTTAATATCTTCTTCCTTTAATAATCTAATTGGTGGTAATTGAACTCTTTAAGGCAATTATGTTCTAGTAGCTGTTGTTGGTTAAGGTCTGATTTTAATTCCTAATTTAGTTTATTCAGAAACAATAAGTGATTCTCTTACACTTTCTATATGTTCTTTTCCAATTATTGCACATTCTCTACAAAAACATTAATCAACACTATGATAATTAACACATGGACCATATATAGCAAAAATATCTAATCTTTCTAATGCATTTGAATGTTCTAAATTAGGTGGATATAGAAATTTAAATAATATTTCTAAAGATACTTTCATTTTATCAAATTTGAAATCAGGTATTTTTTAAGGGATTGGAAACTTAAAAATGTCCCTTTCTTTATTTGCTGAAAATGGATCATCACTACCATGAAATTCATTTTTTATTATAGATGTTCCATATATTGCTCTTAATGATTATGGATCTGCTTTTTTAGCTTCAATTGGATCTTTATTTCCAATCATCTTTTTCCATACCATTATAGGATTTTCAGTTTCATGACATAAAAGAAACATAACACATTCACCAGATAACATATATGTCATAATTTCATCCATATACTTTTATTACTTGTAAAACAGATTTAGTACTTCTTCTCTGTAGAGTTCTCTCAATAGATAATTATTAAATATTATACTTAAACAAAGTTTTTTATTGTTAATCCAGTAGCTTCTATTTTATTAACAACCTCCTATACTATATTTGGTTTAAGAGTTGTATCTGGTTTGATCATAGCAAATGTATATGGCAAATTCTCTTGTTTAGGATCAAACAACATATTATTATTAAATATTATTAATATTATATAATAATATAACTAAAGTTAATAAATCAAAAGGAGTTCTATTCCTAACTGTAGTTTAGATAATTATAGATACTCTATTATATGATTGTATTGGAAGATTTCTATTTCTTACAAAAAATTGGAGATATCAAACATATAATGGATTAGTTAGATAGAGTTTCATTTAATGAAACAATATAATAAGTTATATTTTTTAACCTATTTTTTATTGATTTAAATATTCTTACTATCATTTTATTTAATATATTTATACCTATAAATATTAAACTATTTATGAACTCAAAAATAAGTAGAATAATTAATCAACAAAATGAAAACTAGAAGATCAAGTTCAGCTTAGCCTTCATACTAATCTGAGGAAGACTATATAGAGAAAAATAAACATATTTGCAAATCAATTAATCCCAAATTAACATTTAGATAAATTAGAAATAAATTATCATCTGAATGGAATATTTTAGCTAATAAACCAAAAGTAATATATTATTATTTAATAAAGAAATAAACTAGATTAGATGATTTTATAATCTCTATAAGTTCATCACCTAAACCAATTTAATAAAAAAAATAAAAAAAAATAAGCATTTAAAAACATCGAAAACATCATCAAATTAACAAAAATTAAAAGTCTCTATAAAATAAAAAATTCAAATAAACTATAATCCCATCTTCTCCAAAACAAGTACCCAGTATTATTATTACTGATTCTGAATCTTTAAAAATTAGTTTGACTTCATAAGAAGATAAGTAATCTATTTTAAGAGAGAGTCCTGTTATAATTTCTACTAATAGTTTATAAATAAAGGAAGTCAATTAATAACCTTAAAAGGAAGTCAATTAATAACCTTAAAAAATAATTACACATACAAAATAGGAAGAATCTAAATAAAATTTAACCTAAAATCAAAAATTTTAGAAAGAAAATAAAAAACATAAACTAAAATTACCTATTCAAAAATTGAAGTTAAGAAGATTAAATAAATTAAGCAAACTCAAATCAAAATGTAAACCAGGAATACCATCTGAATTTCAACCTATATTAGCATAAGATTTTATTAATTCAGCCAAAAAATTTGATCACGTTAGCGTGATTACTATATCTAAATCTAAAGTTGATTAAGGTTAGGTGGGTTTAGATGAAATTAAAAACATAGTATCTCATACATATGGAATAATTAATCATGAATAAAGTAATTCGGAAAGGTTGAATTTCTAATTGTTTTTTGAAGTTGAATTCTAACCTAGAGAAAATGGAAATGTTCCATAAAATACATTTTGTACTTCTAAGTAAGCTGCCTTTTATTGCAAAGACATAACTTTAGGATATATTTAAAAACACAAAGATATATTTACTTAAAACGATGAATATTATTTGAAATGAATATTAATCTATATAATTGTATAAATAAATTTGTTTTAATTTTCTATTTTAAACTATTCATTTATACTTTAATTTTAAAATGTATACTAAATAATGACTTGCTATTATCTAATACTCAGAGTATATAAATAAAAATAAGGAAAGTTTATGAAAATCTCATTTAATATGAATACAAATAAATGATATTTAGATATATTAATCTTAGGAAATTTTAGAATTATTTAAAAATTTGTTGTGAATTATATCATAATGAAATTTTAATTAAATATCGTTACGTAACTTTAAAAGTTAAAAAAATTGGTTATTTCATAATGAGAATTTTAGAGCAAATTTAAATATTTTCATAGAGCTAAAACTAAAATTGCCTCTTAATTTTACTTAATAAATTCTACATTAGAGTTAGATAATCAATAGATAAATTATAAATGTTTATTGAATTACCTTGATTTATCTAAAGTAAATTGAAATCTGCTAAAATCAGAATATTATGATTATAATGAATAAAAAAAAAGTGTATCAAATAAGATATGAATATATCAACTGTTAATCAAATCAATTATGATATTTCCTTATTAATTCTAATTTACAGAAATAAAGTACTTAATTCAATAATAATTTTTTTTTATATTTTATATTTTTCCCAATATTAATCTCAGAATTAATCAGATCCCATTAACAGTTTGTAATGAAAAACTTGAAGGGCAATAAGAATTATTAATATATAATCTAAATAAAAATGAACTCAAATTAAAGTTTGATATTAAGAGTTACCTTTGGAGAATTTAAACAAAAATTAATTATTGATGATCATTAGAAATCGATCATTGACTTAAAAAATGAAATATCTAAATAATTTTTAGAAAATGGAATTAATATTGATTAGAATAAAGTATTGCTTTAAGATGAAGATGGATTTATTCTAAATGAAAGTGAAACAATTTATAATTTACTGAAAACAAATGATATAGTAAAAGTAGTACAATAGGAAGAGAAATAAAATATTGTAATTTAGTAATAATAGAAACAAATAGAAACTTAAGAATGCTAATAAGAATAATTATAATAAAATATCAATTAAAATAATGATCCTGTTGAGGCTATTGTTGTATTATTTGATATTTCAGGATCTATGAAAGGAAATTACTTTAAAGAAGATTAATTATCTAGAATTGGAGCAGTAAATGCTTTTTTTTCAGCCTTTGCTGATAAAACTTTAGCTTTCGAATTTAATCATATAGTAAAACTTGTATGGTTTTAATCATTTATAGTAGATAAATGTGAATTTACAAATGATTTTAATACTTTCATTAAATTGGTTGATGATGCATCTCCAGGAGGTGGAACTAAATGTTATGATGCAATAGATTATGCAATTGAGTAATTAAAAGAAATCAAAAAGAAATATCCAAATATAATATTAAGAATACTTGCATTAACAGATGGAGATGATAATTAATCAAAAGAAAATCCATAAAGTTTAATCTCCAAAATTTTTGAAAATTAAATTATAATAGATTCCTTTGTTGTAAATAATGATTGTGTAGGATTAAAAACTTTGACTCATGCAACTAATGGAAGATGTTATTGTCCTTAAACTCTAGCTGAAGGCATGTCTTTATTTGAAATTGAAAGTATCTTAAGTATAAGTCATAGAGAAAAATAAGAATATCCAAAAGAAATGCTAGATTTAAATTCATTATAAAATAAACCTTTTGATACTGAAGCAATGAAAGTTATATCTATGGATGTCTAAAAGACTGCTGTTATGAAAAAAGAAGAAATTTTAAAGAAAATGTCACAAATGCAAAACCCAACTTAAAACTCTGGCTCAACTTCCTAAGGAATAAATAATTAAACTAGAATATTAAAGGAATTACAAGAAGTTACTGTATAAGGTGATAAATTGAATTTTAAATGCTATCCTACTGCAAATGATATGAAAACATGGAAGGTTTTATTGTATGGTCTTAAAGGAACTGTTTATGAAGGTGGATTATACATTTTAAGTTACATATTCCCATAAAACTATCCTTTTAGACCTCCAAAAGTTTAGTTCATCACTAAATTATATCATCCTAATGTCAGTAGAGGTGGATCGATTTGTTTAGATATAATAAATAATTCTTGGAGTCCTGCACTGACAATTATATAAGTACTTAATTCAGTTTCAGAAATGCTTTAAAATCCAAATGCTGATGATGCTTTAGATTGTAATATTGCAGCAATTTATAAACATGAACCAGAATTATTTAAATAGAATGCTTTAAAAGAGAAATTAGAAGTAGCTTCTCCATCAGAGGATAATTTATTAGCAGATATTTTAGGAGCAATTGATGCTAATTCCTAAGACTATATAGATACTAAAAAAGAATTATAAACCTGGTTGGAATAATAAAAATAAAATTGAAAATAAATTTACATCATTATTATTATTAATAAATAAAATTTAATTTTAATTCATTTTAATACCTTAATCATAATGATTATATTTATATATTTATATATTTATTAACTTAATTTAAATTTACTTACTTTTATGTACTAAAGTCAACATTTATTATAGAAACTATTAAGAATGATTTAAATTAAATAAATTTTTATTTAACAAAATTAATTTATTAATAGTTTGAAGCTTTATGTAAATTTCTTTCTGAATTTATATGATTTAAATTTTGGTTATGAATTTCATGTTTTAGAGATTTTGCATTCAGATCAAGACTTACATTGAATTAATAAATTTATATGTTGATAATTTTGTTGAAATTTAAAGATTGAATTTATAAATTTATTGATGAAAATGAAAATTATTGTAATCCTGAAAATGCTCATCTTGATAGAAGGATATATCATATTTGATCAGGGATATAATGAATAGTTTCTCTATACAACAGGATTTTCATGTTCAATTTCTAATACGATTACAACAACTGTGACATTTTCAGGTACTTTTTAAGTTCCTCCCCAAATATTATTAATTCCAAAGAGCATTTCTATGAAAAATTAGTCCCCTCGTACATTTGATTACGATATCATTTCTCTAACTACACAATGTATAAATTTTATATAATTGAAAGAATTTTAGATCAAAATTACATGTCCAAGTGATGTGATGGTGAAATATTTGTTTAATTGGTATGCAGTTAATGACAATAGAATAGTAATTTTGGAGAAAAAAAAATAAACTAGTTGTTTAGATTAAAGTATCTATACACATTCTCATAATTTATCAAAAGCAAAATAAGCATTTGTTATTCTTCAAAGTTGGGGAATGTCAGCATTAAATCTTGATTTTTATATAGAAGTATATGAAATAACTTCAACATCTGTTAAAATAAAACTACATAATTCTAATTCAAATTTATTATAAATAGGATATTAAATTGTTATAGGAACTTAAGAAGCATTTGTTTAATCAAGTTTAATTGCATCACCAGGAGGATAAAATGTATTATTAACAAAGTCAATACCAAAATTAAATTTAGGATTTTTATTTCCTTCTCTTGCAGGATTCAGTTGGAGTAATATCGGAAATATAAGGATGTAATTTTCTTAATAATCTATTCTTGAAAATATTGAATACACATGTGAAACATGTAAATAATATACATTATATTTTAGTTGATGTAACTTAAATGAATACTATTCGATTCAATGAACTTTGGGTATTTTAAGAAATATTGACTCCTATGTATGTTTATTCATATCGAATAACTAAGAAATATGATAAATATATATCAGATCCAATAAAAATAATGTTAATTGAATTGAATTAAGAATATACTAATATTGGAGATTTCTAAGTTTCAATACCAAATGCATTAAAAACAGTAATAATATAAATTGAATTAAAATTTTAACCAGGAGAAAAATTAATTGGAACCTTTTTAAAATGCTTTGATTGTGGAAGTTAAAATGTTTATAGAATAGAATAAAATTATCTTTGTGGAAATAATTTCATTAGATATAGATTATTATTTAAATAATAGTCAAATTTTGATTAAACTTTGTAAATATCAATTGGAATTTCAGAAATAAAAATTAAATAAATAATTAATTAGTCAGTTTAATAATATTAAATTGCTCAACTTAAATTTGTAGAAGTAAATCCTTGATTATACAAAAAGAAATAATTGAATTTTATAATTTTATCAAAAAATAATAAATATTCAATTTGTTGCTACATAACCTATGAAAAAACAAAATAATGCTGAAAAAAAAATATGCTGAACACTAACAAATATTTAATCTTAATTTTAATTTGTTCCTTTAGATAGCAGTAATATTTTTTCTTTTTCTATGTTTTGTAATTCTTCCTTTTATTTATTTAATTCTATTTATAATTAATTTATTTTTAGATTTAATCTTTAGATCTAATTATCTTCTTCTATTTCATAAACTTATTAGTTATATAATTTTGGTTATTAAGGTTAATATGGATAGGTTTATGGTTTTGGAAGAGGATATTCAAGGGGAAGATTATTTTATGAATTTGATGATTGTTTAGATGGAGTTTATTTAATTTATTAAAATGTAGTAGATGTAAGAAATCTTTATTCAGAAGCAGACACTCTACTAACACTTTAATGTTGGTCAGAATTAGTGATCGAATTTTTAATTTACTATTGTTTCATTTGTTCATTTTTTTTTAACAAAGTATTTTGCTCATATGTGAAATCTTGTTAATGGTAAATACTTTCTTCTATGTTCTTATTTAATGAGATTGATTAATTAATTATATTAGATTATTTGGTCATTTAACTTTGATCAATAGTAATTATTTCTATTTTCATTTTTTGAACAAATGTGCTGTTAGAATAGGAATCAAAATACGAGGCCAGAGACTTAACGTCGGTTTTATTGAAATTTTAATCAGTCAAATCTACAATAAAAATTTGTAATTTTGCATTAGCTAACAGATAATGATTTATATTTACATTAGAACTTTTAACATTTAACGATAATTTTAATATATTATCCTGTGAAAGATCCTATATGTGGCATTACTTAAATATCTTACGTATTATTTGTCCTAATTTTAAAAGCACAACAACTTATAATTAATATATATAAGTACTTGTTTGGTTTAGTGTTATTTAATGTTAGAGTCCCTATGAATAGTCCATCTATTTTGAAACATTCTAATCTTTCACCTTGGGGAACAGTGATCATAAATTAAATTAAAACAAAATATAAAATTTCATTATTTCTTTTCTATTCATTTATCATTAATTTTAAAGTCACTAGTTGTTCTACGACTGTTTCTTCTGCTTAAATCATTAACTTAATTTTTAAGAATATCTAATTTGGTTTATTCTCTCTTGTTTTTGTATTCATTTACCAATGATGAATGATTTTTTTAAGGCAAAGGCATAAAACTTTTAAAATTACTATAACATAATCTTTGGAATTCATTTTCTTAGATTTTCTTTTATTTAAGATCTGGATCTTCAGCTTCATTATAATACTCTGTCTTAAATACTTTAAGAGTATTGTTATTAATTAATTCATCACTGTGTATAACGACATCTTTATTTTTATTATTTTTATTATCTTTAATCATTTTAGATACTTTATTCTAATCTAATTCTAATAATTAAATATCAGCATTTGCAAAAACATGTTAAGCATAACCTCCAAAAATAAGTATTTTTGAATCAATAGAGACACTAGAATGTCTGCATTTACCATATTTTCTAATTAAATATAAATAGTTACAATTATTAGATTTATTAAACTTAAGACCAAGAGAATTATTAAATCTACAATACAAATATATCATTAAGAATATTTCCTTATTTCGAATCATTTCTACCTCCATAAATAATAATAACATTAGTTTATCGAAAATAATTCATTGAATGAGAATATCGAGCTAAAGGTTATTATCCCTTATAAAATAACTTTAATACTTTTGTTTTCACTTTTATAATTTTAATTGGTTTAAATCCAAATTAAATAATTCTAAGATCATTAATAGCTTCTCCATTTTATAATCTACCTCCAAAAATGTATATGCCTTCAGTTGTAATGGGCAAAAAAGATTTTCCCTTTTTTTTGACCCATTCATAACTGAAATATGGATTTTCCATCTTAACTTCACTTTTGAACATTGCCAAAGAAGTTGCATCAGATACTCCTTCTAATCCAAATTAATTTTCTATTTAAAATGAAGTCCTTAAAAATATATTATTTTAATAATTTACCATTTACATGTTTCCAAATTAAGCCCTGCAACATCAGTCAAGATTTTGCCATAAGAATTGATCCCACCATAAACTATAAAATATTTACCAACTACTTCTGCACAATGATTTCGTCTCCCTTCTACTATATCTCCATAAGGTTTTAATTAAATCCAAGTTTTATCACTCTAAGTAAATAAACGAATATCACCATAACACTCTCTCATTTTCATTGCATTATTGTATTTTTTTTCACCTCCATATATTATTAATTATTGCTTATATAAAGTGGCAGTGTGTCCAAATCTACCTTCTAATGGAACATCACCTACTCCAGTTCCAATATCTTTCCATACCCATGTCTGTGTATTTAGAGTTACAAAATTCTTAAATAAATCATTACCTATTCCACCATACATTATACATTTATTCAAATTTTATATATAAGTCACTGTACAACCTTCACGAATTGGAGGTTTCCAATTTGATATTGAAATGTGAAACCAAAAAAACTTTAAATTTGTTGTTATAATCTCTTGAGATAGAGAAGGTGAAGAATATTCTTCATGCTACTATACTATATCATCTATATCAGAATGATTAATCTTTAAATGAACTAATTTAATTTTGTATTGATCTTTTTATTCTTATTTTTGTATTATAGAATCAGATACTTCTTTTACAGTCATACCCCATTTTTATTCGATTCGATTTTTGAACTTCAATGCTTAACTATGATTAAATTGAAGTCTATTCTTTAATTATAATGGACTACTAAGAGTATTAACCAATTTATCAGCTTAAGTAAGCCAACTTGAATTAGTCCTCATCATTTCATTAAATGTTCGAAAACCTGTATCATCAGATAATGTTTATAAGAAAATCAATTTACATTCCCCCTTAGATATAATATCATCTACTGGAGGTATTTACATTTATTATGGCTATTTAATTATAGAGATAGAAGACTCAGTTTTTAAGAATCGAGATTTTTAATGAGCTCTTTGTCCCTTCTATTCAAAATTATCTTTTCCTTCTTTGAGTTCTTTTAATTTTAAAGAATATTAAATTATTAGATGCTTTCTTTTTTGAGAATCCATATTTATTATTTACAATAATATTAAATCATTTTAATACTTAATCTTAAACATTATCTCATATTAACATTTTATTAAATTTCTAAAGAATCTATTTTATTTATTTTTCCTTAAAACATCTGTTCAATTAAAGTTTAATTTTTAAATCAAATTTTTATTTCTTATATGTATTTTTGTATCTAAATTATTACTTTATGATATAAATTGATTTTTAGAATTTCCTGTATTAATAATTGCAATATCTATTTCTACATACACTCTAAAAGATGTAAGTTTTTCATAATTATTAAACAATTTATTAAAATGCAAATTAAGAAGTACTAATCTATGTCAATAAAAATTTTAAAATATTTAAGGTCATATTTCTAAACTCTTCAATAAGAAACACTTTTATATTATAATATAAGAAAGTATTTTAAGATATTTTATATATATATATTCTTCTATTTTATATTATAAATAATGAAAAGTTTCTTTGTAATTTATACAAAATTAATTAAAATAACAAATTTTCAAAAAATAGGTTAAATTCTTTAATATTTTTTTGGTTAGGCCATTTCTAAATCTTAATATTTAACCATTAAATTTTATATTCCATTTAATGTTTCATCAAAATGAGATTATTCCATATATTATTTATAATGATGAACATAAACCTTTCGTTTATAAAGTTTCTAAAATCTATCTGTCATTTCTTAAAATGTATCTTTAATACAAGTATTATTAGCCAAACATAACATTGAGTATTATTATCCAATAGGAGGTTAATTACAAATTCCATATTTGAAACCTTCTTAATTCCAATAAATCATTTTCAATTAATCTTTTAATTTCTTTATATTCCTATTAACATCTGAAAAAGCAACATCTCCTCTAACTAAAAGTCCTACAGCTAAATATTTATGAAGAGATGGTTATCCTGTGATCATTTAAAAATCAGGATGATAAATATCACTGAACATTTAATCTAATCTTCTTGGTTATAATTTGGAATCCAAAAGACTATATAATGGAGCCATGGAAGAGATAAGAAAGTGTAAGTCTGGATATGGTACTAAATTCATAGTGATTTCATTGAGATCTACATTTAATGCTCCTTCAAATCTCATTGAACATGTTATATGACTTAATAGATGAGCAATCAAACTATTCATTTTATCAAATGGCTTTTATCTTTTCTCTTCTTCTCCAAATTAAGTAATCTTTATGCCAACACTCCCTTCATGTGCATTCTCTTTTACCAATCTAGCTTTGTTTGGTTTATCTATTTAATCAACAATATTAATCAATGCTTAATTATCTATAGGAAATACACAATCAGCATGTTTAGCCAATTCATACAAACTAAATAAACTATTATATGGAGATGTAACAACATCATCATCACCTGATGGAAATACAGATGCTGTAAATCTAAAAACTTCAGGATAATTATCTTCCAATACTATGATATGATTTTATTTATTTAATACATCCTAAAATTCTAGATCCTAAACCAGAACCTGTACCACCTCCAATTGAATGAGTCATAAAAAAACATTATAATGAATCACATTATTCTACAGTTTTTCTTAATCTCTCTTCTATATGTTTTTCATATTAATTGCCATAATGATAAAATCCATGAGCCCAATTATTTCCTGCTCCTGATACATCATTTATACATTATCTTTCTTCAAATAATTCTCCTAATGGACTTTTCATTATTTAATTAATAACTCCTTCTTCCATATCTACAATCAAAGCCCTTGCTTTTAAATTTTGAATGGGATCTCCTATTTTTAATTCTTAATTTTTTGAATTCACATTTCTAAAAAAAGAAGACAATGATTCATCATAAAGAAGGGATTACTTTGCTTTGGCATGTTCTTTCAAAGCTAAATCCCAAAATCTCATTCCTATTTGATTTCCACATTAGCCAACCTAAACAAATACCAATTCTCTTGGCATTTTATATAATATTAATTCATAATAATAATTCAAGAATTTGTTTTATTGCTGTAGAGCTTATTCACAATCTCTTACATTTCTGTTTTTAATTTTGAAAATTCCCATTATTCATCTATCTCTTATATTTCTTCAATCGGTCTCAATACTTATGTCAAAATACTAAAATCAATGTCATCAGCCTAAATTTAAATTCTTTTTAAATATAAGTACTGGTTATGGCAAAGATGATATTTTTGCTAAATTCTACAATTCATTAATATTCTATAATTTTTAGCCTAAAACCACTCCTGCATCTGAAATCTGATTTTAAGGTTTCTTTTCCTCCTCAGCATCAGGAATATATTATATATCATCAGCTTTTCCAGCTGTTTCCCAAATATTCAACTTCTTTTCCACTCGACTAAATATTGTAAAAATCTTACTTATTGGTATTTAATTTGATATTGTTTCCAGAAAATCCCCAACCTTACTTTGCCATTTATTTTAGTATAACTTATATTAAATTATAATATATTAATTTGAAAGCATAATTATAAAGAGATACATAAATATAACTCAGATTTATTGAATCACACTTTTAAGATCCATCTTCAACAATTAACTAAATTGACCTTCATTTAAAAATTATTAAATAGATACTATATCTAATTCAACTTAATCATTTTAATATAGAATAAATGTGCTTATAATTCTGCTAAAATTTGTTATGAGATTTTTAATTGATTACTCTTACAATTTTCCAATCAAATAAAATCTTTTCTAAAATAATATTCCAAAATATTTTTTCAATCTTCTTTGTAATTCAATAGTTATTTCTTCTTATTATATTTATCGATTATATATTCTATTATAGTTAATAAATATTTTTCTTATTGTTTAATATTAAAATAGTTTATTTTAAATAAACTTAACTTAATTTTCATCCTTTTCCTCATAATAAACAACGCAAGTTTCATTATTTGATTAAATTAAAAAAGACTAATATTTATAATTTGTTTTACTCTATTTAATAGATTTTAGGCAAACTAAATTAATTAATCAATTTAGATAGATTTTGGAATGTCTACTTATGATGGCTATGTTTTACGATTGTCGCTAGCAATTATGATTTTTTTATTCACTGAATCATAAATACCATTTAGCAAACCAAATCCTATAAATTCAAATGCATTTTCTGATTTTAACAACTTAAATATTTTTGCTATATTTTAAAATCAATATTTACATTATAAATTTTATGCCAATATTCTGTGTTGTGGTTCTTAGAGTAAATATATTCCTTTTTCTTCTGAATATTTTAAATTGTTAAGAACCCTAAATGAAATTCTATTAACAAATTAATTATAGATTTCATTTCTAAATTTATAAGAATTTCTTTATTATGTACTTTTTGTTTCAATAACTAAAAATATAACTGATTTTCTTGATCCTACACACAAACTTCCCTCTATATTAGATTTAGCCAGTTTAAATGTTATATGTCTTCTATAATGATCAAATTTATATTTCTTTTGAAGTTTGATTACTGCCTACTCATGAGCTTTAGTATAAACCTTTAAAAAATTTTAATTATGCCAATTTACTATATATCCCTTTAAATATTTTTATGGTTTTTTTAAAGTTTTCTTGACATGTTCTACTTTAAAATAAGTAGATTTAATTTAAAAATCTTCTGTTTTAGCTTAAAATAGTTGTTATTCTTTATCAAAGAAGATAACGATCTAAAATAGTGATCCATCGTTTTTATTAAGACCTGTAATCATTCCAACTTTTTCAAAAGTAGAATTATTTGTTAATAAAGATACTAATTAAAATATTTAAAAACATCATACTTTCTTCATTTGAATGTTAACTAATATCATCTTTCATTAAATCTGGTAATTACAAACTTACTTATTTTGTATATATTTATTTTTCATCATTTGATAGTACTAGAATTTAATTTTAATATTTTTATTCAATAGATATTTAACTATCAACTTAAGATTTAGATGATTAACTTTATTAATATGATTTCTAACTAACTTAAATATTATTCTAAGAAATTTCATTTTTGGATGTAAGGTTATTAGTACTAATAAATAGTTATTTTTTAAAATTTTCCCTTTCTTCTTTAATTACATTTTCTTCGTGTTCCTTTTTCTCTTCCTCATCTTCTTCAATAATTGTGTTAATTGCTAATAATTTTTCTTTTGTTGCATTTGTTTGTTAGATTATTTATTATGAATGATGATATATTTCTGTTTCAGCAGTATTTACAGAGCCTAGCATTGAATTATTTGAACTAAACTAATTTAATTAAAGAGTAAAATCTATTTCAGTCTATGAATTTTATTTTTATTTTTAATAATCATCTTCATTTTTATCAAATTCTTATTCAAATAAAATCTTTTAGGATGAAAATAAATTATTATTGAATTGACCAGTTTAATTTATTCTTTCATCATTAGAGTTCTCTTTTTCATAATTTTCATCAATATTTTAATTTTATTCTTCACATCCAGAATGACTTTACTTATTCATTGAAATATATTCTTCTTCATCACTCTATTCTTATACTAATGGAACATCTTGAAAAGGTTCAACTGAAGAAAAGATTTAATCTGGAGTAGTGTGTGCAGCCTTATGAATAACTATTGAATCTGAATTAAATTATTGTATATCTGCAAGTGTAATTGGAGTACCATAACTTTATTATTTATCTTCAAACTTAGTTTATATATATTCTAATTTTTATAGATTAAAATCATATCTAATTTAATTATCACTATTTTTTAATTTAAATTGAATGTAAGGATCAATTGATAATAGAATTAATTGAGAAGTATTTAATAAAAGTAATGGTAGCAATTCATCTTCTAATTAAATGATTTATTCTTTATTAACTAAAAAAGTAGAGTATAATTTTAGAGTGAAAATATGATTTAATTTTAGTGATATATCATTACATTTTTTAAATGATTTCCTTAGAATAAATAAATCATAAAATATCAAATCAATTTATGATATATCATTTAAATTCCAAACAATAAAGAAATATCCATTATGTATTTGATCATTTTAATCTTTTATTTTAATATAATGATAATCTATTGATTCTTAATATTGTGATCTTATATTTTAAATTCTTGATTTTAATTTAACATTACTAGATTTCCATTATTTTTATATCAATATAATATATTCAAGTTTTTATTCCTCATTAAGTTTTTGTGCTGTTTATTTAATGATTTCATCAACTTTATTTTCAACAATTTTTTAATTGTATTATTAATTGATTTCATTAATATCTTCAACTATTTCTTCAAGATCATCAATATGTTTACAAGATATATTTTATTAACCAAAATTATTCTTGTTTGGAGTTTCTTAATCATAATCTATTTTTTTTGTAAAACTTTATATTGTATCATCTTGAGTTATAGATGATCTTTTCTTTTCATAATCTTAATTGATTTCATTTTTTATATTTTAATTATCATTCATCATGATATGATCATCCTCTTCATCTATTTTGTATTCTCTATTATTTACTATTTGTACAACTACCAATGGTTAAAGTTCACTATCATCTAATTATTCTTAAATAAAAGGATCAGTGTTAAAAATCTAATTATATTATTCCGATGATCTTTTGATATCTCTTGATGTTTGAGGAGTATTCTTCTATAATTTATTTTATTAAATTTATTAATTCATATAACGAAAAGCTTCTAATTTTTGAAGTTCCCTTTACTTCTAATCTTAAATTAATTTTAATTCTTCCTATTCTTTTTATGCTAACTAAATATATTTATATTAAATTTACTATTTTGAGATTTTCAATGTCTTATTATAAAGTATTAGCCTTTTCAGCAATTTCAGTATCAATCTTTAAATTCTCTTAATTCATTTCATATATATTTCTAGTTGTAACTGAAATCTTATTTTTTATAGTAAATGTTTCCTTTTTGGTAATTTCTAATGCTTTTTATTTTGGTGCTTATGTTTGGGTCATAATAGCTGATTATGGTCTTAATGGATGTCCCAATCTTCTCGTTTCTGATAAAAATAACCTATCAGTTACTTTTTTTGTATTGTCTGTATATGGATTTCTTAAGGCTCTCTATCCATATTGACTAGTGATATTGGGTCTTATTTAAAATTTATGATTTAATGATGTAATGGCAATCTTTTATGCTTCAGCAATAGCCAATTATCGAGCAAATTCTTCGTAGATAGCTTTCAATTAGATTGTCAAATAATGATGAATACCAAGATTATCTTCAGCTACTTTAAAAGCTGATGCATATGCTTACAGTGCAAATTAATATTTTTAAAAATATTACTCTTGAACTCCTACATTATAAAATGATATTGCCAATGCACTCACACAACGTTAAAATTTAAAGTTCTACATTGAAATGTGATTCTTTATATAATATTAATATTCTTTATGACTTTCAGTAACAGCTTTCTTAGCATTCTCTAAAGCTCCTTCATGTCTATTTGATAATATAAAAATATATGTACTCCTCGACTAAGGACAATACTACACATAAATTTAAATGAGTAACTGCAACCTCTTTTAAGTTATATTTTCGAATAACTGCTAAAGAACATTCCAATTCCTTTAATGCTTTTTCCATTTAACCAATTCTTCTATAATAGCACCCTAATCCATTGAGAATCTGAACTCTCAAATACCCTTATTGTTTTGGGGTTAACCCTTTAAACATTTAATCACATCCCAAGAGTAACAATAAGGCAGATGCAGGATCATTTTCAAGAGTAGAGATAGCACTAGAAACTATTAGTAAAGTCACTTTTGTAATTACTTAAACCTATGATTGCTATCCTAGATATTTCTTTCCATCTGCTATCACTAAAATATAATATAGTATTGTAAATATACTTTAATTTAAAAGGTATATTGCTTAATTTACTTGACTATTAGCAATCAAATCTAAAGCTTCATTAAATATTGGATGATCATGACAATTTAATTCTTATCCTATTTAATTGATATCCCATATTGCATTAATTATATTATTTTACATACAATATATGTCTGGCATTCTCCCATTTAAATGTACTGATATATTTGATATTGATCTTGCTTGTAATTGTTATTAATGCTATTTGATAAACATTTAATTATGTATTTATATTTCAGACAAAATTAAAAAAAGTAAATGATAATCAAGAAAATTTTATTTTGAAATTAAAAAATCACTTTAAAAACTTATTAATTTACTACTTAAGAATAAATCAAAATATTTAATAGGAAATTTACATATGTATTTTAAATAAAAAATGAAACAATCTGTTATTTAAATTAATTTTTTTCGATTTATTAGATAGTTGTTAATTATCGGAATAAAATAATTTGTTTTATTAATAATAGAATTCCTATATTTAAATTTAATTCTCTTATTTTTGTTAAACTTGTTCTTTTAATCTATATTTTTTATATAAAGAAATTATTAGTATTTTAGTGATTGTATACACTAATTAATTCCTTGTATTAATTGAAATTAAAATACTTAAATGATTCTATTAATATCCATCATAAAACTTACTTCTATTATTTAAAAATATTTTATATATATACTAAAAATAGAAATAAATTAAAAAAAATAAAACTTCAAATTGTTTCATGATAATTGCAACATTATTTCTAAAAATTCTTCTTAAGTAATTTAACCATCTCCATTTTAATCTAATTATTTTGATAAATTATCTAATTTGTCTTTTGGTATTTACATATCTCTTAACAGTTTCTTTACTTCTTAATTATTTAATTATCCACTGTGATCTCTATCAATTTGTTAAAAAAGCATAAGCAATTTTTCTTTATTAAAATATTTCTTTTAATCTATAGTAGCTAAGATAAATTCTATTTTTGTTAATTTATAATATTTACCCTAATAATCAATTCTACCACTACAATTCTAATCAATCTTTTTAAAAATAGTATCTACTTCTTAAATTGCTTTTTCAGATGAAAACATTGTTTTATATACTTTGAGTAATTCCTCTTTAGTTAACAATCCATCTTTATTTAAATCAAATTTTTAAAATTCATCCATTAATTTTTTCTTATCTTAATCCGACATCATATTTTCAGCAATATAATTTAACATTGCATTTTACATTTAAGATTATTACTAAATTAACTAAATTTATTTATATACTTTAAAATCTTTCATATGTTTTGATAATTATTTATTAGGTTTTGTTACTATTCGATTTCTATTTAAAAATACTGGATTATTTATAACTTCAGTAGCTGTAGGTCTTAATTAAGGATTTGAACTGAGCATTTTAGAAACTAATTATTTCATATCAGTGTTTATACTAGCCCATTCTTATCCTTCAAAATTTACTACACCTCTTTAAATGGCTGTTTTGATTGCCTAACTATCACGACCTTAAAATGGCATATGAGATGTAAGAAAAAAGTAAAGCAAACATCCACATGACCAAATATCTGCTTTCTAAGTTTAATAATAACTATTTATTGTTTATTTAAAAAATTCTGGTGGTTTAACAGATATATCCTAAATGCTATTACTTGGTTTCCATGACATACATATAGATTTTATTGTATTTGGAATGCCAAAATCAATTAGTTTAATGTTCTCCAATGATTTATTTGTGAATACTATACTGTCTAACTAAATATTCCTAATTTTTTAATTTCAAATCATACCCATGGACTATTCCTTAATTATGTAAATATTACAATCCTGCCATAATCTAAAGGAATACATCTATCATTGTGTGATACTATAACTAACCAAACTTATCTAATTAAGACAGCAAATTTCCACAATCACAAAATTCCTATACTAAATATAAGTGATCGTCATTATAATAATATGGTAAAGTGTTAACTAAATTTAAATGTTTCTTTCTATAACATAATAGATCTTACAATTTATATCATTTGGTTGATAATTCTTATCAATTCCTACCTTTCAGAAGTAGTAAGAATTTTAAAACTAAAAACTTTTACTATTCTAGATGAATTGTTGCTTTTAGACACAATTTTTTTTATATAATTTCTCTAGGCTATCATAGTTATTTAATCATTTTTACTAATTAAAGGGTCTAAAGCATGAAAAATATAATCAGATTCTATTTTTTCAGTCTCTTAAATTATGAATGCTGGTACTAAATTATCTCTCTCATTAGTCTTATTTGAACTATCATTTAATGGAGAGTTTGGTTTGCTATCAGATTTGGCTTATTTTGTGGCTGTACAACCCATTATGTAATGAAAATATTTAATATTAATTGAAAAAAAATCTTGTATCTTTTTTATATTTTAAATTCAACCTAACAAGATTTCAAACATATTATATACTATTTAATTAATATAGATACTCATCTTATATATGAATAGACATTTAAAGTAAAGAAAAATTATAAATCAATAGATTTATTTTTGGTTGATTTTAAAAGCAAATAGACTCATAAATAATAGAAAAATAACATAGTTACTAATTAATTATTTATTATATTGATAATTTATTGAATTCAGTACGGATACTTAAATTATTAATCTGAAAAACTACTTATTTATTTGAAATCTTCAAGTTATTAGAGAAAAATTAAACAATTTAAAACAACATCAAAAATTTATCAAATATAAGGGTAATGAAAAATTGAATTAATTTATAATTATCGAATTATTAGAAATATGACAATCCATTAATTTTTAAGTCAGGTTATTAAATTATAAAAAATTTATAAATTAGATATTGATTATATTTAATAAAAATTGAAAAGAATAAACATATATTCAATTATGAAGAGCATTTTTAAGACTTTTATTAACATATATAATTGATAATCTTAAGTGAATTTTATAAAGAATACTAAACACAATTTTACTATCAATTAAAATTATTAAAAAATCAAAATAGAAGGATAGGTTACATATAAATGAGAAATATATGGTTACCTAAATAAAGTGTTGAAATCATAATTTTAGATGAAATATTATATGTTTGAATTATTCTTTTTTCAATATAAGTAGAGTTAGTAAATTTATAGATTATAGATCTTTTTAATTAGCAAGTTAAGTGATTTAATACTCTTTAAAACTATTTTATATTTTTTAGAATATATAGAATTCATCCAACAAAGTTAATTTGGTTTTTTGGAAAGGGAGTTTTCGTGCTTCTATTATATTCACTCTTTGGATCTCCATTGGTAATTGGATTACGATATAAATTTTCTCTATTTGGAAGATTGGAAGTTTTTAATTATTACTTATAAACTAAATCTGAGTTATTTCCAGGCTCAGTAACTTTGATACAGTGTGGTTTAAAATTCTATTCTTTACGATTATCAGTAAACTAGAGTATTATAATTTGATACATCAAAAACACTAGTTGGTTAATTGCTATATTGAGTAGTCTTTACAGTAGGTTTATGGAGAGGTGCTGCATTTGTAATTAATGTAGTAACTTAAAATAAAGGTGAAGATAATTTTTCATTTTATTTATTAGCACATTTATCTCTTGCAGCTTAATACAAAGCAAGATCAGATTCCTTCAAAGGTTTATCATTAGATTTAATAGGTTTGCTAAGCTAGTATTCTGAACGGTTAGATTAAATAGAAGTAACAGTCTTGAAATAACTTTCGTTTTCCATTTATTTGATCGTTAATTATTAATAATTTAATTAAATAAATAAATTTGTACTTTTCTAATAAAATTAATTAATATTTAAACAAATTGAATTTAGATGAGGGATTTAGACATAAAAAAATAATAAAATTTACATAAATTACTTAAAATTATTGTTTATATCCATTTATTATTTTGGACTATACTTATTCAAATATTCTTATATTATTCTAAATGAACAAAAAATATATTTATAGATTTGAGATCAAGACTGNCATTTTTAAGACTTTTATTAACATATATAATTGATAATCTTAAGTGAATTTTATAAAGAATACTAAACACAATTTTACTATCAATTAAAATTATTAAAAAATCAAAATAGAAGGATAGGTTACATATAAATGAGAAATATATGGTTACCTAAATAAAGTGTTGAAATCATAATTTTAGATGAAATATTATATGTTTGAATTATTCTTTTTTCAATATAAGTAGAGTTAGTAAATTTATAGATTATAGATCTTTTTAATTAGCAAGTTAAGTGATTTAATACTCTTTAAAACTATTTTATATTTTTTAGAATATATAGAATTCATCCAACAAAGTTAATTTGGTTTTTTGGAAAGGGAGTTTTCGTGCTTCTATTATATTCACTCTTTGGATCTCCATTGGTAATTGGATTACGATATAAATTTTCTCTATTTGGAAGATTGGAAGTTTTTAATTATTACTTATAAACTAAATCTGAGTTATTTCCAGGCTCAGTAACTTTGATACAGTGTGGTTTAAAATTCTATTCTTTACGATTATCAGTAAACTAGAGTATTATAATTTGATACATCAAAAACACTAGTTGGTTAATTGCTATATTGAGTAGTCTTTACAGTAGGTTTATGGAGAGGTGCTGCATTTGTAATTAATGTAGTAACTTAAAATAAAGGTGAAGATAATTTTTCATTTTATTTATTAGCACATTTATCTCTTGCAGCTTAATACAAAGCAAGATCAGATTCCTTCAAAGGTTTATCATTAGATTTAATAGGTTTGCTAAGCTAGTATTCTGAACGGTTAGATTAAATAGAAGTAACAGTCTTGAAATAACTTTCGTTTTCCATTTATTTGATCGTTAATTATTAATAATTTAATTAAATAAATAAATTTGTACTTTTCTAATAAAATTAATTAATATTTAAACAAATTGAATTTAGATGAGGGATTTAGACATAAAAAAATAATAAAATTTACATAAATTACTTAAAATTATTGTTTATATCCATTTATTATTTTGGACTATACTTATTCAAATATTCTTATATTATTCTAAATGAACAAAAAATATATTTATAGATTTGAGATCAAGACTGTATAAATAAAAAAAAAGATAAAATATTATAAAATAAAGTTGAATTAATTTATATTTTTTAATTTCTATCATAAAGGTTCTGTCATTTTGATTAACCAATCTTTAGCTATTTATTCTTCCATCAAAGGCAATAATGTTTTTCTTACCACGGCATGATATTAATCAATGTAATTTCTATCTCTAGGACTCAATAAATCTAGATTGATGAGGTTTCTGTCATATGGACAATAAGTCAAATTCTCAAATCCCAAGAATTGATTATTGACTTTAACACAGAGAATAAGATTCTCAATCCTTATGCCAAACTTACCTTCTTCATAATATCCAGGCTCTAAAGATTGATAATAATTACATTTTACCATTAGATACGATCATACCAGGTTAAAATACTTCAGTTCTATATTTACTTATTCCATGAGGTCCTTCATGAACATTCAAAAAATATCCAACTCCATGTCCAGTACCATGTCCATAATCTAAATTAGCTTCCCATAACCATCTTCTTGCTAATACATCCATATCTCCTCCATGAATCTTACTCTTCTAAGGCCATTTCAATCTTTCTATATCCAAATTACCTAAAAGCACTCTAGTGTAAGCATTCCTTTCTTCTACTGTAGGTTATGTGAAATGATAAGTTCTTGTTACATCAGTAGTTCCATCTAAGTATTAACCACCTGAATCAATCAAATAGATGTGATTAGGATTTATGATAGATTTATTATTCTCAGTTGGATGATAATGAACAATGGCAGCATTGGCTCCACTGCTTGAAATAGAATCAAATGATAATCCCATATTACGACTTTATTTAAAACGATATTATGCCAATTTTGTAGCTGCTTAGAATTCATCCAAAACTTCACCATCAAGTAATTATTTTTCAAGCCATCCTAAATAATGTACTAAGGCAGCACCATCTCTTATATGTGATTCCTTAAATCCTTATATTTCTCTTTCATTTTTAATAGCTTTTAATAGTTCAATTGGACATGCATTTAAAACAATTGGATCTTCAACCTATTAAATTAATCTATGATTTATTTCAGCAGGAGTTACTGCTGTATTAATGAATTTCTCATTAAATACATCTTAAATTGATTTAATTTCAATATTGTTTTCAGTTAAGTACTATTTGACTTATTAATTGATCTTTGTTGGATTAATAAACAAAGTTCCAGTATTATCATCCTTTAGATATAAATAACTCTTAAATAGAGGATTAAATTTAATATCATTTCCTCTCAAATTTAATACCCATGCTATTTAATCTAATTTGGAAATAAGAATAGATTTTGCTTATTTTTATTTTAGATTTTCAAATATTTAAGAAATCTTTTTAGTTGTTGGATATTGATGATACTCTAATTCATGTATAATGACCTCAGATAATGAATCTTAAGGCTTATTTGTCCAAATCAAATCAATCAAATTTTCATTGATTGCTTTGAATTCTACATCTTCCAAAGAGGCTCCCCTTGTTTTTTTAAGCTCTTTAATATAATATGATAATAATACAATGACTAATCAATAAGGGATCATAACCTATAGCTTATCCTTTCAAATTAGCCTTTGCATGTTCAACCCATGTTGGCACACCAGGTTCCAATTTCTATAATTCCCATCCATGCTCCAATTATTTTGTAGCTTATAAATAGTATCTTGAATCTGTCCACAAATAAGCTATTGTATTTGTGATTAATCCTATTCCTGCAGATCCATCAAATCCTGATATAAAAGCTAATCGTTCATCTGAGTCAGATGTATATTCAGACTATAATTTTAAGACTTAATTATACATCATGAGCATCGCTATGAGGCACTAAATATGCTTAGATGGACCTTTAAGCCATCAACTCTCTTAAAAGATTGAGCTTATTATTTATCTTTTACATATAAAATGTAATAAAATAAGTTATTGCAGACCATATAGCATATTTATAATTTGAAGAATCCTCTTTTTAGAGAAAAAATAATTATGCTTTGTTTGGTTTATGTATCTGAAAATAAATTAGAATTCCCAGTCAAAGTACTACTTGAATAATTACCATTTCAATTTGATGAATTACTATATGATTACATTAAGAATTTGAACTCAGAGGATCCCTTCACATTATCAAAGGCTTTTGATTTATTGACACACAAATCCATGTAAAACATATTAGATAGAAATACATATATTAAATACGAAATACAGTTGCTAAAATATATTGCTTAACAATATAAGGTCTAATAAAATTATCATGTGGCTGTTAAAACAATTAAATATGTTTTAGAATTAGAATACAAATTAGAACCCAGAGATTCTATTAGTATTGTCTCTAGTCAAATGAGTTTAGTAACAATTTTATCTAACTCTGGTCAACATACATAAGCTTTAAATGAATTGAATTCAATACAACATTTCATCAATCAAATTCATGATTAAAAGCCATTTCTTAAACTAATTTGCATTATGTACTATAATTATGGTGTAGAGTGGGAACATTTAGGATAATTATTTTAATCTCAAATTAATCTCTCTTAAGCACTTGAAATTGCTAAGACTAATAAATTCGATGAACTCCTACGAATTATAGAATAAGCCATAGAAAACATAAAAAAATCTAAATGATCTTAACTAATTTCAATCCTGAATCATTTACATTCTTATTATATTCAATATATTTTATAAATAAATATATTAATCATCCTTCTTTTTATATGATATTAATCTTTAATAAGACTTTTTTCTTTACTAAAACATGTAAGGTAATCTAAATCTTTTTCAATTAGTAGAAAATGACAATATAATTAAATAATATAATTTGATAATAAATATTAGATAACAGATTAACATATTTAAATTCATCTCAATTTTAATTTAGTAGTCTTTATTTTTAATATATATATTGATTTATCCCTTCGTCGAGACTATATTACATATTGATTATTTCATTACAATTATAATAGATTTCTAAAATAATAGAGAATATTTACTTAAGTATCTTTGAAAGTCTTCATCTTCTATTTTCTATTGATAATATACATAATCTTCCAAATAATATTATAGTATTGAATATAAATAGACTGATTCTGACTAATTATTAAATTAAGCAAATATTTTGTTAAGTATTTCATTAGGATTATTCATTAAATTAATTAGAATTTAATAGATCTCTAAGACTTAATATTACAATAGCACTTAACGTTTATGTAAGGAAAATTTTAACTATTGAAGAGCAAATCTTTAGTGACTTAAAATTTCATTTGAAGTCATAGGATCTAATAAATAATTATTAAATGATTTAATAAAGTGTTTATAGTTCATTTTATTTTTTATGATATAATATTTTTAACCTTTTCTAATCAAATTTTCATGAAATGTAAATAATATTTTAAGTAATTCAATATAATTCTAGGCATCTGTATCTGTTAATGTATTCAAATCTTTGTAAATTAAATTTCTTCTTTCTTTTCTGTTATTAATCATGAATTCTTCATATTACTTCAATACAATCAATGGGACTGCATCAATAATTTATAATATTTTTGATAATTATAAATATGATTCTAGCCTCTTTTCTTAAGTTTGATTCAAATCTTTCATTTAATAACTATTAGAATAAGTATGAAAGATTTTGGAATTTAAAGTTATGGACTTTCTTTCTGTATCATAACAATTATTATGGGAGATATAACTTAAACTATTTAAGACTAAATCATTATTCTATTTATCATTTTATTATAAAAGAAACTGCTAAGTATTCTCTAATTAGTAATATTTATTATCCTAAAAATGATCAGTTAATATATTTTAATTGATATCTGCTTAGATTTGATCTTAACCTACTTCTTTTAAATCTCCTTTATTATCTTATGTAACCATCACATAATTGTAATATGTATCAAAATCTGTTTAAACAAATTCTTCCTTTTTACTTACTTGGTGATCTTAATTGTAATTTTTATTTTTATGTTGTTTCAAGATTTCTACTTTATTAAGATATGAACTCTTTAACATTTGTCCATTATTGTCAGTTCTTGTTTTATAAGTAAAGATTGGTAACAACAAAGCTCTAAATTCAATAATTTAATTACAAGAAAGGAATTAGGATTATCCATAATCCATAATTAATTTATTTATGATATTCCAATTCATTATCAATTAATTCTCTATCCCTTATTATAGTTACTCCACATCTATTTAATTCTAGATATATACATAATTAAAAAAAGTAAAGAATACTTAATAATCCAAAACATTAATAAATTTAATTTAATTTTCCATAAATTAACAATTTCGCTAAATAAACTTGATATATTAAATATATAATTTGCTTTATTTAAAGAAATAAAGATTTTATTTAGAAAATCAGTAATACTAAATTCACTTTAAAGAAATTACTAAGATTTTTAATAAATAAGTGTTCAATGAATTGAATCATATAAAGTACCAAAAATTAAAGTTAAATTTATCATAAAATTATTGCCATATAAAAAATGATAAAATATTGATGATTTTTTTTAGACATCTAATGATCTTAGAAAATAGAATTTTATGAAAATATTTCTAAATAAAAAGAAAATTACATTTTATTCATAAAAATTATACAAATAATATACATAAATATATTTATATATATAATAAAATGAATTACAAGAAAGAAACTTTAGAACTACTTGGATATGAGAACATTGAATGTTTAATACCAAAAAACTTACTAAATAACTTTCCAGAATACTTTACTAATGAACAATAGACTCCTTTAGCTACTAACTTATCTGAAAGTAATATTAGAGTTATTTCAATAATAGTGACTGAAAATGGATTGATTATTATGTCAGCTCTGAGCCAAAATAACACTCCTTAACTTTCTGCATAATTATTGAGGTCTGGGTAATCTAAGAATTCGAAAGGAAAAATTAGAACTTTTTTCCCTCAAAGTATTTACAATATTTATATCTTTTAAGAATGGCCTGTAGCAAAAACTAATATGAGTCCTTTTTCTTTTTCAAGATATTCTCATTTTCAATCTTTAATTATACGAAATTGGTATTATCTAGACAATATTAATAATATTTAAGGTATATATAGTTATATTAAATAATTTAAGGACCCTTTTCTTGTGTAGAAATGGATAATTGGTATAGGAAGAATCTTCTTAATGCAGATTTACTAATAAGTTATAAATCTAGAGACTTAACTTCGTTTGTGAGAGTATAAGATATTCTTAAAGATTCTGAAAATCCAAAATGCAGCAAAATTCTAAAATAAATGTATAAAAGACCATCTAGTGCAATTAGAAATTGTAAATACTTAAAAAATTTTAGAATAAAGAGTTTCAAATGATTCTCCAATTAGTAAAGCATCAACTGAACTCTCTTTAAGTAACAACAATAGTTGTTAAAAATAGAGATAACCAATTTGGGGTGTTGATACAGAATATTTATTAAGTTTTTGATGAAATATATAATATATATAAATCACATTAATTTATTAATAAAAATGTAATCGAAAATGAATATTGAATAAATGGAATATAATATCCTTTAAGAGAGAAGAGTTTGAGCTCTAAGTTAATATTAGAAGTAAGAATTTAGTGTTAGATATAATATCACCTAAATATATTAGACTTAGGGATAAATTATATTAGTTCAATATTTTAATTATAAAAAAACTACAGAAATAATATTAATAGAATTTTTGAATACCAACTATTAAATTCATCATTCTAAGAAAGCATATTTCTAGTATTAATAGTCAATTAATTCTCAAATAATGTTAAAAATCAATGAAATGTCATAAATCACTTAAGAATAGAGTGAAAAAAATAAAGGGTTTGTGATGTAAAGAGTATATATTCCTCATCATTTAAGTGTTGATATTGCAATCATTTAAATAATAAATAAAATAATTATTTATTCTATTGTAATGAAAATAAATACTATAACGGTAACATAATTATTAATCGAAAATATGAAACATCCTCCTGATTGTAGATTCAATTAATAAAATTTATTCAGAGCTTTTAAGTTATTAATTTTCTTTTCACTTTTTATATTTTTAAATTTGATCTTTTAATCGCAATTTCATATTTGATTTAAACATCTCCTTGATTTTAATTAAATTCTTCAAATAATTGATTATAAAACAAATGATTATAGATATAATATATTAAGAAAATATCTTTAATTAATATCAAACAATTAAGAATTTATTATATATATATTGATATCATTCTTATTACTTAATTTATGATTAACTTACCTATTATTTTATTTGAGAAATAACATAAACAAATAATTTTATTAAAAAGATTTTTATTTTTATTTAAAATGGTTATAAAGACTGATTTGTGTTCATTTAGTGAATGGCGTATTTACCCTGGACATGGAAGAAGATTTGTGGCTAAGGATGGTAGATTATTTTATTATTTAAACTAAAAGAGTAGAGCCTTCTCTGCTAGAAAAGTATAATATGCAACAAATATTTAGATTAAAAGCCAAGAAATTTAATGGACTGTTGCTTGGAGAAGATTAAACAAGAAAATAAAAACTGATGAAGGTGCAAAAAAACGAAGAATTAGAAATCTTAAAGTTTAAAGAGCTATTGTTGGTATATCATTAGAAGAAATTCGTAGAAGAAGAAAAGAAGATGATAGTAAAATTTTGTTATTAAACTTAGAAACTAGAAAGGCTTAAGCTGAATAAGCAGCTAGGGAGATTAAAGATAGAAAATAAAAATAAATTGATGCCTAAAAAACATAAAGAAAAGGAGTAACTAGTACATAAAAAGTTGCATAAAAAGCTGAAACTAAGGCAGCTTAAAAGGCAGCTGCTAAAACTGCTGGTAAATAAAAAGGGAAAAAATGATAGATATATCATATGTACATTAATTATATAACATTTATTGGGTTGGGTTAAATAAATCCTTAATCAATTCTATTCAAATATTTAAAAATTATAATTAAATATTGATATAATTCTTGAGATAAAGAAAACCTTCATAATTTTCCTTTTGATTACTAAAACTTATGTAATATTTAAAGACTATTAGATAATCAATTAGTATAATTATCATTCATAATACAGATAAATTTATTATGAATTGTAAGATCATGATTATATTTGATTTAGCATTACATAATTCTTGAAATCCTAGAGCCATTTAAATAATGATGATATATTAAGCTTTATTAATTACTTCACGAATCTTTTTATCATGATGTATTTGTGAGAGTGTATTATGAATATTTATACAAAGTATAAATTACATTTTACATCACAAAATTCTATTTGAAATCCAATAATTTTAATTTTTAATTTAAGAAATTAAATGTTGTGTGATTATCTATAAAAATCATATGAATAAAATCATTTTAGATAGTTCATAAAAAAACAAATATTTATATTTGAATATAAATCCAATCAGAAACTTTAAATGAATTTCTCCTATGCTAATGATATTGTTTATAAGTTGCCTAATGTTCAAAGATTTATGATTTTCTTTTGAATACTTTTTAGAACTCTAATAATAATTATTTAAATTAATCCTTATTTTATTACATATTTATAAAATAACAAATCAGGAAAACCTCTTTAAATCATATAATATGTTTTAATTTATAATAATAACATTTTAATTCATTTTCATTCAACTTGCTGGTAGTGGAGCTTTTGAATCCAATGTAACTTAAACTTCTCCATAAAACATACTCAAAGCAGGGTAAAATGTTCCTGTTAAATTGTTAAATGCTTCTCCACATTTTACACCATTTCGATAAAATGATAAAGTTCCAATACCACTTCTAAATTCAAGTAGCACACCTATTGTATCATTCTATACAGCCGAATATCCATAATCTGATATCTATCCATCTGCTCCAAATTTTCTTGCACATAAGCAAATATACCCATAAAAATGTCCAGTTGTAGTAGGTTAAGTATACAAGTCAATCTCCTTTCTAATTTATAAATATTATGATATATACCTTGCAATTCCTATGAAGATGTCTTCCTCGTCTACATACTTTTCTATCTTAATTTCCCAATAATGTCTTCCTGAATTCAAAGCCAATGTTCCTAGAACAGTTTGATAATCAGACTATCCTTTTTTGTTTGCCGTTAAATTATTATTTGATAATATCACACTTTTTCCTTTTTTAATAGGATCCCATGTGAAAGTCATCTCTGCTAAAAATATGAGTTAGGAAAAATCTTTTAAACCTACTTCTGATAGTTTAATTTAAGAATCCTTTAATTCTTTTAATTAAATCATAGGATGGATTAGCTTAATATTATGAAACATTTTTTAATTCTAACCAATCCCATCTATTATAAAAGACCTTAATTATTCCAATGTAAAAGTAACAGGGACAATTACTAAGTAGTAATTCCTTTAACCAAAAAAAGTTTTAACTAATAGAAATATCACATTACTAATATGCTTTACCATAGTTGTAATCTAACCTAGTTAAAAATCAACAGTGATTAATCTTTCATCATTAGAATAAGGGTATTTATATTTAATTTCTAATTTCTTGGCTAAAGCTAAAGACTCTTTTAAATCACAAGTTAATCTCTTTAAAATAGGGGCTTTTTTATTTTATGGCTAACCTTCAACTGAACTTTATTATTAAAAAGGAAGAGAATTTGAAAAAGGTAAAGGATCCTCAGCCATTGATATTTATTTTTCTAAAGAAGGTTATTAAGAAGATTATCGACTGCAATTTAAAGGAGGTGGTAAATTAGCTTAATTTTCAGGTACTTCTTTTTGTGGAGCAACAATCTTAGAAGGTTGACCCTAAGGTTGATTTTGTTTTTCCTATTGATTATCTGGTTATTTCTCTATTTATTTTTCATTTTTTTTTTCTATAAGTTCATCTGGTTGTTAGGCATTTTCATTTCCTTATTCCTTTATTTCTGGTGGTGCTGGAGAACTTGGACAAGAAATAATTGGCTTCTCTGCTGATTGCTAGTGATTTAATTGAAGCTCTTCTTCTGCTATTAATTATTCTGGAGCAGGTCCTTCAGGAAGTTTAATCACTTGTCCAAATCCCGCAATTGTATTCACTATCATTTTCTCTGTAATTTCGAAAGACATTTATGATAAATATAATGATATTAATAAATAATATAAGAAATATATTTGCACTCTAAATTAAACAGCAATTAGATTTGAATAAATCTAAATCTAGTATTCTTTCATCATAACATACAATAGTTTAGTCTAAAGATTATTGAGAATTATAAACTAATTCATTTTCATAATTTTATCTGTGAATACATTCAAATATTCCATAAATTTAATTAATGAATTAGTTAAATATTTTTGCCTTTATCTTAAGCCCCAAAAGTAATAACTTATTTTTCTTACTAAATTTATTATTCTTATTAGCTAGCAAGCTAATTATAAATTACATCTTCAAATAGTTTTATCCAGCTGTTTCATAAACTGCTAAAGATTATTTTTATTAGAATAAGCTCAAAGGTGCTGTCAAATTAGTTTAAAAAATCTTGGTGCTATTATTAAAGAGAGTTTTGCAACACTCAATTAGATATAATTGGTGAGAAAATTGATGGATTTTTACTTGTTTAGATAATGCTACAATCTATAAAACATCAATATATGATAATTTTTTATTCAAAATTTTTACCTCTCTTATTAATTTTAGCTTTTTGGGGCTATAAATAAACAAAAATAGCAAAACTTTACTACAGCAGATTTAATTTTAATATTTCTTTCTCTTAGGGTTTGAATAGGCATTTATTAGCATTTATAATCAAATAGAAGTAAAATGTATTTGATAAAAAAGCCTTAAAACAAGCTTAAATTTTTAGATCAATACTACTTGATTAATTTATTTATCATACTTTTAATTTTTATTATTTTTTAGTCTTATTAATTGGAATTGATATGTGTTATAAAAAATAATTATAATTTATTCTTTATTCGGTTAGAGCAAAAAGTATGTAAATACTCCGCTTAATATTAAAAGAATTTCATAAAGTCATTAACATTTCCGGTATAGTCTAGTGGTTAGGATATCAGGTTTTCACCCTGGGGACCCGGGTTCAATCCCCGGTATCGGAAAAATTTTTTTTTTATTCATTAAACTATATTTTTATCATTTACTATGCTTTTTAAATAGATTTCAAGTCTATGATATAGAACTAGAGACTGAAGCATTGTTTTAAAATTATTTATGGAATATTAACTAAATATTGAGGACTCTTATAAAATATATTTTCTTCTATTGAATGGCTATTATGTTATTTAATAATTCAATACTAAATCTTAATTAAAAATGAATTAAACTAATGATTTGAATATATTAAATTATTCACTCTTCTAATCATTTTTGATAAAAAGAATAGTTCATTAAATTATTTATTTTATTTGGTTGTATCATCAAAATTAATCTTCCAATAAGACTTAATTGAGTAAAACCTTTATTATTAA